CTCTCCAATCCACGTGACACCTTCTGAGTAAGCGGTGGTGATGGAAGGGAATTACGCATGAAGGACGAGGGACTCGCTAAACAGAAGACCCCACAAAACCATCCGCCATGACACTCATAGAAAGTAATCGAGCACCTTCCAATCCAATAACCTAGACCTCTCATCCATCTCCACTCAATTCCATCCATTGAAGCTCGAAGTCTCTCGTCAATCACCCAAAACCCCGCACAAGTTGTTTCAGATAGCAGCCTACAAAACCACAGACGTCTCTAGATTAACGCACCGATATAAATTTTTATATTTTTTTAGAGACAACTTTTTTTGTGAACTAGAGTCACAGCCCCACAAACCCCTACGACTTGTGATTTTATGCTAGTTACGAGGGAAAATATATCCCGAAAGGTAGACTTATCAAAGAATGGCTAACAAAAGTTCTCTCCTTGTCCTGCCGCATCATCGCATCGAAAACGGTATAAGAGAGGAACTAGATTTATGGCTTAAAACGTAAGCGTACCATGCGCAATCATGCGTTCCACCGAGGAACTAGATAATGCCCATTGACGAGCACAAGATCCACTGAGTGGACCTGACAAAGCAGCGCAACTGGCCGCATGGGAAATTATGCGCCGCATAACAAAAGTCAATAATAATTACACTCTTACAATCAATATCACATCAATGTCTTCTTCTCATTAAACAATTCGGGGAACATATATACGAAATTTCTAAACATCATGAAAGCCCACACTGCGACCTGTTAGTCCCTTTGTGCTGATTGCGCTTCCAAATACATTGCTCCTCAAAACATAAATTCTATCATATGCCAGAGAGGGAGGGAGGCAAGGCACCTCTGCAACTCCCTCGACCGAAATGGCTTTAGATGAATATATATATATATATATATATATATATATATATATCTATATGTAAGCAATCGCCACCGTGGAAATTCGCAATAAAACGACCCACCGTGCAGGCAAGTTATGACACTCAACAACCAATGTTTTCACGGTGTACGGCTTTCCAAGCATAGAGACAAAGCCAGCCAGATAAAAGGCTCCAACCAATGCGAACGCGAGAGTACCAGTAGAAGAGAGCAGGGAAGGGGGCGGGGGGTGTTTAGTCCACAGCAAATGAAGGAAAATAACAAATGCTATGTCGATCATCAGAATATAATTAATCATCAGTTAATGCTAGAAAATGTAGGTCCGTCTGCAGAAGCTCCATTAAGTGACTTGCAAAGACGGTCAGAGTGTATTCAGCCCAAACCATAGAAAACAACATGCAACCATGTACAAATATTCAATATATGTTTCAACAGGCAAAGTCAGGCCGAAATCTCAAATTTCTTCCATTTCAACAAGGCAGGGAAGAACACATAGATCATCGAGAAGCAAACAAAAACCCAAGAAAGTAAAATAGTTCTTCAACCAATTTGTAACAATACATACTAGCTGAAAACAGGCAAAGATCATTAATTTAAAAATCATCAAAGATTCTAGAAAAAAGATACACCAAAAATCGTGAAAATTACAATCAAATAAAAAATTTAAAAGCATTTTAAAATAATAAACTCAGTGAGGCAAAAATGGCACCTCGTTCAAAAATAGGATCAAAAGAACAAAAGTAAAAGAAAGTTGCCAGAAACATAAAACTGCCAAAAGCTCAAAGAGGAAAAAAGTAAGAAAAGAAAAACAAAAAAGATTTTATGGTACGTTCAAATAAAGCTATACATAATATGTAAATATCAAATATATACAGGTTTTAAATCAAAATTGAAATTTATAAAAAAATTCTTTTAGCACAATTTTAATAGAAAATCAATAAAGATTAAAATTTGAAAGCGATGAATGCCATTAAATAAATAATGAAAGATCGATGATATTTAAACAACTTAAAAGTAATAAAATAATATAATAAAAGGTAGTAAAAAGATATAAAGGTTAAAAGTTTCTAAACAACCAACAAAAATAAGGCTAGTTATGATAAGAATGGAAGCAAATATATTTATAAAATAAATAAAGGTAATAAAGAGGAAAGTAGGAGGAAAAATACTATACAAAAAAAAGAAATTATTGTACAGATTCCAGTCAAAGTTTTTTATTTTTCAACTTGCGAAGGACAAAAAGAGTGTGATAGACGATAGAAAGAGGACGAAAAACAATAAAAAATGGAAATTCCTGGACCTCCAAAGTCGCAGAAAACGTGCCGCAATCACTAAAAGGCAACACTTGCGTTGTGTCACATCCAAAAAAAAATATCTGCTAAAATGTGTAGTTTAAAAGCTGGTATTCAATTTAAGCCATTAAAAGGCGTCAGAAGAGTTTTCAATTGATCCCATCAACACAAACGAGTTGACTAAATCCACACAGGGAGGCACTTCAACTTGTCAACACGTTAACTTGTCACCAACAAATCCAGTTTAAGCTAAACATATGCACCACAGGAAGCAGAAACCATGAATTATACCAAAGCTTTGCCAGGTACTTTGCACTGAAAAAATTCAATTGGCCTCCAATATTTCCATATGAACCATATGAACAATAATTTAACAAAAATCAACGAGAAAATACAATATAAGATGCTCGCCTTTACGAACAATAATGATGTCTTCACAAAAATACTGTGCGCTAAGTGAAACGCGCAGTATTGTGCCATGTAAAAAGGATTACTGCACAGTACACAAAAAGCAAAACTATCCACTTCTACCAAGAACACACCATATCATCACTATCTCCTAGGAAATTTAGACGCTCATAACATACACTAAAAAAAAAAACAAAAAAACAAAAAAAGCAGACAGATGCCTTCCAACATGCTCCAAGCCAAATATTAGTGTTAATCAGTCAGTTCTAGTTGGATCCCACGAGCACAGAGCGGCCATAAATCAGCCAGGTTGAAACACATACACCTACGATACCAAAACTTTGAACAATAATTAAGTGAAAAAGTGAGAAGAACAATACACAAATTACGAAAACTTACATGAAAATGACATCTCTATAAAATCAATACTCTAAACTTCAAAGTTCATCTCTCTGAGTTACAACTGGAAAACTAACTATTACATAAAGGCTTTCACCAATTTTGATGAGCAAAACAAAGCGCATCTCATAGCAGAGAAGTAACCAGACAGTTTGCAAGGGACTCATCAAAGCAGAAAATATGCCCGCATTCAGCACAACGAGTTAAAGCATTGGCTCCCAAGATCGTCATATACCTGAATAATACACATTACAACTTTAAATTTATTCTATGAACAGCAAGAATAACAATCACATAACCAGACAGAAAACAAAATGCCATTGAACAAGCATAAAACTAGTCGCACACAAGTATAATTAGAACAATGCTTTAGTAGAAACAAAAAGCTCATCAAACACCCACAGTCATTTTTCTTCAACTCTTATTTTCCACTTTAAGTTAAATCCTGTTCGAAAGTACAGAATAAATGACAGCTACATACGTGTAATCATAGACATGAATTTAAAGAGCTATTTTAAGCCAGACACGAGGAGCTCCAGAATTTTTATATGGGCTCAAAATACTAATTATATCAGTCCATAATTCAATCTAAATTCATTCTACAACTTTGGTCCAGCCTAGTAGAACCAGATTCAGTCCATTTGTGTAAACCATAATGGATTTCCTGTCACCTTAGTATCATCCCAGCAATCACCAAGCACTCTCACAGTGGTATTAAGGCATAGTTATAACCCAAATCAATTAACCAAGCAAAGTGTGCATCGGGTTGCTAGAATCAAACAAGCAAAAAGGTGTTGACCATTCACTCGCAATCGAGCACAAAGCATCAGCCTCTGTCAACATTTATTGAATACTTCCTGAAAGAGTTACACCAAAGTAAATTCAATCTACAGAATGGTTATACATCAAACATTTATCGTACAATTATGTTATCAGAACAATAACAAATGCTAGTGGGACAATCAACACATAATGACAGAGCCAAATTATAAAACATGTTCAGAAATTAGTACAGTTGTTCCTTCAAAACTCACAACACAAGTACACTAAAACAGTTGACTCATACTAGATATTAGATACTACAGATGTTAGACCAAAAGGATTTTGATTACTCCACATGTGTAAAAGAGAAAATATGCAAGCCATGCAAACTCCACTTCGGAACATAGAGATCTAAAAAGCCAGCTTATTTTCATTGAGATCCATCAAAGCTCGGTTACCACATATTCCATAACACGTGGACACAATGAAAATTGGATATGAACACAAGAAGATAGATCTGAAGGCGACAGGAGAAAGGAAAATTTCTAAATTACATATGCCCCGGTTCATGCATTTACTCATAACACGTGACCATGTACGTAGGAAGTTATGAATAGAAATTAGAAGAATTTAATTCAGTGAAAGATAAACAAGTAACGAGAAGGAGATCAAAAAGTACCGCTCAAATCGACCTAGTTAACATCATGCCTAAAACGTTTGATGATCATAGATAAATCATAGAAAAAGGGCATGCATATCAAGACCCACAAAGAATACACAAACATCAGTTTCAACCCAGAGTACATCCATACTACAATTAACAAAGGGAGTTTAATTGCTGAAATTGATGTTGTGCAAAGAATATAACCAAGAACAAATATCGAATAAAACGCCACATCATCCTAATCTCCTCACTGGAGAAAACACAATAATGGTAACATTGATAAGCCAATTAATGCAAACACGTCATCACACTACATATTGGAAAATCACAACGTTGTGAATAAAGCCATCAATGAAGAGATTCCAAACAACCAAACGAAGACATGATCCAGCCACTCTCAAAAAAATATAGATTAGATAGAGAAACGCCACAATATAGAAAAGACAACACTCGACATCTCAATATGAACAGCGTACAAGATTATCGTACGTATTAACCGTATTTGTAATCTAGAAAACCAAAAAAACGATACCATAAGAACGAGTCGCCTCTAGCTTAAAAAATGACAAAAAACTATAGAGGAATTACCTCAGAAATATGGTGGGGGCACACCAGGGTACATTCCTCCAGATGGGCCCCTATGGGTGGGTGATGACCCATTCTGCTGGTAAGCAGAAGACAGTCCATAATGCCCGCCTTCTGGAAAACCACCAGCAGACATGGCAATGGAACTTGGTGGCATCCTGTAGAACGACGAGCCACCCATACCCCCATAACCACCAGGCAAAGGAGCACCATACTGAGAGGAATATGGACCAACCAAACCACCTCCGTATCCACCACCTCCACCGCTACCCAAAGAACCCGACTGACCACCGACTGTGGAAAGCCCTGGTGTACCCACACCAATCGATGATGGGATCGATGAGTTAAGATGCTGATGATGACCCAAAGCTCCAGGCCCTTGAATTCCAGGAGCAGAATATCCCGCATAAGATGAGAGAGCTCCATGCCCGTTGAACTGGCTAGACAAGGAACCGGGCAAATGAGACTGCGGACCCAAATTGAGTCCATTCGAAGAATGGTCCGTCCCGACACCAAGTGCCTGTTGCTTTTGGACACCACCGACCGGCCCTGCGGGACTAGGATCACTAGGCTGTCCAGGCTTTCCCTTCTTCCCATCTGCCGCGAGTTTGCATACCATCGTGTGCCCGTCTATTACTTTCGTAGGATCCACGAGAGACGCCTTCGCTCCGTCCACACTTTTATATACAAACAACGCAAAACCCCTAGACTTACCCGTCTGCTTGTCAAAACCTAACGGACCCTCCTCAATCTCCCCATAAGATGAAAAATGCGCGAGTAGGCGCTCGGCAGGCATGTCGTGAGGCACGCTCCCCACGTAGATCTTTCGAAGGGGTACATCTGCAGCCGACGGCTGCGCGGCAGTAGGGCCAGCGACCCCGGACGCCGCAAGTTGCGTAACAGTCATCCTGCCATCGATCTTCTTGCTTGGCTCCTTGAGGGCAAGGAGAGCCCCATCTATATGGCGGAAGGTAATAAAGCCGTATCCCCTGCTCTTCCCGGTATTCTTGTCAATGATGACAACGGCCTCCTCGAGCTCCCCGTACGCCGAGAAGAGAGAGCGGAGGCCTTCGGCGGTCGTGTCCCAGCCAAGGCCGCGGATGAACAGTTTCCGCTGGGCCGGGTCATGATCGGCGTTTGCGCGGACGGCGCCGAGCACGTCCGCATGCCGACACGCGGCCTCCTGGACGATATCCAGGAGCTGCTCTCTAGAGAAGGATTCGATGATCTTACGAGCGTCCGCGGGGGTGAGCTTCGACGGTGGAGCGCCGCCTGCGTCGATACCGCCGTTCTCTTCCACCTTGCGCTTCTTGCTGGACAGATCCATCAACGAAGAAGGAGCGCAACTCTTCCAACAAAACCCTAAAACACAAACCAGAGAGACCAAGAACGAGAGAATCGACCACAACCGATGACTCGTCCACATTTTATAGGCCTGGGGATGGCCTCCAGAAGTCCAGAAGTTTCCGCGAGGCGGACTTGGAAATCTATCCTCTCACCTGTCGGGCCGGGCCCTGTTGGGTGATGGGCCCACATCGGCCCAGCCCGATACCGAACTTTCTTCTTCTCGTCGTTCTCGGGGTTATGTCCCGGATGCCGAATATTCTACGCCCCTATTTAACCCACCGCTCCGCGTTAACGGAAAACTAGCCGGCGAGTAGGAGTCCGGAGTCCTTCTGGTGTTCAATTCTTCGTGGGGGGTCGTCATGGAGGAAGAGCAGCAGTTGCAGAGACCCTCGCCCAGCGGGGCATCGGAGGAGGAAGAAGAATCTGAAGCCATCGAACTGGTTCTCTTCCACGTCAACGAATGTTACGTCTACCTGGTAAGCGTGTGGCCGCCGGGTACTTGAATCTCTCTCACCTGCTGGTGCATCTTGACGGGGAATTTGGGATCTTCTGATGCAGTATACTACAGACCGCTGTGATAATTGCATCGTATCCATGCTCCTGCCGCTAACTATATTCTCCTTGTCTGTGTTTGTACAGATACCTCCCAGGATGAGCGCGGCTTCTTACAGGTCAGGCCGAATAGCCTGCTCCCGCCGTCTTTGTTAATGGAAAAGACCCTCGGGCACTTGATAAGCGTACTCGCTTAATTTCACTCGCAATATCGCTCTCTGTATTGCCAACCATATTCACAGCTTCGAAAAAATATCCTTTTGATCGAAAGAATGCTGGGGAGTTTTCGAAAGGATAGATACAGGAATTGGGCGATCTGGTCTATTTGCTTTCCTAAACCATTTTTTTATTAAGGGTACATGGCAGATCTGGTATATATTTTGTTCTCTGGGTGTCATCAGGGAAATGTCTGAGACTACATATTCCTTGCACCTTGACATTTCACTACAAGTAAAGGCAATTGCGAATAGAAAAAACTATAAAAATAGATAATAGTGAAGAGAAAATTCTAGAGTCTATTTCCAAAAGAGAGGACAAGAATGCCGCACTTTTTTCAAAGCATGTTGTGATCACTGTGGCCCCTTCTGAAGGCGTATCTGAAGCACATAGGGACTCGTGATTATTTTTTTTTCTAGCACCATGCTTTTCTGTCCAATGTAATTTAGGCATACCCATGGTTCAATACTAGGAAATCGTCAGTGTAACACTTTTGGCCAAATGACCTTGATTTTTTGTATTTTTCTTCTCTGCTATTGAAAGCTATTCGGTGCAGTTGATTGTTGCCTGAGACTGTTCAGTAGGGTAGTCTTTTGTCATACGATATCATCTGAGTTGAAAATTTTCATAAAATTAGGCCAAGGTTATAATCGAATGTGTACGTGATATTTTGTTTCTTGAACGCAGACAGTATAAAAGCATATAAGGTGAAACCATTTGTTTTAATTGAGAGCATTCTCCCTGACTAAAAATAATAAACACAAGCCCTATAAAAGGGAGGGATAAAAACTAGAACAGTTTTAAGTTTAAACAAGAATAATCGATAATCATGTCAATATCCCTTCACATAATGATTTAGAGAATGTGGATGGCTGCTGGGTGCTCTTTGAATTTTATTCAATCAATAACTGTTCATTGTTCCTGCATAATTTTTTGCTCCATGTAGGCTTAATAAATCTTAAAATATTCCAAGCGAGGGAATGACACCTTCATATCATTCTCAGCATTTGTTTACTTCCTTTTGACAGTGCCAGAATAGAGGGTTGGGTCGTCCGCATTGTTCATTGGGAGGAACTCTATCCTAATTAATTTTTTAAGTATATTTGTTTCTGACTGATTTCTTTCATGTTCGATTGTGACGGGTATTTTTCCAATCAAAACAATTATTCAAGACTTCGTGATGACCAATACGATGTATTTTTCAGAGCTGATGAATGGAATGTCAACAAATGGGTTTGGGAGGGATCTCTTAAAGTTGTAAGCAGAGGGGAGGAATGCATCATTAAGCTCGAAGATAAGAACACAGGTGGTCATCTACCAAAAAAAATTTCTTCTCTTTTTTAATCGTCCTTAATCCTCAAAGAATATGACCGTGAAATTTGGCCCTTGCTGGCCAAAAGTATAAACTGGACACAACGGCTGAGATACCACGTATGTACTCCAAAACATAATCAAACGTTATTTCTTCTCGACATCTTTATAACCTCAAAAATTCTCATCTAATATCTTCTATCATGAAATTCTGAACTTAGCTAGCTGATCATCCGACATCTTTGAAGCAGGGGAGCTTTATGCTCGTGCATTTCTTAGAAAGGGAGAGCCCCACCCCGTAGAGCCTGTAATTGATAGCAGCAGGTTTGGCTGATGACGCTTGTGAAGTCTACTATCCTTTTTATTATAATTCTTTTTTTTTTCAACATTTCAAGTATCTACTGTTGACTCTCCTACCTTTCTGTTTGATGATTCTACAGGTATTTTGTCTTGAGGATTGAAGAGAACCTGGGTAATTTTTTTACCCTTTTTTTAATTTGATGTTACAGTTTTGTTAAGAAAAAAAATGATGTTTCAAGGACGACACAGCTTTTATGGAATCGGCGAAAGTGATTTAAGAAATGTTATTTCGGATGAGTTGATCAGAAAGTATATAGAGGAATTCTTTTAGCACTAAATCTTTCATGTAAATTTATTTTTAATTGTGATGCAATAAACAAAGAAAGTCATGCAGATGATGCGCTAAGTGATTAATGGAAAAAGCAAATATTAGAGCATCATATCTGTCGAGGAAAGGGTTTGCTAGTGCCTAGTGCCAGTGTTGAATGAGAGATTAAATGCTGTGTGAGGGAGACGACGAAGGCCATTCTGGGTTGCCGGGCCTAGTAGTTGAAGTGCTTTAGAAATCCGCTAGTCGCATTTCTTGGATCTGTTGTCTTCCATTATATATGAGTAAAACTCTCTCTCATCATGCTTTTGCAATTTCTTGCAGGTGGCCGTCTTCGTCATGCATTCATTGGCATAGGCTTTCGAGAAAGATCCCAAGCTTATGATTTCCAGGCTGCTCTGCATGACCATATGAAGTATCCTTTTCCTATCTACCTTCTTTTGCCTGGAGAGAGTTCTTACCCGGTACAGAAGATGGCCGGGTGGTCTAGTTTAGAATCATTAATGCAATAGAGTCTTTCATTCTAGTTGTATCTCCCTGTTCCTCCTTTACATACCTGAAGATACCTAGATAAAAAGAAGACAGCAGAGGAGATGGAGCAGCATTTCCAGTCAAACCCCTCCGTTGACTATAGTCTAAGGGAAGGGGAGACCCTGGTACTTCAAATAAAAAATGTAAGATTCATCTCAAATGTTTGCCATTAGAAACGAAAATTAGTTGTAGACAGCTGCATTTTATTACTTGCCCAGTGTTTAAATGCTAGGGAACGCACAACTCTGTAAACGTTTTCTTTGTGTGAGACAGAAGGGGAATCGAAGCCCAAAATCCACCATCTCTGAGGCTATCAACAGCCTCTCCCTGGAAGAAAGCTCCACAAGCAAGCCGGCCTCAGTTTCTCTCAAACCTCCGCCACCTCCACCTGCACCTGTCTCTCCCGTCGGTACCAGTGAGAAGCCTAATTCAACAGTGGACCCTCACCCCAAGGAACCATCCCCAGGGCAAAAGAGTGAGGCAGATGCAGTAGAAGACGACTTTGGAGATTTTCAAGCGGCTGCTTGACCTCTTCTCTTCGAATATATATGTATGTTTATCTTCGAATAGGTGTTGTGGCTGACCCTATAACTCTTATCCAACAGCTTCTTATACCATACTCTTTACGTTGATTCTACAAGTCGGGGTCCTTTGGCGGCCTTGTTAGATCATAACCATTTACTATTTCCTTGCTCCTTTATTTTCTGGCCATGCTGACCACATTTTCTGTCCTGAGCTTGATTGTGAAACCCAGGTATCATTCATGCGGCACACGGCTTCATATTAAGCGCGCGCGCGCGCGCACACACACACACACACACATTAATAGTTAGGCAAACCATATATCATTAGACTGCTCCAATATGGTGCAACTGTAACACCACTGATGCAGTAAGATAATTTTGCTTATATGAAGAACATTGATAAAGAAAAAAACAATGTGATGTATGCAGGGCTTACAAGAGGAGCAGAGGTGTACAATTTCCAGGATATGGAAGACTTGTGGAAGGTAATCTTCTGACAGAAAGGGTGTTTGAATCACATAAATTATAGGCTTAGAATTATTTTAGAGGTCAGCATCAGCATCATCATCCCACTCCAAATCAAAAGAGGCGGCTGACTTCATCAGCTCCGTCAGCCCAGTGAGGTCCTCCAAATAGGTGGAGTGGTTTATAGCCTGAAGAACAAACTCCATTCCCCGCCTTCTGAACTCGGACACCACCTGAAGAAGAACATCACAAGAGTGAACACAAATTGTCCCAACCAAGTAGAGCATTTTCTCAAGTGTCAACTCACAGCACTGCAGCAGGCGGTGCAGCTGCTTGACGAGTGGCCTAATAGAGTCATTTGGGAGAATTGGGCGAATGAGCCTCTGATCTGGTGAGGTAAGATCCCAAGGGGCCGGTCATCGGCGGTTGTTGTAGAGCTGGCGAGCTCGGCGGGAGCATGCATCCTTTGCAGACTCAGACCCACCCAATGTCAGTTCTCAGTTGGTGAAAAGAATGCACCACAGAAACAGAGCATCTTACCCATTAGGATGGTGGAGAATCCCCACCAAGAGCTCCACGGCTAGAGAGGAAGCAACCGGGGCGAGCCCAGGCCGCGTGACCGTGCACTGCTGGTCCAATGTACGGTTCGAGGTTGACTGAAATTGGGTGGAAATAAGCCGCATTTCTTAGTACTTGGCTAGGTTTCTGAGCCCATCGTGAGCAAGATCATGGAGATTTTATGGGCTTACATCAGTTGGAGCGATGACATCACTGCAGAAGTAGCAACCCAACCGACCGCCATCTTCACTGGTTGGCAGCGGACTACTTTGCCCATCTTGGCCAGCTTCGGCAGGGGCGGAGGGGCCAGCACCATGACGCATCACAAGGAAGCTGTCGAATCCCAGAGCTGCAGTAATAGCAAGCTGAAAAGTAAAAGGGAGCGGCCATTAGAGCGTATCAGGAGATTAACACCAGTGAAGATGCATCCTTTAACAGTCGAATGCGGCATTGATGAGACTCACCTTGTTGAGACTCGCACACAGAAGAGTCGGGAGCCAGCGGCTCTCCCTCGTGTCAGTCAACAAGAAAACGACGTCGTGTGATTCAACCAGGCTCTGGAGGCTTGTGCAGCCTTCAAGCACACTGGTCAACTCTCGGTCTGGAACTGGATGCCCTGGCATCGGTATTGACATTATAACGCCTACAGCTTCCTATAAAAAGCAAAAAAAAACAGAGAATCAGGGATCCCAAGGAATCAAGAAAAATTAACGAGAGAAATTCCTAGTTTGGAAAACCACCGCAGCTGGAAATATGCATTTCAACTTGTTGGCAGCTGCATTAGCCTTCATGTCACCCCCATTAAGGCAATCCTTCAACTCATATAAAGACTGTCTCAATGGGTTAGACATTGCCACACGTCCGTTGTCCACAAGCGTGATCTTCCGGATTCCCCACGCCTGGATGCACACAGAATACAAAAGACCTCCTTTGAGAGAGAGAGAGAGAGAGAGAGAGAGAGAGAGAGAGGGGGGGGGGGCTTTCAGGGGGTTTCCTCAAACACGAACCATGAGCATACGAGCAACCTGGCATCCGAGAGTCCCAGCACCAAGAAGGAGGCATTTGACGCCAGACAACCTACCAATGTCCAGAGTCGGCAATGCCCGCCATTTCATGAGCTTTAGGTTCAAGTCAGCAGCAGCTACAGCCAAGCTGCATCAGATCAAGACCGCCCAGTTTTTAGGAAATCAGAATCTGGATTAAGCAAATCTTCAACGCACAGTACCTGACAGGATCCATGGATTCCTTGAGGTTGACGGTCCTGCATGTCAATTTCCCGCTGGCATTTGGTTCCCAGCCAGTAGCCTGAGGCGCAGATCGGCGCTCTGTCCAATCTGGACACAGACCACAGATCTGAGTAGGAACTAGTTCTAGCTCTTGAACACTCCAGACTACAAACATTCCCCACTGTACCTTGTGGAGCAGAGACTGATGCCTCCCCGACAAGGGACGAGCCCAAGTCGGCCATGCCATGCTTCTCCCGGTAGCAGAAGAAGCGGACCTTCTCAATCTTCCATCTCAAGCAGATGAAAGCAAGGAAGTTTCGAAGAGGCCAGCCGGGATTACTCATAATATGGGATGGATCGTAGAACCCATACAGCAACTGCATTAAATGCCATGAATGTCAGGTGATTTATGTTCTACAGAAGACATGGTTTCATTGGGGCATGGAGACCAGGTGATCCAGCCTCTGACGAACCTTTTGGCCGTCACCTTGACAAGATTTCCAGTCTCTCAAAGGTCTGATTGTGGCGCGTGAGTTATTAGCGATGCTAACAAGGAAGAATGGCACATCTGTCAACATATGGGGAGAGTCTCATCATGAACCGAGAAAATAATAAAGAAGGAGAGAATGATTTTCTGGGGTTTTCGTTTTAGAGAGAGAAACCAAACCTGCGGTCAGACTTGAGCTACGCCATTCATTGCAAGCTGTGGTCAAACTGTCTGTCTGCAAAGATAAAGAAAGGGAGAGATAACTAGCGTGTAATATGATGGCTTATTCACTTCATTTGATCACATATACCTCTTCTGTGCTGAACACCTCAGAAGCCGGTTGGAGAGAAACTAAGGTTGCTGGAGGATTCAGCACCAGAGCAGGAAACGCAAACCAGTAATGGAATGTCCATTTCTTAAGATCAGCAAACGAAATAACGAGAAATCTTAAGAGGGAGGAGCACTCCTCCTCTACTTTTCCTGAAGATATGTCCAGCAAAATCTGAAGAACAGTGAACTACTGTAAAAAGTGTACATCAAATTATTCGTTACTTTGTAGATATGGAACTCCATGAACTGCAAATTATTCACTACCTTCTCTGCTTCCATCTTTAGAAGGTTCTTCTTGTCAAGCGCATGGAAGCTCTCCAACGTATTTGTGTTGTAAAGGATCCCAGGAACTGGGCACCTGTTTCTATTGCCATGAGCTGGGTCAGATGATGCCGACTGTTCCCCGGAAACTTCGGGTAATGATTCGGCAAGCAGGCTCAAGCGCTGTGAAACTCGAGGATGTGAACACGGCGCGAAGAAACCTGTCAACGAAACGCTTAATCTTTTAGTGTTCAGCAAAAGGATTATATCATTTAGGGTTCCGCGTTGTTGCAGGAGAGTTGATCATCATCTTCGTCAAGGAAGAACAGCAGAAAGTAGAAACGGTTACGCTGGTCTCGCATGCTACGATCCGTCAATTGTGACGACTTCGATGGTTAGACGATGGAAGTGATAGAAATCTATCAGGAGAGACCGAGAAATCCAAAATGCCTCACGCTACGAGCGATAACCAGGGCAGAATCGCGATTAGAGACCCATTCGGAGAATATCTGCTCCGAGATCGTGAAAATTTGCGCAAGAAATTATCTGCGCAGAAGAGGGTGATCCCGCGTGGGAAGGAGAGGATTGGTAGGGACTTGCCGGTAACATTGACGGGTGACTGATCGAGGCCAAGGACGTCGAGCTTGAGAGAGGAGAGCCTCCACCAGAAGCCCTCATCTACTTGGCTGTCGAAGAGCTTGAAGCGTAGAATCTGCCCTTGCCCCCGTCCCAGATCGGAAACCAACGTCAACGGCGACCTTGTACGGGAATCTGCACTGGAGGAGCCCTCCGCGGTTCCAGCCATCGCCCGGCTTTCTTCCTCCCCGCGCGGCCAGTTCTTCGTCTGCTCTCTCCTTCGATCCGCCTTCTCCTCCACGATTACAAAAATTTCCAAACCGTTCAACCCGAATTACGACGAGTTCACAACCGATAACCAATCCCGCGCGGAGACATCGCGAGATCCTTCAGAACCCTAGAGACCAGCTCCATCAGCGGAGCACGCAGACACCAACGAAGCCTCGCGTCTCCCGGCCAAGGCCCGAGCTTTATGGGTCGGAGCCCATGTCCGGAAGCAACGAGCTCCGGATTACAGAAGGAATCTCTCGCGCACAACGCGCTCACAGATCATCTTCTTCGCCGCGATCTCCGAAGGGTGCACGCAAGAAGTTGCGGATTCCCCGTCGATTCGATTCATCCATGGGAAAATGTGGTCACTTTCTTTTTACCGTCTTAAAATAAGATCCAGAGTGAATGCCCGTCTCTGTTTCTTCGACAGCTCAGATCATTCAGATCCGTGCAGCCCTTGACAGGCACATCCGGAGCTTCATGGGACGACCTATCCGTAATCTTCGTTGTATAATCTCAGTTGTCCCTAGGACTTCCGGTATTACCTCACATTACATTCAGAGAGTCAACCCGGCGGCGGACGGTCTGAGGTGGCTGCAGGCGTGCCCGTACGGGATGGCAAGAGAAGAGAGAGAGAAAGAGATTGACAGAGAAATGTGGTGCGAATAATGTGCCTCAGCACCGAATTTTGAGCTAGACCTGACTGAAACACTGAATATCAGAGAAAGAAAATCATGTGACGTGGTGGCACGTGCCGGAGAGCATTCAAGTGAACCCCACAAAGTGGTAGTTTTCAACCAACAAGAGCAGGTTTTTCGTGATTTTACTCGACCTAAATAGCTTCATACTCTGATCACACATAGACATCTCAAAAGTCAACGCCGACTGAACAAAAAAGGAAGGTTTTTTCGATCACGACTTGGGCAATTTGGTTGGAAGTCGTCGCTGACTTTTATGCTGCATGAACATGAATACACTTCTTATAAATAAATAACAGGGGTTGATCAAAGATTCAGCAAAGACCAAATGATCTATCAAACGAAAGTTTTGACCCAACAAGAAAAAACTAGCATAGAGGATAATGCCAAGCGTCCAACATAAGACTTACAGTCTGCTAGTCTAGCAGCAGCATTCCAAAATTCATCCCTGAAACTCAGATGTACTGCCAAATCACAGAAACATAGGATCTGGGTGATGAATACAGCAGCATGTTGACTACGGCATAGATGCAAGTCCCATGTATAATATGAACAAGCATGCCCCATTTAGTAAAACAAGGTATTCATTCGTCGAGTTCTTCCCTCCAGTTAATCTCTCCCCGGGACATCTCTTGCCTGAAAAGAGTTGCCGCCACTGGCCTGGTAGGCACTGTCTGGTCCAGGATACCCATTGCCACCGCCCCCTTGGAAACCATTTCCACCAACTTGGTACGCCCCGCCGCCGCCGCCGCCACCTTGGTAAGTGTTGCCGCCACCTTGTTGAGGATTGCCGCCGCCCTGGTGAGGACCCCCACCTCTCTGGTAGAAGTTACCGCCCCCTTGGTAGGCATTGCCACCAGGTGCGTTGTTGGGTGCGTAGTTTGCCTGGTAACCAGGTCCCTGGTTCTGGTAAGGTCCTCCTTGTGGTGGTGGACCAGGCGTGTATGGAGGAGGGCTCTGGCCTTCGCGATTCTGGAATTCTGGAGATTGCATCTGAGGCATGTAGTTGCCCTGGTAAGGAGGTCCTTGATTCTGGTACGGTGCTCCTTGGAATGATGGATTCGGGGGTGCATCCCTGTTGGGCATTGGAGGGGGAGTGCCCTGCATAGGGTTCTGTCCCTCGCGATTCTGAAACTCCGGAGGTGGACGGTTTTGGAAATCCCGGCTCTGCATATTTTCTCTTCTCCTTTCGAAATTCCTTGATCTATCGAAGTTGCGCGGCCTGTCGTTGCGCCTGGATCTTTCATTTGCACGCGCATTGTTCCTGACCCATTCTTCATGGTATTTGGGATCATACGGGACGGCCTTGCCATCTATGAATGGCTCCCCTGCCCAAGTTACAAAAAGGAGGCAATTCCAAATAAAAAACATTAGAAGGATCATCACTATTTGGCAAAAGGAGAAGAAGCAAGCAGGATCCTAATTTCCTAGAAAATATAATTTTCCACCAGAAAATCTAAATCAAAAAACATATCAAGAAAACTAAAGTAAAGCATTGGACATTTTCTTTTGAACTATAGGATATTGTGATTCCTTCAGAATCAAAATTAATCACAAATAATATATAAGGGTGAAAAGTCTTTGTGGAAATTTATATCGGACTATTTCCATCCGTAACTGCTGCCTGTGCCAGAAAGATAGCGAAATGTATCCAAAATAAAAGTCAACATGAATCTTCAGATACCTCGGGGCTCAAAAATAGTGATAGAAGTGCCACCAAAGTATAACTCACAACAGCTGATTTGGGGTAAGAATGTAACAAAATCTAAGGCAGACGAACTGTTCAAACAGAAAGCAAGCAATGATATTATAAGGGATAGGTCAGAGCAAACAACAACAATGCTGAGAATGTAACAGCAGAAAGGAAACCCAAATTTCATCGGACACGAAAACATACTTATTACTGTAATAAAAGTCATCTCAATATCTCAGAATTCAAAGATCGTGGATTTGAATTGACGTCATTTCATTGCTTACCCCTAAATATTTACATTTCGGTCGGAATTTAGTTATTCACGCCATACGTCAATCCCTATTAGGCATCTAAGGCCGAATGGCAGCTCATGATTGACAGAGTACGTTATTGACCCTTCTGGCAACTCCAATGCAAAGTTCCAAGGGAAAGAAGATATGGCTCAGTGATGCATATGGGGGAAGGTTAACACAAAATCATTTTCCACACCTTCCAAATATTGGATATTTGTCTGATCAACCATCAGAATGCAAACGATTCCTAATGGTGTGCCTTCTGCCCAAATGCATGTGGAAACTAGATTCATGAACCCACCCATAACAACAGATCCTAGCATGGAAATTAATAAACCAAAAACCTTAAAAATATTGATATAAATGTACTAATATTTGTAAATAGCTGTCAAGGATAGTATAAAACTGAATAATAAGTCGCATTCACATCCTCACAGATGGCCAGTCACAATCGTGTTCCGACATAGCCCGGGATAAAATAAACATCAAAAAACAAAAAACTGAATGAGACTCTTAAGCTCACCTCCATAATCTTTGTTCTTAACGTCCAAATAAGAATCAGGAAGAACCCAGCGAACCCTTGGCAAGGCTGCATCACGTCGAGAAAGATATATTGGGAATAAGCACAAAATGGAGAAATATGTAAGAACCGACATGCCAATCAAGGACACGATTAGAATGACTCACTCTTGATTTTGTATGAGAGCTCTTCAGAAACAAGCGCCCCAAAAGCGAAGTAATGCTTTGTTGACACCGAATAAATTTTTTGCCTCGCTTCTTCCTCACTGCACGGAACCAGAAAAAGATAAAATCCATCGGGAAATTTCCAATTTTTCTCTACATCTCACTATACACGAGTATCGAATAATATTCAAAGTTTTAAATGAGGCGTATAAGAGCAAAATATTGTGCTCCTATGTTAGGGCTTTATCATTCCACCATCTCTTACATGGGCACCCGGACACGACCATACACATACAGTCCATCGACATCTATTACGGAAACACAACAACCTTACCTGCCTTGTTAACTACTTCCGTGGTCCCAGCCTTCTAAGACCATTAAAAAAAAACCTCGCCTGTCTACAATAGACACATATGACCTGCGCCCAAGGTCGTCATCACATTGACCCCTTCACAGAACAGCAGGCATGCGTACGATGCTTCATAGCATAATAGACATTACTCATTTTTTTTTCTGAACCGCTAGAAAACACAAGCGTGAAAAATAATATTTCTCTTATTTTTTACAAAGGCTGAAATCTTCACATACTTCACAAGTGTAACTGTTAAACACCTATCATTTCATACAATGGGATATCCCATTCAATTTAATTGCAACAACATGAACAACCCTAAAAACACCAAAAGCTTTATTATAAAATCCACGACATACAAATATCGTGTAGCTTACCACGACGTTCAGTAAATAAATCGTCAGGAAAAACCGAGGATACGGTGTACAAAACAAAAAAACAACAGTTGCGATCATACACACTCCGGTTTCTTTCGGGACGATGAAAATATCAGCTCCGAAGAAATATTAATAGATATAATAATCTGCAATGTAACACAGAGACAAAAGGTGGAAACTGAAACCTGCCGACGATTTGAGCCAGGGTCTTGATGTAGCTGTCGATGATCTCGTCTCTGGTGGGCTCCCCCTCCGGTGGTTCCATCACCACGAGCCAGTGCTCAAAGTCACACCCATCGAGTAGGATCGTTTCCTTCGGCGGGCGGTTGCTCCAGTTCGGCGACGGATCATTGAGAGAGGACGTCGTGGGCCTCGTCGAAAAACACCGAAGGCCGTCACCACCCAGGGCGACCCCGGTGGGCGACCACAGCGCCGACACGAGGGGACGCAGTCGAAGGATATGCGAAGGGCGACCGGCTAAGGAGCACGGGACAGACTTGGAAGCGAAGGCGCGAACAGAGAAGAGGACGGACAGAGACGCCATCGACGAAGGGGACCTCGAGATCAGACTTCGGAGCGCCATCGCGAACACTCCCCCTCTCGACAGAAACCCTAGCAAACGAAAACCCTGCCCTTCACAGACCAGATAAAATGGATCAGTACTCGTCCAGGGTTTTAGCGCTATATATAAGCCACCTCTTTCACCGCGCCGACTCGGTGAGTGACCCGGGGCCTGACCAGGCTACGACCCGGAAGCGGCCGCCCGACCAGAACCTTAGGCCTTGACCCGTTAAAGGCTACGGCCCAGCCCATTAAACGGCCCAATCTCTCTCTCTCTCTCTGTGATAACTAGGATGAGAGATTACTGATCTTTTACCAATTTTAGGAAGCGGACGATGTTCTTGATCTCCATCAAGATTAATTCGCGAGAGAAAGTATGGATGGATGGCCCGGCCGCAGCAGAGATCTCGCTTGTCGGAAGTAATGGAGAAGATGTCGGTGAAGGATTCCATGGTTGACCCCCAGGCCCGCCGCTCAACCACCCTGACCAACTGCCCTGTGGAATTGGCCGGCGGTCTGACAGACCTAGAAATCGACCGGTCGATGACCCCCGTCCAATCCCCCTCCAAGCTTCACCTTCACCTTCAAGATTTTGGTGAGCTTGGTCATCCCCTTCCATCGAGCTGATATTTTTTTTTGTCTCTGCAATCACCGGTACTCTCTCTCTCTCCCTCTCCCTCTTCGTTCTGTCTCAAGCCCGCCGGTGGCCTCGGCATCGCCATGGAGCTGCCAGTGAAATCTCCGGCGGGCCCCGGCTGGCAAACCCGTTACCGGATAGAAGCCAAGTCTCTGTCGTACCGGTTGCCGGCCGGCGGCGGCAAATTCAGCTGGTCCAAGATCCATGCGAGCTCCGCGTCCATCCTGAAGGACGTGAGCTGCGACGCAAGGCCCGGCGAGGTCCTCGCCATCGTCGGCCCCAGCGGAGCGGGGAAGACGACGCTACTGTCCATTCTCGCCGGCATGAACCTCCCGGGGAAGGTCGCCGGCGAGATCCAAATCAACGGCTGCGACATGGAAGCCTCCATTTTCCAGCGAGTCTCCGGGTACGTCACCCAGGAAGACGCCCTCTTCCCACTGCTCACCGTGGAGGAATCCCTCCTCTACAGCGCCCGCCTGAGGCTGCATCGGCGGGGCGGCGGCGGTGGCGCCGCCGCCGCTCGGGTCCAAGAGCTGTTGAGAGAGCTCGGCCTTGAAGGCGTCGCCAAGTCCACCGTCGGCTCCGGCGGAGGGCGGGGCATCTCCGGCGGAGAGAGGCGGCGGCTTTCGATCGGGGTCGACCTGGTGCACGACCCGGCGATCCTCCTCCTCGACGAGCCGACTTCCGGGTTGGACTCTGCGGCGGCGCTGCAGATCATGTCGCTGCTCAAGTTCATGGCAAAGGCGCAGGGAAAGACGGTGGTGCTCACCATACACCAGCCAGGATTCCGGATACTGGAGCTCTTCGACCGGGTGCTGCTCCTCGCGGAGGGGACGGTCCGCCACCACGGCTCGCTCAGCCTCCTGGAGAAGCGGCTGGAAGAAGCCGGCCACCGCGTTCCCCACCACGTCAACGTGCTGGAGTACGCCATGGACGCCATGACGAGCTCCAACGGGGAGATGATGGCCCAGTCGAACTCTGAAGAGACTCCTCACCGCCCCGGCGGAAAGGAGGAGCATCGCGCCGTCATCTACGCCAACTCCCCGCCGGAGGAGGTGCTCATCCTCGGGGAGAGGTTCTTCAAGAACATCCTGAGGACGAACCAGCTCTTCGCGGCGAAGATCATCCAGTCCCTTGTGGCGGGTGTCGGGTTGGGGACCATATTCATGAACGTGAAGGACCTGCAATCTCGGGTGGGGTTCTTCGCCTTCACGCTCACCTTCCTTCTCTCTTCGACTACAGAGGCTCTCCCCGTTTTCCTCCGGGAGAGGAGGATACTGATGAGAGAAACATCGAGCGGAGCATACAGGGTCTCCTCCTACGTCCTCGCCAACGCCCTCGTCTTCCTCCCGTTCCTCCTGGCGGTGGCGCTCCTCTTCGTCGTCCCCGTCTACTGGATGGTGGGGCTACGTAGAGAGATCGACGGGTTCCTCTACTTCTCCCTCGTCGTCTGGATGGTGGTGGCGATGGCGAACTCCTTCGTCACCTGCTTCAGCGCCCTGGTGCCAAGCTTCATCATGGGGAACTCGCTCATCTCGGGCCTCATCGGCTCCTTCTTCCTCTTCTCCGGGTACTTCATATCGAAGGACAGCATTCCCAAGTACTGGATCTTCATGCACTACCTCAGCCTGTTCAAGTACCCCTTCGAGGCCTTCATGATCAACGAATACGGCGGGGGGACAGGAAGGAAGGCGTGCCTTCAGAGACAAGGAGAAATCTGTGTTCTCGACGGAGAGATGTTCTTGAGGCAGCAGGGTTTCTACGATCACCAGAGATGGACGAGCTTGGGGGTGATCCTGGGCTTCATCTTCCTGTACAGGCTACTATGCTTGGTGATCTTGTGTTTCAGATGCGGTAAAGTGAGAAGGTAGATACGAGAACCTTCCGCACATTTCCTTGTCATTCTTTCTCTATTTTCTTTTTCCCTTCTTTCTTCCTCCGTTGTATCGATCATGGGGGAGATCAAACCGATAATTTCTTCAATGACCTTCAGAGCGTCAGATTTTCTATTCCACTCCTTGTTTATTAACAGGATCTCGATCCCTGGGAATGTGAGAATTACTATCTCCGTGGATGAAATCAGAATAATCAAGGAAATCACCATGAAATCGTCTTCATCAGCTTCATCTCCCCAAACTCCGAGCTTTAGCTTCGTTGAGGTCTGCTTGGAGTGTCGCATCATCCTACGCTGATCTCCATTGCACTCTCCTCTAGCTCCCCAGTCTTGATTGATCGCTCCCGAGAGCGCTGCCTGCGGCTTCATCCAACGGCATGAATGGGCACGGCGAGAGAGTAAGGCGTTCTAGATGTCATTAAATCTAAGATAGAGAAGTCTGCACCATTGGAAAGTAGAAAGAGGGGCAAGCGTCAGATAGCTGTGATTCATGGGAAATCTATCGTGCCACAGATCGACAAACTGAGCATTTCTCGGCAAAAATGAGCGAACTTCTCCAGCTTCAAACGGGTGTACAAGACATCTGTAAGAAATTAAGACGGTGATTAAATTAGAAATTTAATATTCACGTGATTTGGGTTTTTCTAGATGCTCTACTCAAAGCAAGAACACGAAGGAAATCAGCAACGATTTCGTGGTGGGAAGTTGACAGTCTAGATGTTTCGCAATGAGTAGATAATATACGGAGATCACTAGTCTGAGCGCTCCAAGTAGCCCAGATCACTGAGTAACACCGTTTAGATTCCAGGGATACTCATATGGATATTAATTTTTCAAGATCAGAACGAACTGTCCCAAGCTTGGCTCTGTTCTTTTCCCTGATGAAAATCAAATAGATAAGCTACCATTTACGGCTCCCTGTTGCCTTTCATACATTCATAGGATGAGCTAGTCAGAGCAATACCACAAGGTCGGTTTTCTTTAGTATACTGTCATTTCCTGAATCTTGTTGACGACGAGGAAAAACGAAGGTATCAGAGGGAATGGCTCGAAGAACAAACATAGCGGATGATTGAAGATTTGGAAGGTTGCATCCTACTATTAAGTGATGAGCATTTCGGGGTGGATGGATTTGTATCTTATTCGCTGTGGAGACGATCAGGTTCTGTCTGACCCGAAGAACTGTTCTATGGCATTTCAAATATATTGATGGAAACCCAAAGAGGAATCTACGAATATTTCCCTCACGTTCCACTAAGGAAAGATTAAAGGGGAAGTCTTTGATGAGCAGGGAGAAACCGAGCTTCCAAGAGTGCGTAGAATTATGAAATCGTTGATGATTCCACAGAAGAGCAAGCAGGAGCAAGATGAGTATATGGAGTTGTCGAATCAATAAACAGAAAACCCTCTTCGTAGGCAGAAAAATTAACAACTTCGTGGAAAAATGAGGAATGAAGCCTCGAGGAGATTTTGAGACGCAACCGAAGAAGTTTAGCACAGAGACGCTGATCTGGTCTTCACTGCAGGGGAAGGCCCCAGGCAACGGTTGAGATTAATCCTTTCCCCGTAGGAACCCACATTCCCCCGAAAACCCTGGACATCTGGAGGAGGAGAAAACATTTCCTCCGAGAAGAGCAGGAGGAAGAAATGCAAGTTCCCGGCTGGTTGGGTGAGGCCAGAAAAGGAATCTGGGGTGATGGCGCTGCTTCGTTCTATCGTCCTTTCCTGATGACTTCCCCGCTTTCCATTCTCTTCAGTCTGAAAGGCTCCAGTCTGCGAGGGACGAGAGGATTGAGACAGCGCTCTCTGCGTGAGAATTCCTTTCATCCTGACTATTCTACGCGATAGGTATCTGAAGTCAACGGTCGTACAGCCGAAGGTTTTAGGGTTCGGCCTGAACGCCAGAGATCCCACTTTCTCCGACTTCCCCCGTCCTCCACCTGTTCGCGGGCGCCTGCAACCCCAAGTCTGCCGTTCCTCTGCGACCTCCACTCTCTTCCTATCCAGCTCCCTTTCTCTTCATAAAGCTGCACCCTCATTCTCAACTTCATCAAAAGGCAGCCGTCTCACAACCCCGGTAGTCGCGATATGCTTAATATGCCCGGTTTTATCTTACCATCGATCGACTGATCCGATCCTAATCCGGCTGCCACTCACACCGCTCACACTTCCTCCCCCTCCAAAGGCCCATCTCAGCAGCCACTCACACCGCTCCCTCAACCCTGCCAAGCGCGAACTGGAGCCTCGGACAACAACCGTCATGGCCCCTTTCCCATGCCTGCCATTGTCGGACTAGGCTTGAGCCCAATTTGACGAGCCCATTTTGATGAACATCAGAAAATTTCCCACGATAACCATCATTGTGCTCAATATCACATCGATCAACCAGTCTATGCATTTTCATCATCGAGTCCCAAGTTTATCATCTAGAAGACCTCTTGGAACCAACCCCAAAACCTGATCTTTAACTCGATGAAATACTTTCATTGATGTTTCGCGATTTCAAGTATTTTTACTTTTCTAAACCAGTGTTATCTTCCATGGGCAACCAACATCCTGAGTAGTTAATTCGAAGACCACTAGTAACCTCTAAGAGTGTGAACACATCTGGAAGTTGAAAAAAGAGAGATCTTTGAACGATTAAACCTTCATTTTTTGGCTAGGGTCTTTCACGTTCCAACTCCTCGGTTAGTCAGCAGCGAGATTCTCTCTTCCCCCCCACCCCCGAGTTCTACGATAGGGAGGACAGACCTAGATTAGGCTGGGCTTCGAATTGCAGCTTTGTTCCCCTTAATATGTTTCCAGCGATATTGATATCATCTTAGAAACCTCTCTTTCTTTTTTTCTTGCACATCTTTTTCTCTCTCCAAGATTATTGCCGCACCGAGAAGTCCATTCATCCATTACTACTAAAGATCCGACCGGTTCAACTCAAAATTATCTGCGAATCAATTAAAAATATATATTTCTTAATGTACATGATCTAATGAGGACGAAATATGTGAGATCACTCTGACACACTCGCGTAAATGGCAAGTTCATGATGAACTAGTCATACGTACTGCACGAATGAGATGTACAGTATGCGAGTAAAACCGCAAGTTTAAATACCAAGTTAAGAAATTAGGCCATCTAACTCGAACAGAATTGGCAGAGAATGAAATAATAATGTGCAAAAGTTTCCTTTAAACAGTATCAAAAGCTTCACATCCAGAGAGGAGCTACCCAATTTCAAGAGCTCCACGACACAGCATTAAAATTTAATGAATTAACGTAGACGTGCAGATATAAGGTCGGATGATATGAAGAAGAATGACCCTTCACAATCTGGAGAGATATAAGTAAATGGCAACTAAGTTTGGCCGTTTCTTCGACAAATTGGGCTCGCATGAGCCTCTACGTCAGCCTCCGTCCCATGTGACGGCTGATGTAACATGCTGTTCTTCGAAGAATATCTCAATAGGCTGTGGCTTATTAGACTCTGTCATCCCCGCTGGAGTCCATAGGCTTCAATCCAGAGGGTGTCTGAAAGCATAATGGAGGCATCCCTTGGGGAAGTGATCAGCAGAAACCGGAGCATGGGACGAAGATGGGAAGTTTTCCTGATTCAGGGAGCCATCGGAGCCCGTCTCATGGACTGGAGCGGCTGGCCATGCCTCAACAGTCCTCAGTGGCCATGCCCATCAAGGAAGCAACCTCGTCATGTGCACCGGTTGGCAGCGGGGGTCGCCTCTTTGGGCCCTGCCGTCGCCTCTAGTGCCCAGACTGGTTTGGCGATAATCTCCAGAACTAGGGATGCACAAGCTTGCTTATTGGGTGTGTGCTAGCTGTATCGACAGTAGCAGTGAAATTATTGAAAACGGAAACTGATAGATTAGGTTTTCAGATGACAGCATGCTTTTGGACTGCTCTCACAGAATCTTCCGTGATTATTTATGATTGAAGTATGTGGAGTTATCACTCGTTACTTTCTGATAGAAGTCTTCGCGAGTATACCAAACGGATCCTGCCTCTCATTAAACCGGAAGATAATGGTTTCACCGTGACGGTGAGCCGACGACTGTGAGAACTTGGTGGATGTGATGGCGCAAGCGATCTGCGCGTAGAAATAAAGCGTCCGGTTCTCAGAGATGCAGAATATGCTCACTAGAATAGTTAACAGCTCTCTCTTCTCCCTCCCATTCTCTCTATGTCCACGTCCCCTTTTGCCGAAGTTTGTATGTATCTGTGCTGGGCACCGCTGTCCAGTGGAGATTCCGATCTCCGAGACATTCTCAGTACGCTCTCTCCACATGGTCGGTTCTCGAGAACCGATTTTATATGTCGCAAAGATTCAAATACGCAGTTGATTAATGCCTGGGGGTAGTGGTGGACAGAGATCAGGGGTCTTCGGCACATGCAGGCTCTGTGGTCAGAGAATTAAAGGCTGAACAACAGTTATAGATTATCAGGGAAGGCCAGAAGTGCCTTCACTGGAAAAACTTCCCCACAAATCCCACCGGTTATAGAGTATGTTCATGAGGCAATAAAAGAAGCCCGTCTATTCACCAGGAGACTCCCCTAAGTTTGTTTCAGTTATTTATCTACACAAACTCGCTTTGGAGATGCGCCTTCAGGCCTGAGATAGGTTTGATGACCACAAGGGGATTCGCTTTAAGAATATCTCCATCCTAGCCCCGTTTAGTAGCTGTAATTGGTGTAGTAGAGGTCTAGCCGGAACAATGATACATGGGCTGCAGAGGGCTATCAGGAAAGAACATAGCGTGGGCCTGCGTAATTAACTAGCGTTGTTTCATTCTTTTCCAAGGAACGAACCCGGAGAGTAAAATAATCAGAGGAAACAAACGGTCTCTCCTCATCCATGCCCCTTGGAATCTTCCCCGGCATGGCGTCCGCTCACGCGTTCTCGTCAAGGAAATTTAAAACTACTGCTGAGCTAACAGACTCCCGGTGATGACGGGAACGATAGCTCGGAGAGAAAGCGTCTGGTTTGTAAACGAAAGAGCTCCAGAGGGTATTTCTAAGTTGCGTACAAGAGAAGTCATAGGACTTCGATTCTACAGTTGTCATGGATCAGATTGAGCGAGGTCTTGCTTCTTGGTGGTTCAAGCGATATTGTTCAGTAAAAGCGAACGATTTATCCGATGTGTTATCTTCCAGTAAACCAATCTGGAGTACCAAATAAAGCGCGCCTGCAGTTCAAGATGAATTAAGTAATGTGATTTAAGATAGTTGATTAAGTACTGTGATTTAAGATAGTTTCCCCGTATAGCGTGATGATATCAACAGTACATCATTCTTTAGGATGGGATCTACTCGTTTCCTGAACAATGGTACTATTATGGGTGAGGAAGGAGCCTGTGGCTTACCTCAAGAACACAACAAACCGACGGTGCCTAGTCAGGCCCCGCTGGTCACGGAGAATTGGAGGCATCACGAGTGTCTGTGTCGGCGGGAGCCTGGATTCGCTGGACCGCTGGCCGCCCCGGACGAAGGACGTCGTCAGCCTACTGTGAGCTGACCGACCATGTTAGGTGCCGTCGTACGCCGACGCCGCCGAAAACCCTTTCCTCGTTCTCTAAGCATGCCGGGGAATATCCATGAAACGTGCCTCGCCGACGGCGGGGGTGTGCACGGGCCGCCGGTTCGGTGAACAGCGGTCCGAAGGAAACGCTTGGATGAGAGTGCTGACAAGACGGTCAACGAGGGTCCCTTCCGTAGTCGATGATACCGTGTTCCAAGAGAAATAAGAGAGTAATCGGATTTTTAAGGAGAATCTTGATGGGACAGGATCAGTGGGTACATTTCTCATTTTTTATTTAATATATATATATATATATTTCACTCATGCCATTATATTTTCGATCATGTAAACATTTTATTTACATAAAGTTAAAAAAAATGTTCTTCTAAAACCGAGACTCCTGAACGTTGGAGAGAGCTTGGAAGGTCAAGGTCCCCGCGACGGGCGGTTTTCGAAGGAGTTCGAAAAGCCAAGGGAAATTATGCCTCTTAAATCATCACATTGACGATGACGTCGACGTACCTGTTGGCCCGGGGCTCCTCACAGTTGGGTTCACGTCCATCGACAGATCCGACGGGAACCAAGATATCTATGATGGCCATTTAATGATGCACCTAACATTCCACCATCCCTCAAAGACCGCGTATATTTCGTATCCTTCTCCCTTAGACATATAAGCCATCTAGTGCGCATTGAGTGCGCCGGCTTCTTGCTCCTCCAATAGAAAGATGACCTAGAAGTCTGCCCTAGAGGTAAGTAACCGCTCACCGGTGCCAGGTCGCAACCCGTGGAAAGGGAACAATCCGGCAAATGGGTCTCATAACAAAGAGATTACCTTATCCCATTAAGGCTAATCCCCCCCCCTCCCCCCTCCCTATAAGCGAATTGAACGCAAGTGCGAATAGTAGTTGCCTCTCTCTCTCTCTCTCTCTATGTTTTTCTCTCCCCTCTCTCTCTCTATGTTTTTCTCCTCCCTCTCTCTCTCTATGATGTATATATAATTCTAGAGCGATCCTGGAGTCTACTGAGTTCAGTGTCCCGTTAAGTAATTCTGGTCAGTTTAGCTTCAGAGAGAAGGACGGGGGTGGCCAGTAAGTTCGCTGAGGAGAAATCATATCAAGTTGTCTACCTGGATCCAGTTGGAGCACACGAGCCCTGTCAGAGGCTTAGACCGCCACTCTGTCCATTGTTTCGGAGACGAAGACTCCGCGGGTCAAACCAGGGACAACACTACCCAGGAGCGCCGTCCGGCTGGTGCGACTTGAAGAAGAAGGGCCGTGTCGTACCCGGATTCCACAGTGTCGGCTGGAGGACGACTGCTTGGACGGTATCAGTGGCAGTTTAAATGAAAGTAAAAGAAACAAACTCCCCTTGAAATAAATCCCGCCATGGAACTTCATGGCCTCGACAAAACATTTGCCCGTAAAAGATAAAATACAGGAATTATAATTTTCTCTCAATAAACTGAAATATACCTCCATATAGCTGTAATAAGATGCTTGACCTACCGATGTACGGCCAGCATCATGGGCCCCAAGTCAAAGGGCCACAGGACTGAACTGATCTAAGTGGCTTACTCCGGGCAAACCGGCTCGATCGACCCCACAACGTTCAACTTTACGTCACCACAATCAATGACGCATACATTAATGTGAGCACATGGATTGTATTATATCATATGACAGCATGAAAAATCGCCCTTCACCCCCACAACAAACGCCCCAACTAGAGTATGGTAGGGGTCAACCTCTCTGAGTCCTTCCTGTTTGTCTACCTGTGACGTAGATGTTGCCTGTTATCTTTGACAAACTTGACTGTCAGCTAACTCATCATCCGAATATTAAATACTGAAAATATCTACAAATCAGAGGTGGTATCTTTGACAGTATGTTTTGACTCAGTGGGGGGGGGGGGGAGAACTTTGAGACCAGTCTGTCCCTTCTCCATCTTCTACCTCCCAATGTGCGGTCAACCGGTTGGTGCCCGATCCAGCTTAAGCAAGGTCACCGTCCGCCATCGGTACAACTCCCAGCCCATCAAGTCGTGGGCCCCAAATCAATCCCGCCAAATGCCGCCAAGTTAAACCCGTTGAAGGACAACGGCTCTAAGGCCCTACAGCTCTCTCTCTCTTCCCAAGAAAGATTGTTAGCTCACATCGAAGTTTCACAGATCTCTCCCAGCAACCCCCCAGCCCGCCTTCAATTCAACACGGCGCGCCTTCGGCGAAGACTACCGCTGAAGGACGAAAACAAGAGCCAAGATGGGTCCATCTTAGCCACCCCACGCGCCCCGCGGTTCCACACGAAGAAGGAGATCCCTCCGGGGTTCCGGTCGTTGACTTCGGAGCCATCTTCTTCCTCCTCACCGGCTCCCGCGTGCCCACACCGCGAGAAGGGAGGAAGGGTTCGGGGAGACGCAGTTAATGCCCCGGATGACCTCGTGGTCCGAAACGCCGACCCATTTCCAAATTGAACGCGCGTAAAGAAGAAGAAGCTGCTATCCTTCCCTGTCGAACGGGTTGATTAGGGTGATCGGTTCTCACTGAATGCTGTCGGTTCCTCGACTAGCGGCAAGCTGGGAGGGCGTGTCTCTCACGCTGTGTACTAAATGAGCATGCTTTCGCTTAAATTCCGGTTTGAATGACTGTAAAAGATAAGATCACGATCACTTCAGTCCTCTGCGTAAAACCCAACTCAGTAGTAACCATGCTTTGGAGAAATCTTGTGAAATAATTCTGGATATTTGATTTCCCAATCGGCGTAGGTCGAACTTTTGAGAATGCTAGAGAATATTTATGCACTCGTGGGTCTTCTCTTGCGTAGTTTATAATTCCCGGGGTCAACGGCCGGCGGCGCTGGCGGAGAGGAAGGAAGGTCCTTGTCGTGTGGCTCGGTGGGATTACGGGATATTCTGCCGGGGGTGCCACTGTCGTTAAGGGTGCCGTTAAGCCGGTTAGTTGGACGGCGGGGGAGCTTAGGGTTTTCTTGGTGTTGCCAGCTGGCAGGACGTGCTGCACATGGCCAGCTGCCTCTGTCTGTGGAGTCCTGCGAAATTACGAAGCAGGGTCGTCCATCTGACTCGCCGGAGCGTGAGGAGAAGGGTTATAACGTGATTTTCGAACTGGGGAGGGGTTTTTGGGTATTTTTATTGGCTGCGGTCTCCAAAGAAGAGGAAATCTGGAAAGCGGCGGATCTGAGTGCGGAGGCGGAGCTCGTGTTGCAGCGGCGGAGGACGGGAAGGAAATAACTTCTGCCCATGTCCACACTTTTTTACAGTTGGGTGGTGACGAGAACGGGGACGGTCACGTTATCACCCCCCCCTGGGTAAGGGGCTGTGGACGAGTGCGGTCACCTGGGACGAGGAGGTATGCGTACCGCCTCTGTGGACAGGAAAAAAACGAAGAAGAGATATGGGAAATAGAGGACCGGAGTTTCTCGTGTTGGGAGGCAGGAAATAAATCAAAAAGACCCTCTATTTCTTCCTCCCCCGTCTTCCTCTTCCCTGTCTCCTCTCTCTCTCTCTCTCCGTCTCTCTCCGTCTCTCTCCGTCTCTCTCTGTCTCTGCCCTCTTCTCTCCTCCCTCCTCTCCTCTACCTCCAATCTACCTGCATTCATTCCTTGCGTCCATCTTTCCATTCACGAGATCCCCATCTCGACATTTCACTCGCGTCCACCTCTGCTTTTCTCCTCCCGCCACCACCGCTCTTGGCTCTGGTCATGTCTTCTTCTGGCTTCTCTGTCTGCTGGGCAGAGGCCACGACCTCTCCTGCCCCTCTCCCTCCTTTGCTGTGGCTGTCGCAGGACGTGTAGCCGCTGATCGGAGGGCGCAGTAGTGGTGACAGGAGGAGGAGGAGAACGTTGGGGGGGTGGAATCAGGGGGGGAGGGATCTGCGGCAGAAGTGGAAGTGAAAGGGAAGAAGACTACAAGGATTTGAGCTTTCCCACGGATGTTGCATCCCGTCGACATGAATGGCAAGAAGCCGAGGGCCATTGTGGGCTCGGGGCTCGATTCTATTTCCGATCGGTTCCACTCGGCTATCACCACCTTCGATGGCAATAAGCCCGACTCCAAGGATTTCGATTTGGGGTCTCCGGTCTCCCCACTAGGGAACAGGCCTACCTCCACCGCCATCACCAACACCAGCAGTAGCTCCAGTTCGTCTGGCTCGGTCACCGGGAGAACTGGCTCTAATGCCGTCGCGAGGAAGAAGTACGACGGCAAGAGTCATTCCGGCGAGCTCGGGGGCTCCGGCGAAAGCCACCCGGCGGCCGTCGACAGCCCCGTTTCGTTGGGGCAGAGAAATTGGAAACCTGGGCATCGACGGTCAGGTTCTGGCCAGTTAATCTTCTCCGGCGGCAGCGCTGGCGGTGGTGGGGGGAGTAGCTCTGCGACCTCCCCAATCACCAATGTGCTGCCAACGGGGAACATCTGCCCGTCGGGAAAGCTTGGAAAGACGGGCATGATGAGCCGCAGCACGCCGAGGAGCGACGTGCTGGGTTCCGGCACGGGGAATTACGGGCACGGCAGCATAATGCGAGGCGGTGCTGGGCCGGGGAGGCCGCCGGCCGAATGTTCCCCATCTACAGGTAGTCCTGAGATGGCGGCGGCGACTGCAGTGAGGCGGGCGATGGCGAGCACGGATCCGGAGGAGGTGAAGAAGGCCGGAAACGAACAGTACAAGATGGGTCATTTCTCGGATGCGCTGAAGCTGTATAATCGGGCGATCTCGATGTGCCCAGCTAATGCCACCTGCCACAGTAACCGGGCGGCGGCGCTAATTGGGTTGGGGAGGCTGGCTGATGCAGTGAGGGAATGCGAGGAGGCTGTGAAGCTTGATCCATCTTACTGGCGCGCTCACCAGAGACTGGCTTCCCTGTACATCAGGTGAGGGTGACCTTCTATGGAGTCGGCTGATTAGATCCCCATTTTATCTCCGTTCCTTCGTGCGTTCCTCTGGCTCTTTATTAGCAAAGTTGGGTCCTGTTTCAGTAAGTGAGAAGAGATAGAGAGAGGGAGAGGGAGAGGGAGAGAGGTTTCTTTACGTTGTTTTGTTCCAATGCAGCCGTTTCTTGCTAGATTCCAGTGTCCTAGATATGGGTTGATGAAAGACCTGAATGCCATAGGCCGTAGGTTACGTTTAGTTTCAATCTTTTTGTTTTTCTTATAAAAATAAGGAAGAAAATTTCATCTGTTTTCTTGCATGCCTCGCGTCATTGATTTTCATGTTTCTGCTTTCTATATTTCATATTTTTCGTGCCTTCACTGGCATATTCTCCCTTTTTAGCCTTCCAAACAGATGTTGATCTCCATGAGTTCTCATGAGAATTTCCATGATTTGTGTCGATTCAATTCAATGAATGCTTTCTTTCCCATTACAGAAACCTCCCTTGCTACCCTCATCACAGTGGATGAGGAACAAGGGCGTGAGGGTTCCGTTCTTCCTCGCAGACAGGGAATTGATTTGACACGAACTCATGTTATCCCGACAATCTGCAGGTTAGGCATGGTTGAGAGTGCGCAGAAGCATATCTACGCTGGGCAGCAGCTGGATCAGGTAGAATTGCAGAAAGTGCAGGCGGTCGAGAGGCATTTGAAAAGGTGCGCAGATGTCAGGAAGATCAAAGACTGGGCGAGTGTGTTGAGAGAAAGCGAAGCTGCCATTGAAGCTGGAGCAGATTCTTCCTCATTGGTGGCCATTCTCAACTTGGTTTCTCTGCGATTCTCAAGCGAAGGAGAAGTAATATAAGCTCTAATTGTTTTTTAATCTGTCAGCTATTCGCTGCAAAGGCAGAAGCTCTTCTCCGACTCCATCAACTGGAGGAAGCCGATTCGATCTTAGCAAAAGCTTCAAAGCTAGAATTCTCCCTCACAGGCGCCTCCCAGACTTCCTTCTTCGGCATGCAATCAAATGCCTACCTGTTCTTTGTCCAGGCTCTGGTGGAGATGGCGCTGGGGAGGTGAGGTTTCTGGGTATAGGATTATTCTGCAAGATAACGATAATCTCCGATGGGTGAGATGGGTTGATGGATCTTTTACAGGTTTGAGAATGCAGTTTCTGCAGCCGAGAAGGCGGCCCGTGCAGATCCCAGGAGCTCCGAAGTTGCCACCGTCCTCGCCAATGTGAGGGCCGTGGCTAGAGCCAGGTCTCGGGGGAACGAGCTGTTCAAGGCCGGCATGTTCGTCGAGGCCTGTGGAGCATATGGGGAGGGCCTGAGATTCGACCCTTCCAATCCCGTTCTGTACTGTAACAGGGCCGCTTGCCTCTCGAAGCTCGGGCAATGGGAGAAGTCCGTCCAGGACTGCAACGAGGCCCTCAGAATCCACCCCAACTACGCAAAGGCTCTCCTCCGAAGGGCTGCCTCCAATGGCAAGGTGAAGAGATTAACCGGGGTCTCCTCTGCTTTTCATGGCTTGTTTTTGGCTGAGAATTGTCGCTGTGCTCTGAAACTCTCAGCTCGAAAGGTGGGCGGAGGCCGTCCGAGACTACGAGCTCCTGCGGAAGCAGCTCCCTGGGGACAACGAGGTCGCTGAAGCTCTGTTCCACGCCCAGGTGGCTTTGAAGACGGCCCGAGGGGAGGAGGTTTCCAATCTGAAGTTCGGGGGAGAGGTTGAGAAGATCTCTGGCGTGGAGCACTTCCGTGCCGCCATCTCCTTGCCCGGTGAGCTTCCTTCGCTATAGCTTCTCTCACTGAGTCAACTAAGAGACCGTCTCTTCAAAACCCTGAGCGGAGATGTTCATTACCCGTGAACATTGGCCGATGAAACCGTCGGCTTGATCTCACTCACTCATCCCGACTCAGGCGAAAGTTTCTTGGATGATTGCAGGCGTCTCCGTCGTCCACTTCATGTCTGGTCTGAACCAGCAGTGCCTCCAGATTTCGCCATTTGTGGACTCCCTGTGCACTAGATATCCGTCTGTAAATTTCCTCAAGGTAGGAGCCCCGGGAATATTCCCATGAAGCAGGCTCATCTTCACAGGCGCTGTTCCGAAGAAGAAATCATTCGCTGAAACTGAAACTCCCTTGGTGCTTGTCAAACAGGTGGACGTGGATGAGAGCCCAGATGTGGCGAGCTCGGAGAGCGTGAGGATTGTCCCCACGTTCAAGATCTACAAGCAGGGGTCTAGAGTGAAGGAGATGATCTGCCCCAGCAGGCAGGTGTTGGAGTACTCGGTGAGACATTACGGCATTTAGGTGGTGCTCATTGTAGGTCCTCCGCCGCCGCCGGCAGGTAGATATCTACCAACTCTCGCAGTAGTGAGCCAGGCAGATTGTAATTCCTCGTAGGGATCGGTTGGGCCCAGAGAATAGCGTCATTTTTTCTTCCTCCCCGGCCCCTTCTCTGCTTCTTTCGACTCCATTGCCAGCCGCATTCATTCCTTCCATTTTCCCCAGCCCCATTTTTCCAGTCGTTGCCTCTTCAGCTTAGGCAGGCCTTTATTGTTCTTAGATATCCCGTTCGACCACCCTCCTTGTTCAGAGATGCTGGAGAGTCTGTACCATTGATTGGGTCCTGTGCTGGGTTGGGAGAAGGGCTGTTGTATATAGGGTATATTACCAAAGCACGGGGGCCACGAAGAGATAGAGAGATACAGAGAGAGAGAGAGAGAGAGTGAATGTTCTTGGTGGATACTGCAGAGCCCCTGCTCTCTATTGCTGCCGTTTACTTCATCATTCGGGATTTGCAGAGGTTGGGGGGCCTGTCACCGCTCGATGATGCTGTTGCCGCTGGTTTTAGACGGATGTCGTGTGCTACCCCATTTCTTCCATGTCAATGAATAAAACTTCCAATTTATTCCTTTTCTCCTTTCAGCCTATCTTCATCATCATCGCCCGTGCGCTGCCTCCGCCATCTGCGTCATTATTGTTTCGTCCGCTCCCCCCTCAGTGGTCCCTTCCTTTCACCATTAGAAAATAATGGGTCTTTGCCTAATCAGTATATATATATGAGAGAGAGAGAGAGCGGACAGCTGCACTGCATCACGAAGATAGGACAGAGGGGGAGGGTGTACTGTGGGCCTTCGAGGGGGAGGCGGGGGTTTCTTGTCCCAGGGTTGTTGGGAGCATTGATTGTGGTGGCGGGGCCGAATTTATCTCCGATCTACGGCGCTTTCCTCGTCTGCATACGTCAAAAGCCCAGAAGGCTTAATAGAAATCCCACGCTCTCCGGGGACAGACGTGGCCTGCCGCCCTGTTCTCCACAACGAAGCACTTCTGCCTCTAGGTGTGTGCGGACTGGGCTCTAGCAGAAGACCCCAAGCTCCGATTTTCCCATGTTTCTTTCCTCCTCCAGGGCACGCAGAGGGAAAACGGCTTTTAGCATTAACTCCGGCTACCCTCCCCTACTTGTCCTCTCTGCGCCCTGCCAGACAACCAAGCCCAGCATAGTAACGGCAGGCTCCTTCATCCGCGTCTCCATCCACCCTTCTCTCTCTCTCTCTCTCTCTGCGTCTCTATTGTGGGTCGCAGGCGGCAGCCCGTGATGGGTGTCCTCCGAAGTATATCACGGAAGGGAATGTGGTTGGGTAAGCGTCCTCGTGGGTAGTTTTCCTTTTTACGATTTCCCATTGTTGGACAATACGTGTTCTCGGCTATTCGTGTCCGGGCGCGGGAGGATGTGTGGGTGATCTATTATACCAGGCGCAGTCGAGCGGTTCCATGGATTCGTTTAAGGTTAAAGTTTTTTGTTTCTCCAATATGTCGGCTTTATACTATAGCTGTTCATGTGGCAGTCCATCCCCTCGGGTGGGACTTCCAGCTAAGATCGCGCTCCTGACCCAAACCCGAGAGGGCCATCTGTCCGACGGTCGCGGGCGAGGGGAAAGAGGGAGAGAAACGAGTCGGCTTCCGGCGCTGTCGAACCTACCTTCCATGAGAGTACCTCTTTCCCTGAGTGAAGCCGAAAGGAGGGCGCTAGAAGAGAGAGATTTGCAGTCAACCCGACTGTGTCTTCGGGGGAGTGGCTCTTCTCTCCAGCGCCGCCGGGGAAGGAGGGAAGGAGGGAAGGAGGCGCTCCAGTGGGGATCAGGAGGAGGGCAGTGAATCGGACCCCGGCGGCCCCGGAGAGACCGGCCGGAAATGCAGGCGCAGGCACACGAGCGCGTTACTGTACAAAGTAGAGGACGCATCAGGAATATAATTTATGATAGAACCTTTTCATGAGGAGTTCTTCGACTGAAATAAATCCGCATGAAGGCTCCTCCCCCGTGGGGTCGCATTATTGTTTCTTGCACTAGCTTAGGATCCCCCCTGTGGCCCGTGAACGGGCGCTGCTACCGCCGATGCCGCTGCCATGATGATTCCCCCCGCCGCCGGTCGCCGGCAAGGCTGACCGGCCTCGTGGATAATAACACACCCACAGAGTCTCGGTATCGCATGCACAGTCCACGAATAATAGAGATTTCGTCTCAAACGGACAAACTTCTACCGTCGATCGCGTGCCGATTGGCCTCTCCACCGAGAGGGGCTCTCCAAAGCCCGCAGAGCGGCTGCCCGTGTGGTGAGTTTTCTCGCGCGTCCGCTTCTCGGCGGCTCCGCTCTCCTTTTCGGCCATTAATCGGCTCTGCAAAACAATGACGTACGATTGCACGGTCAGTAGGGCACGAGCTCTCCCGTTTTGAAATTTCTCGAAACGACACCTGTTACCTGCCTTCCTCTCACGAGCTGCTCGCTGCAGAGCTTGCTACAGTCCATCAGTCTGTACTCTTACCTTTTTACTGTGTCCCGTGTCCTCGCGCCGACGTTTTAATCTCCTTGTTAAATATCCCTCTCGTTTCTTCCCTTCCACTGTTGCAGACGTTAACCTGCAAACACGAGCCCTAGATCCTTCTGGCGACCTTGGTCACCGAGAAGCTCTCTAGCTCCAGTGCTTCACGTTGTCACCTCGGCAAAGATGAGGTTGGATGTTGAGCCGCCCCCGGCTCCTGCGACTAGTACTGGTAGATACTTCGCCATTCCATACAGTTCGCAGGCGACCAGTGAAACCAATTTGGTCAGTTCTCCATTGTCGATCGCTCCGAGGGTATGCTCACATCGTCAACGTTTTTCATTGACTTGATCTCCTTTGTCAACTCGTGTCGTTTCAGAAGCCAACCTCCGCCTACACGTTCGAGGTCTACTCGTAGGCCTATTCAAATGTGCAGGTTTTCCCAAGCTTGGGGCAGTTTAAGGTCAATGCGGCTGGCGCGAGTAAGGGCAATCCAGGTAGATCGGGTGGAGGTGGGCTGGAGAGAAACGTTAGGGTACTTCATTTGGCCGTCAACTAAATGGTATTTTGCTCCAGCTTTATGACTCCGTAGACCCAAAGCTTGAAACCTCCACAGACATTCGAGGACCCCCGTGGTTGCCAGATAGAACGCCGCCATTTGGGAACTGAAAGAAAGGCCCATCAGACGTTCGTTGGTCAACGGACCTCGGCCCATCCAAGGTGGAGGCCGCTCATCAAATGGAACAAGCTGTGGCCATTCAACAACGGCATCAGGCGTTAGTAAGAGGCACTTGTTTGACGATGATTTTATAGGACCAACCAATCAAATACTGATATACATTGTAGCTTTCATTTGTACATTGCTGGATGACAGAACAATCATTGGTTCGCTCGAGATTATATCAAACATCAGAGACGACGAGCAGTGGATTGTGACGAACGTGGGCTTGTTGCAGGAAAAGCGGATAATCCGTTCTCTCTCACACACACACACGCAACATACCGGACGATCAACTACGCACGTTGATGGATCAGTCACGTGGATTGGAGAGGGGGCGGACAAGCGACTGGACAGAAAAGAGTAGGGAGGCCCCAAAGTGAGACCACGAGGGTTCATATAGTCCACGAAATGCGCCTCGTGGGCCAAAAAGGGGCGAGGAAAGGATTCGCCAAAGCTCTCAGGATCCACAGCCAAAGGGGAACAGCTCGCGTCGTCTTTGTCGCTCTCTCCCGCTCTGAGGGGACGCACATGGCTGGGACGTCCTGCGGCATCTCGGGGTGCCACGGCAGAGCGTGGGCCGGCAGGCGCCGCCTACGCCTCGCTTGGCAGACGCCGCGATGATGAGGGGGATTCCCATGATTATTCGTCCCGCCGAGGAGGCCATCTCGTTGTCACGGGGGTCTCCGACTCCAAAACCAATACGCCTTGAGTCCAGCAGCCCTATTTGTAATGGGCATATTAAAATATTTTCAGAATTTATGTGGTGATTAAAGGTGATAAAATGGCGGGCATGGCCTGAGCCAAGACGACTTCAATTGGATTATCGATGTCCTTCATTTACATAACGTCTGAACCGGTCGAAGCGCAGAGGAAAGTCCAGACCGCAGCGCTCCAAGTACATCTAGCAAGGAAGGGGGGGAGAAAGAGAGAGCGAGAGAGAGATAGAGAGAGGATGCAGGGAAACCACCTGGCAGGAAAGAATGAACTTTGACCTTTTACTATACATAAGGGAAGCTCAGATCAACTTGGATACGAAGTAAGGTGGGTCACGCCTATTTTCACTTCGTGGACTGACTCTGAGGCTTAAGCTATGGAAATTCAGGCCGGACATGATTCCGACCTTACCTTAGTCATTGGAACAGCTAGATGTATTACAGAGCTTAGTCTCCTCCCATTGAATGTATTCATTCAGGCTAGGCCACTGAAAGCGATTAATGCTTAAAGGTTTGATATCATCGTAAACCGCTGGTCGTTCAACTGTAATCAGCGCATTATGGGTGGAGGAGATTCACCCCCTTTGATTTGTTGATTTTATTATTTCACTAATGGTAAATATTTCTAATAAAAATCATTCAGTTCACGCAACATATTATCTCGAGATATAGCTCCCTTCATATTATGCTCAGGTTTACTTTGGAACCGTTCGTCATCGACACCGGCCCCCTGAATATAAGTAAAGTTTAGAATTCAGGGTCAAGGCTGAAGATCTAGTTGGGTAGTCTATCTCTCTTAGTAAATGTGGACCGGACTAAGTTCCTAATGACGTGGTGTGAAGCTCTTTCTAGCTGGCATCTTATCTTACACAACGTATCCGCCGTCGTTTGGATTAATAAAACTGCATTGACGTCACCACACCAGACCGTGACGACCATCTAACTTCATCTTGACGTCAGATTGCAACAAGTCGCAACTCTTTGAGGAAGATCTTACTCAATTTGGCCTAGGATCCGATTCTCTTAAATGCACATTATCTCTAATGTGTCTGTCTCATTAGATAAGACGCCGATCTGATCGGAGATGTGGTTGCATATTCTAGAGGGGATTACATTTTGCATCATACATCCTCGTTTGTATGCCGTTGCATGCCTGTTTCACATGCTCTAAGATTGATAGCGCCAGATTTCCGATAAGATCCCCATGGAGAGAATCTAAATCAAATGCAAATGCTTCTGATCGCCAATATCAGACTTTCGTCGAGGACCACAGGTTAAAAATAAAATCACGCAACGATATGGAAGTGCTCTCAATCTTCCATTTGTCAAGGATTTTGGGTTTCAATTTTCTGCGGCTGGTAAGGATGGTTCTGCATGAGTATCATCAGATCAATATAAAGTTACTCGTCTCGCTATTTTCATCAGAATTAAAAACATAAGTGTTGATGAGGAGCGTGCCTGTGGGTCTTGGTTCGGCTCCAGCTTCGAAAGAGTATGACTCGAGTATCCTTGACAACGGCATCTAAATATCCATCTTGGCGAAATAAAATCGAAAAGACCCGAGCCTCTACGCTCTGTGCCTAGGCATCTAGGGTTCCGGCTAATGAACTAAAGTACTTCGATCTCCGTTCCTCTGGGTAATGCGAGAGAGAGTATAAAAAGGAGGTGCACATGGGCCGAGAGCCGGTGCCGACGGCCCTCTAGAGAGTAAAGTTAAAGTTTCCCAGAAAGCTAGTGCGCATATACCTGTACCCATCTGTCCCCACTTGATATTGATTATTTTCGTCCTTTTCTGTTTACATGAGGCGTTTATTCCACGTGGTCATATCTTACAAGTAAATTCCTCCCTCCCGCTCCCCTTAGGGAGACCAAGCGAAGAAAGGAAAACCTATCAAGCCCCCACAGTGCCCTCCATGTCCTAAAGCAGTTCTTCCTTTTGACGGAGGAAAGATGAACCTCTTCCCCTGCAACAGCGTCACAGAAAAAAAGACAAATTTATAAGAGTAATACAGATCTAACCGGTGTTGATGTCAAAGGGTGTCAATGGTCTAAGTATGAAGCCCAGCGTAGCCAAATCCGTCGTAGTTATTTCAAAATTTGATATTAAAATCAAGTTCGAAAATAAAACTCCTGGGTCAACCAATCGTTCTCTGTGATAAGTCAACTTCGACGGAATCTCATGATTCATATATCTGGCATGGAAAATGTTGTTGAGTTATCTCTACGATGAACGGGTTCTCCCCTATCTACCTTTGCTTGGTCAGAGCTTGAGAAGGTCTTGGCCGGACACACCCATGGACAACCTTATCTCATGCATGCAAGTGGTCCCGCACGTAGCAGACCATGAGACGGTGCCGGAGGCTCAGTTTTCCAACCGAGGACGTGGAGGAGCTGAACTCAAGATCAAGACGAATGTCTTGGTGGGGGGAAAGAACTTCTGTCCCGATACTTGGAGAGTAAGATGAATCTTCTAGCATGATTTCACTACTTCACTTCATCCGATTATGAGAATAAATCTCCAAAAGTCGTGACCTGACGACGTTAACTCAGAAATATAGCATGTTGTAATGACTTCCAAAGGACTTGACTCTTAGAGCACAATTCAAACTTTGCTAACACGTTAAATAACTGCCAGTCAATTGGAAGTATCATGCGGACGGAGGAGAGGGATAGTACCTGGTTGAGGTGCGCTTCGCGGGTAATGGAAGCTAGCTTTAGTATGGAAGAGGCGAAGTTCATGGATCCCGCGGTTTCCTTAATAAAAGCAAATAAAGCCAATAGAACAATATACATTCACATCACGAAGTCTAACTCCCCCAATTCATCAATGCCTGGAAAGTGCACAAGAGTACGAATGGCAAGTACCACAATCTGCCAAGCTCTTTTCCATTTGCCTGCAGCTAGCCATGAAATAGCATATCATATGTCGGTTTATAAACTGGGGAAAACCCAAATTGCTTGAAACGAATATCTATAGACCGCGTACTTTTTAACTACGGTCTTTTAACGAATATTATGCCAATTTAAAAAGATCCAAGCATACCCGATCAACAGATGAAGTAAGAGCAATGGAAGCTGCCGAAGCAGAAGAAGTAGAAACGAGGCCGACGTTGTAAGCCATGCTTCCGTTGGGTTGGTACAGGCCGTAGTTCCTTTCTGAGGTTGGCCCGGGCTTCAAGTCCTCATTGAATAGCGCAAAAAGGTACACATCAAGGCCCTGGTTGGGCCTCAACGGGGTCCCCTCGTTCCTCAGCTGTCGGAGGAGAAGGTTCCTGTTGTATGCCTCCGCGTTCTCCGCCGTCGCCCCAACCTCGTCTGGGTCTCCTTTTGACGGCCACCCCGTCTCCGAAACCCTCACCTCGATGCCTCCGAAGCCCATCTTGGCCATGGCGAAAATGACGGCGTCCACCTGGGCGTAGAGCATGTTGTCGTAGTTGAGCCGTGTGTAAGGGTCTGGTAAACCAGCGTTTGGATCGAGCAAAGCGTAACCTAGTGAAACCCTGTTTGGGTCCTCCTTGTAGGCGAAGTACGGATAGGCGTTGATCCAAAATGGAGACCCGGTCGCCGCCAAGAACTGCAAGAAAGGAACGATAAAACTGGCCAGCTCGGGCTGGAATGAGCCGGCAGAGGGAGGATAGGAGCTGCGGAGAACCGCCAAGGAATTGGCAGTAGAGACCAAGATGTAGCGATCGAGTCCCAACTGGACCAGGGCTCCGTGGATGCTGACCATGGCCGGGACGAGGTTCGCCATCAGAACGGGGTCGTCAGTTGTGTAGACCTCGTTTCCTACAGCGATTCCTGCGATCTTCGTGCCGGGAAAATAAGGCTTCACGTGGGTCATTACCCACTGGAGGGCTTGCTGGGGGTCGGTCAAGTCGGTCACCATGTCATTGGGCACGGTCACAATGAGCTCGATGCCGGAGTTGGCAAATGTGGATAGGATCTGAGGGTTGGTGTCGTAGATCCTCGCCTTGCTGATTTTGATGGAGGTCAGGAGGGCGAGTACATGGTCGGGTGGTGGTAGGTTGTTGGCGACTTGGCCGTAGTTGATACCGAGGCAGGAAGCTTCTCTTAGGAAACTGAAATCTGCAAGAATCGAGTGTACAGTTTTCTCAATCACGAGCGCCGCTAGAAATCTCAAAAAAGTAATCCGGTGGGTCAGTTTTTCAATGATTAAGATATAATTCAAGGGGCCGGGGCTCGAATGATGCAATAAGAAACAGATTTTGATGGGTCACATCAGATGTCACAAAAGGGAAATAACTGGAGGCATTTGTCATTTGGCCTTCACTCTCCTTCTTGAGATCGGGGTATAATCCCTCACGAACGGACTCTTCGCAACCACAAAATTAACACAAACAGAATAAAAGCGGGTGGAAGGGTAAGCGAAGGAGCACCTGTGATAAGCAGAGATAACAAGAGGACGAGGTAAGCTCGTCTTGAATTGATGAACATGAAGACAGCCATGAAAGAGAAAAGGGATGGAGTAGAGAAGCGAGCGAAGTACTTAAGGGAAGGGGAAGGTTGGAGGAAAGGGAAGGCTATCTTCAATTCCTTTCTTTGCTTGCTTGTCAACGCAAGGCAAGCGGAAGGGAGAGACGGCTTGGGGGTTTTCTTCTTGCCGTCTTCGCCTTCCAATTGCCTTCTCCAACGCACATTAGAGCTTGCTCAGACAGTTATTCTATATATCTGGCCATTCCCCCGTGTATGCTGAGTGGGTCTCTCGTGCCATTGGAACCTTTAAGTCATCGTTGGTTTTATCTTTACAACGGCCCTACCTGTACTACGAGATCCATCGTCACTGGTTTCTTTGCAGCTAAGGAAATAGAGAAAAAAACCCCGTGAAGAGGTATCACAAACAGTCTATCCATGCAATGTGCACGAAAGCGTCAAAAGAATGTTCAACGCCTATTACAATTTGATGAACTTAATGGCGAACGGGGAATCACCTCAAAAGGGTGATGTATGTGTATTTATATCGACACACGTTTTATTTTATATTTCATCAGCATGTAATATTTTAACATGTCCCATCATATGGATGACAATGCCAATTTTATATACTCGGTATGCCATTTAATAACATAATCAGACAAGCCATTACTATGTTAGGAATTTAAAAAAGTATCACTGAAATAATTGGTAGTGGATAAAGTGACTCAGTATACGCGAGTCTTTTGGTTGTCCAGCATATTCTAAATAAGGTTCACCTTTTAGGATAAATTCAACCAGTATGGGTGTGTTTATTTATCTCACAAGCAATCTAATTCATTAAACTAATTAGATAAGAATAGGAAACACATGGACATTGAAAGGTCTGAAAAACGGCACAAGCTCTACGTGTGGATGGCTGAGCTGCGACGAATCCTTCTCGCGACAACCTATATGCCAACAACGAAGCCTAGATTTAAAACGTAAAAAGGTTTTCCGATAGCATTCATGCATTTCCTAGATCATCAGGCTAGCGTTCTTTTCATTGAAAGGAGAAGAAGTGGAACGCATTTTTGGCCTCCTCGAATGAGGGAAAATGTTAGAGAGGAAAGATCTCGAGGTGATCAAAACCATTTCGAATAAAAGCCTGACAAATGATAGATTCTTCGGAGAGATGGAGATGCAGAAAGAATGACGGGGGAAACTACATGGACTAGGTATAGAATACGTGGTGATGGGGCCATGCGTACGCATGCAGCCTTCTCTTTTCTCACCTTTCTTTCCCCACCTTATCCAACTGTGTCTCTCCTTTTCTTGTCCGTGGGGTATACGTGACTGTGTTAACACCCCCCCTACCCGCCCAAGAAAAGTGAAGGAAGAAGATGGCGACTGATATCCATAGCCATGCAAACAATGCCCGCTTTCGTTTAACGGATCTTCATAGTGAAGGAACTATATAAACTATTCTACGTTAATTTAGGATTATTTTCTCCACACCCATCCATGTATGTCCATATTACTTCAAGTTTGTATCTTTTTACCTAGTATGTCTGAACACAGCAAAGATTTATTGGCGGTACATTTATTTTCACTTACGGGACTTGATTGTTGGTCCTATGTGGGCATAGGCTCGAGAGAAGCTTCTACAACAGGACCGGAGCGTGTGGACCTGCATGAGAATCTCGATGCGGTAAAGATAGATGGAAGGATGAGTTGGAGTGCCATCTGCAGCATGTCATGTAGACGTGGAGCCAACGAATCGTCTGGTCAGCAAAGAGAAGGTGCCGGTGGGTGGGGGATGGGGCTCATCTCTTTCTCCCGATTCCGAATCACACAGTATCATTCGGCATCATTTCGAGAGGGCAAAGGTCCACGCTTCGCCTACGTTCCTTTCTCCAGAAAAATCGGAGAACCTTTGAGATAGAGGAGACCCCAAACGTATGGCCCCCTAAAGTGCTACATTTTCCCTCTTCGTAAGGTGCTATCCGTTGATTCCCAGCATATCTTGCTCTCAGGCCTCTTTCAGGGGCTGGTTCGATATTCCACTTCAGTCGGCTTAGGGTAGTCCGGATAATCCCAAGTGTTCAATCGCAATCGAGGTCGAATAAATGAGAACGGCCCCGGAGTGAGGCCCATCCTATTCTGTTCTTCCACACTATGCTTGTGAAGATGTGGATGTGCGTGATAGAGAGAGAGAGAGAGAGAGAGAGAGAGAGAGAGAGAGAGAGAGAGAGAGAGAGAGAGAGAGAGAGAGAGAGAGAGAGAGAGAGAGAGAGAGAGTAGAAGAGTACTGCCATAGGCCTTTACCAGTACCTACAAACGACCATCAGGCAGACTCCTCCGCTAAGACGGGACATTCGGCCGCCCACCATCAGGGAGCTCCGACTTCCCAGGGGTACAGGTGACGGGGTTATCATATCTCTGCAAAATATCTCTTATTATAACAGAACTTCGATGTTTGACAGACAGAGAGAGGGAGAGAGATCTGGTTTTGAGTAGTGATAAGTTGATAAGTTGATAATTATTTAACCCTGTCAACCTTAGTCTGGTCCACCATCTTTTTTTATCAATCCTCAACCCTAGATCTCAAATGAATTCCTCTTCCGCTAACACGAAGTTTTGAGAACTCATCCAATGAGATGCATTGCCTTCGAAGTACAGTAAACCCTCACGCTCTTTATATTACAAGCGATGGCTCCGTTGGACCATAGAACTTTAACCCCACCTGTTATTCTCACCTATTCTAATATCTCCTACCATCCGGTTCTTTATGTTATTTTTATAAATAACTAAACGAGTTCGATCGGATACGTCTCCGAAGTCTCTGCAATCGTATTGTACTTCTTATACACCAGGTCGATTTACAAACAGTCGTTGATAGACTCCACACAACCCCCCCAAGCACTGACAAGACTGTTCAGAACACCGCTGAAGGTCGAGTCTGCTCGTCAAGGTAACCTGTACTCCCAAGAGTACGATATCCCGGACAGAAGATGCCGTCAAAACCTCTCGCGTACGCAGTCGCTGTCATCGACAGCCTAAGACAGTGAGGGATAGCGACGATAGAACAGCCAGTTGGTCGCGTAAGAGCCCCGCCAATGGTTTTCTATATTTCGTTTGTACGACGGTTATGCAGTCCAAATTCCTTCCCAGTCAGTCTTTTCCAAGAAAATTCGAAGTCCATGGCATCAGATTCCTTCCATTACGGACACTACATAGGCATCTTCTAATTTGGGTAATTTCTTTTGTTTAACAATAAACTCCCGGTTTAATCAAATATTGTACTTTAAAAAACAATTTATGATATGCCAATTTTTTACCAGTCAATGTTGGATTGCTTCCAGTGGGTTACAGATAGCGAGATGCGACATCTGTTTTTATTCACATCATCAAAAAATTTAATTGTAAATTGAGCTTCTAAAAGGTATATGATTGCCTTAGTCCGGCAAGTAAAATGTAAATGAATCCACTTTTAAAAAGGCTCATTATGCACTGAGACTTTACAAAGTGCGACTAATGACGTGACAATGTGTTGGACATTAATCTTAGGAGGGTTGCAGCTTAAAGCTCCAGAGAGTTAAATGACTTCCAAACGTCAACTCTCTCTCTCTCTCTCCCTCCCTCCTATCCTTCCCCTCTCTCCCTCTCCCTCTCTAAAACAAACATGTGCAGGCAAAGAAATTGTGTCATAGCCAAAAGGACGGAGAACTAATGTCGATTCAAGTCTTTTGCTTGCTTAGAAGCAGAATCCTGAACAGTGTTCCCTTGGTTGGTCTTTCATGCGCCATGGAAGGCCTTGCTCTTGAATTGGTCTGCTGGATAAGACGAGAGACTGCGTGCAGTTCGACGTCTCGGTCCACAACTGGCACCATTTCCGATCGCAGAGGAGCGCAGCTTCCACTGCCGCTCCATGCACCAAATTGATCGTGGCTGGCGGTAGATACCTGTTGCTCGGGCACGAGGTGCACCCTCAGACTGCATCATCGCCAGAAGCCCCATCACTCTTATCTCTTTTAGACCACCGCGACGAACGACTCAGAGAGAAGCTTCAAAATGGAAGAGTTCTTCTCTGCGTGTTAGCGAGATACAGCTTCAGAGGTTGCCTTCATCCATTTATGTCAATAGGAAGGATACCATGGCAGTGAAATAAATTGATAGAACAAAACAAGCTGATAAATTGTAGTAAAATGTACATTCTTGTCAGGCTCAACTTTTTTTCAAAATGAGCCCTTGTCTGTCTGGCCTGATTCAAAATCAGATGTATCTTCTCACTCTCGTTCCTTCATATTGGATGAGTAAATGAATGTTATTTCAATTTCGTATAACATGAAAATCTGACGTAGAGGAAATACAACTTAGCTGATCAGATCTCTTTGCAAATATGTGACATAAACGTTAAATTATCCGACTGCGGCAGAGATGCGAATCTAAACATTAGAACGTGGAATCCGGCACGAAAGGAATCTCATCAAGTTTCGTGGAATCAATTGGACTTTCACTAGGTAAGGTTGGATGAGAATTTGGGAGTAGAGACGACTTCGTCCTCTGGGTGTAATTTCTGCAGCAGGAAGCAATTACAATCCAAGCCATGTTTAATGCAGAACATTTGAAGTTAAGAGTTAATTCTGTATTAATCTCCATTGATATTGAGAATGATTAATAAAAAATTAAATTATTGTAATTAAGCGCACATTAGGAATTTCAAACGTGATATAAACACATTGTGATCATTATTGTCCTCCAAACATTAATCTTCTTTACATCACAGTATTATTTATCATTTTGTCCCAGAAGATAGAAACACAAGTAAATAAGTCACCTCTTGGTGCATAAAATAAGTCATCTCGAATGAGATAAGCAAGAAAAAATAGAGAAATTGGATGGAGAGAGGAGAGAGACAGAGAGACAGAGAGGAGAAGCGGATTATGTCGAACCCTTGTCCCTCCTACCTAATCACCTTTTATACCTTGCATTGGGTAGATTATTGAAGGTTGTGGATTTATCATTACCTATTCCATTGAGTTTTTGCCAAGGGGCGCGCGCCGTGTAAAGAAACTCAATGAACAGGCCTCGTTCTCCATTTTCTCCTAAACGAAGAAACTGAAATACGAATTATTTCTAATCAATTATATTTGGTCAGACATTTACGAAATCTCCGTTGCTTGTTCTAATGAAGGTCGCAAGCCCAATAGTATAGTGACTTCAGCCAGCCTACGGCCTCGTTTTCAAAAGACCAAGATTCTTACAATGCTCCCATACCCTCCACCCAGAAGGATATTTTGAACGTCTGGACAAGAATATGTATGTCGAGTCAAAACGCAATAAGGAAATGATTTATACCGATAGACACAGTGTTGTACTACGTGTTGTCGTTTTCTGAGAGTGATATCCTTCAACTCAAAATCAATTGATAATGGGTGACCTGGGACAGTCCATGATTTTAACCGTTAACTTCAACTTTATTATGAAAAAATTGACAGTTCCCTTAAAAAATAATTAGTCATGGGCATGTTAGATGCGTTTCTAAACATCTTCTTTTACTTGTCTTTTAATGCGCCGAGCTATAAAATAACAAAGATGCTTTATATCATAACGATATCTTAGATTTATTTCAATACATCCCAATCAACTAAACCTTTATCACTACAGTTGTATCCTATGATAGTTCCTTCCTCCTGGTTGTGCCTCAGCAATTCCTTGTCTCCGATGACTAAGTGAACTCGAGGAGATCATCAGTACAACGCACCGCTTCCTCGTTCACGTCTACAGCCTTTCTCGTGAAACAGTAAGGCGAACCGTAGATGTGACAGCCGTTTATTCCAGTCAATTCTTCAAGGTTAGCAAAAACTCGGTCAACCAGCAGCATCCCATGAAACCAGTTGTATTTAGTTGTCAACATCTCCATGGAACAGTGTTTGTAGTGGGCTCATCGAAAGCAACAGAATAACAGGTTGAGCAATATTTAAGCGTATTCCATTATCCTTTCCTTCGAGCAGACACTTGGAATCTGAATGAATATTACCGTCACTTACGGTATAAGACAACTTGATGAGAAAAACTAATAACGAGGTCATGACACAAATTACCATGTTCTTCTTGTGCGTAAACATAAAGCTAATCTAGTCAGCCATGTTAGCTATAAATCACGACTGTTTTTTATCTTGATGCTTGAAAACTAAGTAATCGTAACCTGTGGGACTCGTGCGAAGACCTCCTCATGTCTCCAGTCAGTGGATTCGCTACACAGAACGTGTGGTAGCTGCCGAGGTCACTGGGCAAAGGCCAATTTGATTTAATCCTCGGTATCTTGATGTGGTGATTCATGTTTTTATATGGATGTATGTGGATTCATAATTATTTGCGCGAGTGTAAAGTGATTATTGGACCGTCTCAGCCAGCTCGCTTGATCGGATATGATTCAGTAATTCATTTTATGAAGTATATTCCGAAGTCCGCAAGGTAGGTTGTAGAAGGAAATAGGCAGCCGTTAGATTCTGTCTTATGGATATGCCCCTGGTTCTTCGGGAGAACATAGATAGAAGACGGCAAGGTGGAAAATATTTCAGTGATTCGGCATGATGGAACTGACTTGTGGTGAGCGACTTCTTACACCCTCAGGATTCATTGAGTACTCGTTCGTTGACGAAACCAACGTTGCAATGGGAGTCACCTAAGTAGACTCCCTCGGAGACGGCGACTATCCCGGACTCAGAGACGCAGGCGGCGAGGAAACCATGGAGACGTGACTTTGTCTCCTTTGCACCGAAGAGGAAGAGAGAGAGACGAGTGGCGCTGTTGTGATTCCGAGGAAGAAAGGGTTTAAGAACTCGCGCGATGCCGGGGAGTAAGGGAAGGGGGAAGGAGACGACTGCACCCCGTCCAAAACACGGAAAGAGACAGAGCACAGAAATGTAGGCGAGGATCGGGAAGACCCTTGGCCACTTCCTCGGACTCCCCTCTTCTCCAGTCTCCACCTACCCCGTGCCTCTAATGCTTTCAACCCACATCAGCTTAATGACACATGCACCTCAAAAACCTAATCTTTGATTTGTATTCCTTCGAATGGGCTCGCTTTCTTGTAGAGCCAAAGATATGCGTAATTTCAGGACCATACAGATAAAAAAAACCAGTTTAATGGTTCATGTCACCCGCTGTAAGATCTATTTCGAGCATCGTAGCCCTGGTAAAATAGCCATTATGGTGGAGCGTGATGACTGCTTGAGAGAGCATTACAAAAAAAAAAAACGATTACTAAAAACATAGATGAAGACAGAGGAGGCATGCTCAGCACTGTAGGTGTGGGGGGGCTCCACAACCTCTGATGTCTCACATCTCCGTGTTTGACCAGGCACGCCGTAGGGGAGATTGCGTGGGAATCCCTTCGGTCAGCAATAAAGGCCGGCCCCGCCTCTCCGGCCTCTCTTTGGTTGGGACGTGTTTAATTAATATGGCCGAGGTGGGAAAACTGTGGATCCTTGGGAACGTTGGCCCAGAAGAAAGGGTACGTGTGGGATCCGCACGTGTATCCGCTGCGGATTTTCAGGCTTTGGCCCTTTCAGAACGAGCCCCTGCTGTGTTCCTCGTCACTACTATCTTGAGAGAAATGCCCCCCGCATCCTCAGCCTGATACTAATGGCGGCGACCACGTCTACACGATGACGTTACTTTGTCGATTGGGAACGATTGTGAGCAGATTTTAGGGCTTTCTGATCACGGAGACCCAGAGGATCAGAAGTCAGCTCCGATTATAAGTACACGGTAGATAGACCAATTGATAGAAGAAAGAGAGATACGGGAAGGGTGAGAAAGGGTACTGTTCATCTTAGGATATTGTTCATGACAAAGGGGAGACGGACGTGGACTCTGCCTTACCTTTCCTCTGGGAAGAAATAAAATATTGAGATTTGTCAGGGACCAAGGGAAGGAAGATAAAAAAATGGAGGGGGAAGAATAATGGAAGAAGAGACTTATAGATGGAACGAGGGAATGAAAGGTTTAATCCCTTAGTTCCTCTGGGCTCTGGTTGCGGGGGCGACCCACCTTGATCAAGTTGTAATTCCCTTCTGCTCCTTGACTGGTCCGCACACCTGCCTATTGTTGTGAGGCGATTTTCTTGTCAGGCCCTCCGTTCAACAGACGCCTTCCCATCTTCTCTCTCTACTTCCAGCGAAGTCCAGGGCTCTTGTTTTCTTCTTCCTTTTTAATATAATACTACATCTTTTGCACCCCCGCCTCCACTGGATCAAGGAATATTTTATATGGGCTCCCTGGAAACTATGCGTGTGCATATCTTAATCTTCATTTCTCTCCCTTTCAGACCATCTTCTTGTTCATCAGGAACGAAACATTTCTATTCGGCGTTCCTGGCTCTCGTTTATCACCGGGTCTGAGAAGAAGCCCCGCCTGGTGTGGTGGATCTGAGGTCTGTGTTTTTTCTGCTGAAAATTCTGTTTCTCCGCTAACCATTTTATAGATAGAGAACATTAGAAGTTGGCTTCTCTATCTACGCATTATTTCGGTGTGACGTAGATCTTTCTCAGTCGATTTCTCCCGTCTGCCATATCTGCGCTTCCCATGAGATGCCTGCAGAGAACACTTTCTTCTCGGTGTTATTCCCTCGCAGCTTCATAATAGCTATGTTGATACCTCGGATCTGAGGTAGGAAGTCCTCTTTCTCTCTCTCTCTCTCTGCATCTTTCGGCTTACTAAGCTTTCCGGTAATCCACTCGTAGAGGGAACTATTCCATATTTTTTGAGATAATAACCTGAGTTCTTCCCCATTGATTAATCTCTTCATCCATCCAGAAGGTTGTCTACCCATATTCCCAACCTCGTATTTACGTGCTCATGTTTGTGGTACATCTCAAGCATCCACGCTTTGGTTAGGGTTTGAGAGTTTCCCACGCCATTACTTGCATCATGATAAAAATGTAATATCTGCGTAGAGAACTGAAGGAATGTCCAAAAAAGATTAGTAGTAGTGAGTAAGAAATGATGATGTACAAGTACCAGCGGTCCTGATTACAAGATCTGATTGCATGAGTCTGGTTAACTCGAATATGTGTAGTATCGAAAAGTGTGAATAAGGCACAGATGCCAATAGCTGTTGGCGTCCTTTCTTCTCTTTCGCTCTTTCCTAATCAGTTCGTCTTGCCTCTATGACCATCCGTTGGTTGCTGCGCAGCCCCGGCAAGCATGATACCAGGGAATGGCCCGTTGTCGGTCCCTCCAGGCTTCCGGTTTCATCCCACAGACGAGGAGCTCCTCTACTACTACCTTAGAAAGAAAGTCGCCTACGAGCCCATCGATCTCGACGTGATAAGAGACGTCGATCTCAACAAGATCGAGCCGTGGGATCTCAAAGGTTTGGGTTCGTTCACCATTTTTCTCTTCAATCTCTTTTTTCCTTCCTTTAGGATTAGAAGCGAAGGGGGGGTTTCCCCATTTATCTTTGGCACCGAAAACATGTCGGGAAGTTCAGAGCACTCTAGGGTTTGCATGGCAAACGCGATGTTTTCTACGCTGAGTTCGGAAGGACAGGTCTGCCGTTTTAGTGACGAGATGTCCAACCACAGATCCGAAGAAACGCACTTCCATGAATCTGTGGGTGTGTGTGTGTCCCGGCCCTCCCGCCCCGCCCTTTCTCCCCGCTCCTATCTACCTATCAACTAAGATCCGAGGGTGCTCATGCTTTGCAGATAGGTGTAGAATTGGGTCTGGGCCACAGAACGAATGGTATTTCTTCAGCCACAAGGACAAGAAATATCCGACGGGAACTCGGACTAATCGCGCAACAAACGCCGGCTTTTGGAAAGCCACGGGAAGAGACAAGTCGATCCACCTTACCAACTCAAAAAGGATCGGGATGAGGAAAACTCTAGTCTTCTACACCGGCCGAGCACCGCATGGCCAGAAGACCGATTGGATCATGCATGAGTACCGCCTCGAGGAGGATCACTCAGACATCCAGGTAACATAATCTGTTCTGCACTACTCAACTATGACAGTTAACATTAGTTTCGGCCGTAGGAACCAAAACAACAACTTACTATCCCTTCCTGACCTGGAGAATGGGTATTCTTGTAGTGATTTATTGTTTTTTCCATTTCAAAAAAGCGTGTGGAAAATGGATATCCTTAGAGAGAGAGAAAGAGAGAGAGAGAGAGCCTTTGTTGTTATCCATTAGTTATTCCTTGATATTTTGCGATGAGCTGCCACAAAATTTCTGAACAAGTGTCGTGAATTCACTTCATAGGTTTCCTTTGTGACCCGTCTGGATTGGTATGTTTCATGTTTCTCTGACTGAACTATGGCTCACTATAGTTGGTCAATATTTTATCTCACCACAGACGACCATTGCACCGTGCTCAGTGGAGCACGACTAGATCTCACCTTAAAACCTTGAGATACAGAATAATAAAGTTCCCAATAGCCAAGAATTAAAGGCCATGTTATTTCGGATACTAGTCTCCAAGCTAGCTTTAAACTGAAAATGGTTATAAATAATGAAACATAAAATAGGTATTTTGGCTGCTTGAATAGAAGGGCGAATTAAAACATGTGATCAACCATGTGAACTGATTATACTACGGAATTCGATTCTTTGATATGGTATTAGCACTTATTCTTAGGCTTTGGGAACTAATATTATTTTTTTGAGCATGCAACCAAGATACAAAATCGTCATGCACATAACGGTATATACTATTAACATAAGATAAAAAAGAGCAGATTATAATTGACTATATATATTCATTGAGACTACTGACTGTCAACTAACTTTGATTTTCACGGTCAAATTATTTCAGGAAGAGGGATGGGTTGTTTGTCGGGTGTTCAAAAAAAAAATTCATCTGCGAGGCTCTCCTTCAGAAACAGCATTGGAGGAGAATCTGTTCACCCAACTGAAGGCAGGTGGAACTACAAGGCTGGAACAAAAGCAGCCTTTGCAGATGCCCTACGATTTTTCCTTTGACAACTCGATGCACCTTCCTCAGCTGCTGAGCTCCGAATCCATTGGCACACCCTTCATGCCATCAGTTTCTTTGAACTTGTCAGACATCGAATGCTCCCAGAACTTGATGAAGCTAACCACAGGCGAAGGCGCGGTCCTCCAGCACGAGAAGCTCAACGCCGACTGGTCAATCTTGGAAAAGCTCCTCGCTTCTCATCAAAACCTGGATCAAATCTTCCAGAGCAGATTCAACCCAGCTGCACCCAACCAAAGCATAGATAATGGCTGCTCGGTCCAAAGATTCCCATTGCAGTATCTTGGATGTGAAACCGACTTGCTAAGGTTCACTAAGTGAGGACCGCCAGAGTCAGCTTGTTTTAAGTAGATTTCGCGCTTTTTGAGGATCGACTATCTTGGCTGTATATAACTGCTAAAGCATGGCCAGTGACATGTTCATTTCAGAGTGTCTTGAGCACCAGAGGACCTGCGGCAGTTGCATTTAAATCCTTTATCTTGGCGTGTTAGATGAAAGCATTAACAATCCCTTTCGATCTTCCCCCCCCCTCCCCTCCAGCTTTGACCCCGGTGCTATCCCCATCTGCATGGTTGTTATCCAAACTTAATGGCCAACTAATGCTGAAGTTCATCAATTTAAAGACGTTAATCCACCTTCTCATGGCAACAAACTCATCATCTTGTTAACGCCAGAGTGTTTGCGTGATACTGGTGCAATGTATATACTTTATTATTGAACGCTAGGATGCACCCGACGTTAATAATTGGAACAAATATGAGAATATAACAATGAACTGGAGCATAATAAGAGTAACCTTGTTGTATTTATTATCATAAAATCGATATTGTGGTTACAAGGATGGATTGAACTGAATTGAATTGAATTGCCCAATAACTCCCACTATTTGCGGCCAGGTCCAAACTCTCTCCACATTGTTATCAAACCCAATGTCTTGCTTCCAATCTTTTATCTCTCATCCCTGAACCCAGAGTTTTCCATACCTTGGGATGGAAGCATCTCATAAGCAAGGCCAGATCGGGGCGTTCTTCCCGTTACAAGATGGCCGGAAATTTAGCTGGGTGCCCCCTCCAAGGATATAAATGTAAGAAATCGCGCGAAAACTCTATTAACTAGGGGGGAGAAATGTGATATTTCATTAATCCTTCCCCCGCTTCAGTTTAACCGAAATCGGTTGCTCCGGGCTGAGTAATCCAAACTTGGTGGAGGGGCGGCTCGTTTCGGCCCAGATCGGATCTGCCGGGCCAGCATCAGGGCCAGGAGTGATCGATCATTCAGTCAGGCCCAGGTAGACGTTGCAGTCGCGTTATCTCTGGACTCAACGGCCCAATAAATTACAAGACCCCTGTCGCAAACAGAGGGCGGGCCTAGTCGAGGGCTCCTGAACCCGATTAATTGCTTCTGAGGAGCGGCCCACCTCTACCTAAACCCATAAATATAAATATTTTCGCACGGTTCAGAGAAATTAATGAGAGTAGTACGAGATGGGCCCCGTCCACGTGAATCCAGAAAAGAGAGAGAGTCGGGCATGAGTGGGGAAGAGAGGGGATCGCCAAGACTGCATCTTTATTGTGGAAGAGAGAAGAAGTCGTATAAACAAATAAAATATGGCGTGGTGGGGTATGGGGCACCACACAGTCTTCACTCTCCGAAGCGCTGCCTCACGACCTCTGTCAGCCGAGCGAGGACCACGTCGACGGCGTCCCTGAAGGCGAGGTTAGTGGCATTGGGATGCGCATATGTGAGCCGGGGGATCAGCCCGATCACACGGCTTCGCAGCCTGGCGACTTCCTCTTGCGGGATCTGCGACAGCTCCTCCTCAATGCGGCCCCACCGCTCCTCGCCGTCGAGAAAGACCGAGTACTCCGCCGCGTCCGCCGGCAGGAACCAACCGTACTGCGTGTACGCCGTGTGCGGAGAGAAGAAGACCGGAACGCAGCCCGCCAGCACGGCGTCGAACACCGACCGCCTCGTGAAGGAGTCCCCCGGCGGCTGCAAGCAGAACTCTGACCCCATCATCACCTCCAGTACGCGGTCCGGGTCGTGGCACTGGCTCGAGCCCGGCTCGCACTCCACCCTCAGGCACCTCGGCGAGGCCCCGCACTGCTCGAGGATCGCCGCTCTCACGGCCGCCTTCTCTATCCCCTTCCGGGGACCGCCCACGAAGGCGAACAGGTGCGTCCGCCTGGCTCGCCGCATCGCGTCCTGCCATGAGAGCACCTCCTCTTCCGTGCGAGGGTGGAAGTAGGACGGGTAGGGGACGCCGAACTGGTTGTGGCCTTTCCAAGGATTTCGCTCCACGGTGAGCACCGACATGTTTGCTACGGCGGGGAGTCGGAGGAGACGGTTGGCGCCGAAGTCTACAGAGCCGTCGGCGTCGTCCCTCATGAAGTCCCAAGCGGTGCGGCCCAGCGCCAGGAAGTGGTCGCCGCCGTTGCGCCGCCACCAGGTGGGTTGATCGAGGAGGAATTCCTCGAGCTCCACCGCCAGGCGATCGCGCTCGGCGAGATCGGGTTCCCTGAACTTGCTGGAGGCGTGGAGGCCCCCGTAGAAGGGAACGTAGAAGATCTCGGCAACGAGGGGGTCCGTAGTCCGGCAAGGGTGTCGCTCTGCTCTTGCATGGAAGATCATCTCCCCGATGAACTGATGGGTGGCGTACCAGCTGCCATCGGCTCGGCGGAGTTCATCTCCCGGTGCGCTGAAGATGAGCTGGCCGAGGCCGCGGTTGGCGACGTGCGGGCACATATCAGTGTATACGTTGAGCGTGCGGCAGGCATCAAGAAGCGCGAAGTTGAACCGGGGGGGCAGATCGTACATATAAAACTGAGCAATGCCCTCAGGGCACCTACCGGTGACGGCAGAGAGCTGGCCGACTTCATCTCCGGCGTGGGAACGAAGGTCAAGGATCTGCCCCTCCGATCGCCCACCACGGTGAGAATTGAAGAGAGTGCTTACGAACAGGAACCACGCCAATAAGAAGAGGATGAGGTAGAAGCCGGGCTTGGCCTGAAGGAGGAGTGAACCATGCAGCCCGTGGAGGCTCTTGTCCTTGGCAGAGTACCGCTCCTTGGAAGCCATCAACTTCCGCTACACTCCTACCCTCTTCCTCCGTCAGCTGAGGCGATGAGAGGCATGGCCGGTGAACAGCTGGCAGAAGTAGCCAGAGCTGCTTTCCACCCCCAACCTCCCTCCCTCGCGAAGCCGCCGTCGAAGTGTCGGTGGCCTATCGTGGAGTGCGCCGCCCCACTAGACGACAGCGGCTTTAACATGGCTATATTAAGCGCCGGCCCCTATGGCCACCGAATCTCATCGTCGGGGATTGGGTGAAAAACCCTGCACACCAACCATCAACCCTCCCCGGCCCGGCCCTCCAGGCGCACGATGCCCACTCGAACTTCAAGATGCTCTGCGATCATACGACATTTTTTTTTAAAAAAAAGGAGCCACTAGACTCGCCCAGCCGCACCCGAGAGAGAGAGAGAGAGAGAGCAAGCAGGTGGTAAAGAAAGTCTCTAAGACTCGGGGCAAAGAAGCCCGGAAATGTTCAGGAAAGAAAGTGAGCCATTTTCTTGGTTGACTTCATCTTATCCGGCTGAGAAACCCATTTTGGTTGATCCGCAAACCCATGCTGCGAAAAGGGTACATTCTTTTTTTCACCGAGAAGCTATGGCGCCTATTATATCAACGTTGACCCGCTACATTTGTATGTTTTTTTCTATTGAGATATTATCTCTCGATCCGCGCACCGAGAGGAGATGGTGAAGATGATGATTCGGAATGCACGGGAGGGGGAGCAAACCGGAAGCTCTAGAGCATGCGGAAATGAGGCCTGTCTTACACTGGACATGATTTGGAGAGATGATCGCATCCCTTGTAGACCTCCAAGCCGGGCCGCTGTAGCTCCTCCTCCTTGAAGCATACGCAGCGCTTGCTCATTCTTCCAGTCAAGGCGATCTCGAATGGCCTCTGGACCAGCCTCGGATACCCAGAATCGCACCAGACCTAATAAGAAGGGCACTTAATCGTTCGATACAATCTATGACGGTTGTCGGAATAGCAGCCACGCACGGTGATGAAGCCTACCTCCCCTCCATCTCTCTCACTCCATTTCGAGTTGCAACTGGGGAGCTTGTCCTCCTCGAGTTTCTGTTTCTCTAAAAGCTGAGCACCACGGGCGGCTTTTGCCTCCACCCCTTTTAGATATTTGGTGGGGTTTCCAGAGTTATCATAGTATCGGCCAATAAGCTTGCCAACAAAGCTGGAAATTCAAATAAAAATGGAAATTTTTAGATACCAAAATAATGACCCAAATATTCCCACACTATTGCTTCAATGCGATCCACCTGAATTTTGCAGACTTTTACAGGGATATTCCGATGACTATGGTAGAATTGATCTGCACTTTATTAACCCCATTCTATGAGATAAATTATTAATAGTCCTACATAGGGGACAATTTCTAGGTTTTTCCCCATCCCATTTAGGGCCAATGGAGGCATCCACAGGGCTATATTTGAATGAAGTTTGAAACCATTAGACATCCAGATAATGTCAATGTCACTGAAAAATACTTTAATCAATGGAAACGGAACTGTGATGCAGGGAGGCAATCTTCAGAGAATGCTAGATCAATTTCTTGAAGGCCTAAATAGTTGTACGAATGAAAGAAGGACATCATAATATCTGTAACTTACACATAGGTTCTCATGTAGAAACCCCGCCAGTCAACAACACTTTTCATCTGTAATGAAGAGTGATTAAAACATTATGAAGTAGAAATGATGAGAAAAAGAGAGGGCACTGAAAGAGGAAAAAAAGGGGGAAGATTATTTCTCAAGTCTTTCACGTATGTTCTCAAGTTGTCGCAGTAATGTATACACTAAACATGTGACAAATTTATTTTTGTGAGAACCCATAATTTCTGTCAGGAAGAGCTGGTTTGCTAACTTAGAAAGTTTCCCTTCTGTGATTGTATTCCAGGCTATGAAAAAAAAATCATTACCTTTTACCAGGGGCAATGAAGTATTTTTGACGTTTTAAGATATGATCCAGAGTATGTTCATCCATATTAGTTTCTTTTGATTGTTTCTGGGGTGGGGGGCCTGAGGAGCGACTCTCCTCATTCATATGCAATCTTCATTTCATCAGTATCATGTGGATTACAACCTCCAAAGTTCATTACCTCGACACTGGACAAGCCACGCAATGAGTCAGTTAGGCCATCCCCTGATTAAAAAAAATGAAAAAATTCAGTCATAAATTAGTTGTGTCAAATACATTAGGGATCCTCATACTTGTAAGGAGAAAATATAGTTAAAAACATTCAGAATTTCTATATATAAGATACATCAAGAAAAAATAATCATCTTAATATGTCAGAAGATTTAAGTAAGATAGAAAAGGCATAAGTAATCATTATGTATGCCCAAGAGAAGATGATAAACTAGAAATAATTATTTCATTGCAATGTCAGATAATTTATTGCGGTTGATCAGATCAAGAAAGGTTTAACATCCCATTGAAATGTAAGAACACGTAAGAAATAATGGCAGAAAGGCACATAAGGGGGCATTAGGTAGACATTTTTTCTATGTAATTGCACTTCTTGCATGCCATCTGTTTTAATTGGTTTGGTTGTTATTAAGTAACGGCATAATCAGTAATCATAATCATATAATACATACAGTTTTTCATACCTGTAAAATTTCCTGAAACAAATGCTCTTGATGCATCCCTGAAATCCAAACCAAGAAAAATGCGGGCTCACATGAGTTGACATGATGAAATCCTGAATCGGTAACTAAATTACAGCACTATTTTCAATTTACAATATCCAAGCCCCCTTAAGGAAAAGCAGATAAATTTAAAAATTCTGATGATTCAGAAGACGCAGTCTATAAATATTGGTCAGTCGGATTAACACCATTTCACACTAACAGGAGGTATGAGTCTTTGACAGAGCTTACATACGCGTCACGGAAAAGTAACCCCAATTTGAGGAGGAATCGTTTGTGAAGCTGGAAAAGTATCACGCCAGAAGCAGACTCAGGTTTAAGAAAATATATCTACCCTTCTTATGAGCCCTTTGATATCCACGGGCAATTCAAGCGGGAAAGGATTGTTTGCTGAAGACTACAGCCACTTATGAGGGACTAGATGAAATTCTTGGACCGTGAAATTCAAAAGGAATAAAAACGAACTAGAAGGAGCATCCCCGGCATAAATGCCGAAAAACATAGATGAAGAGCATCATCAAATCCTGGAGGTACCGCTCCTTTGCATTGGAGGCTGGAGTCATGATCTCGATTGGCGCACAAGCTCATAGTAAACACTATGCTAGTATGTCAAGTCTCAAACTAAAAAAATGCAATTAGGAAACCAACGATACCTTCCAGATTTCTAAACTAAATTGAGATCTCTTTTTCCTTTTTCCTAGTCTATGGTCCAAATCATCACAGGTAATAGTATTGCCTGGCATTCTTTTAACTTGGTGCATTCAGGGTACCATGGAATCATGAGATAAAACGAAACAAAAACAGTTCATCCTTAATTCTCAAAAAATCCGAAAAATGTTCTTGCATGGAACAACACCGCAATCCACAAGCAGATGGTCAGCAACTTCATTCCTGAGTGAGGAAGCATCCACCTATTGACACTTTAGAAAACAATATTCTAATTTCAGATGCAACGCTTTCACAATCGGCATCCCTCATCTTCAGAAGTTGATAAGAGACTATATTTCGAAGTATTTACTTATCCATCGCCCCAGAGCTTACATTGAGTTGTATCCCATGACTGGTCTTGTTTTAATTTTCTTTTAGATATTTGATAGAGCACTAAAAACCTTCCCATCCAAAGACTCTTCATCATAACATTTGTCTTCCGGCATTGCAATGCTCTTCCTTTGCCCATCTGATATCCCAAGGACACACCAACATAAATTTAGTTACTTTGATGGTGCCTCTTTGAACAGGTGCTATGTTCTACACAGGTGGTATGTTCTTCCATATTCCAAAACATTTGCACGACAACCTTCAAATATATAAAATGGGTAAAACGAAGAAAATTTCTCCCAAAATATTCGTTCTTTAAAATAAGGCTTCAAACATAAAAATATAATCAGACTATTTTCGGAATAAAACAATTTTTTGCAGTTATACTTAGTCACACTTTCCCGTTTGCGACACCTCAAAGACTTCCCATTGGGTAAGCTTCCTTATGCATCTTCTCGCGGAGTTTACCCATGTTTATTCCATAAATAGTATAGTAGTGTATTTCGACCAGAAGAGAAACAAAAACTTCACACCTGGCTAAGCGCTTAGAAGTTCTCAGGTTCAGTTTGGCCACAGTATCAAATTGCCGCGACCAAGTAGAGCCCATTTCGCATCAGGCCAGGTTGCTCTACTCAGAAATGAAATCGATACGGGTGTTGGAACTGCCGACCCAAGCATTACCGAAGCTAAAACTAATGCCCAAGAAAAGTAAGATAGATAATATAACCAGGACTTTGGAAGAAAGTTTACAGAACAAAAGAAAGATTCAGGCGCACCCAACGACCAGAGAAAGATGAAAACGCGGCAAATAACATACGAGGCAGGTTGAGTCGTCACTAACCTCCCTGCGAAGTGATGGTAGCCCCCTCCCGGGCCATAGTGTGATCTACCCTTTGTCACATCAAAGACAGAACTGCAGTCCAGGAAAAACATCCGATCCTCCTTAAGCCAATCAATTAAACAGGGAATTTTCCAGATCGCGGAAAAAATAAAATTCGAAAGAAGAGGAAAGGAGAAAAATACCCCAATATGCCTAACAGTATAGGTGTTCCTTCATCCGTTCCATTGTACAAGACGATCTCATCGGTGGTCCAAAGCCTCTAATGGTAACGCAGAAAGGAAGAAATGAACAAGAAGTAAAAGGAATCTATTAGACTATGCAATGAATTCTCGAAAATATCAGATTAACCGAGGGATTTGTCAGCAAAGAGTTGTGTTGACTCTAAAGTGAATCGAAAGGGACATTCCCGCATATTGGAAAAGGAAATTCCCCACGAAATTTATCCTAGGACTATCCAGGCTGCACATGGTCTGAAGAACATGAAAGAGACTCACCTGCCGGGTCGGCTTCTTGTACGTGTAGCCTACGAGGGCAGCAGTAATCACAACGGCGACCGACAACACTGCGAGAGATGCGGGAGAAGTGGCCAGCTTCCACAGTGACCTCATCCGTCCGTCTCCGTCAAGCCCAGACCTTCGAAAAGTCCTCCCGTCCACTTTGCAGACGAGAGACCAGGAGAAAGCCCGCGCAGCAGGGCGAGCCTAGCGCGGAGTCTCTCTCTCTCTCTCTCTCCTCTATCACTCTCTCTCCTCCCTCACTTTCTCTCCTATTTCTCCTCTATCCCTCTCTCTCTCTCCCGCCCCCCCCCGCCCCCCCCCGTTCTTCTCTCTTTTGGGGACGATATAAATCCAAGGCCCATCACTGGAGCCTCTAACTGGGCCAACTGTTGTACCTGGATCGAATCCTGAGCGGCCCAAAAAACAATCCATATTGGGCCCTAGTGGCCCGTAAATGAAGTTCATATCAGATACTGGGCCCCAGCGGGATTCACAAGATCGGCAGCCCACCTACCCCACCGACATCCAAATCTCCCTCCAATTGAACGAACACTACAGTGCAGACCACATGCTCGACCCGTCGGCAAGTGACTCAGCCACGTGACTCAGCCGCCGCCCTTCCTGCCGGAGCAGGCAGATTCTGGTGCCGCCGACTGCTTCGATGGCCTGCCGGAGGAGACGCGCCGCACCCACCATTCTGCGGGGCCTCGCCGAAATGCCCCTCCTCTTCTTGCCGGGGAAATCCTGCCAGCTGCTCACTCCGGCGGCCGATGTCTCTTGGAGCCTCTCTATCCATCGCTCCGGCATGAGGAATCTATCTGTCGGTGAAGCAAAATAGCTCCGAGTGGGGGCCATCCCGTACGACGTTTGCTTGACCATGTCTGCCTGCGGCAGTCACATGCCCGTCTCCGGCGTGAGGCATCGTATTCGTAGTTTCATCGTCTTCTTTTCACTTTCCCCTCGGGAATATCTTCGCTCCGAGGGAATAAGCTACGACCGCGCGTGCTTCACGAATCGCGTCGGCGCTGATAAGGAAGACAACCGCGCTAGGCCGGGCACGGGTCACCTTCCTCACATGCGGTGACTCTCCCTCCGAGGGCATCTTCTTCTTGCTCCGTCGTTATCCGATAAGGAGGGGAGAGGGGAGAAGGGCCCCCTCGAAGGGTCCCTCTCAGAGAAGTCTCCGTCGACCGGTCTTGATTGCGGCCCCGGAGATGGATAAGAAGGAAACCGGTAGACTGCCCCGAAGAAAAATAATTTAGCAGCGCGAGGCGATCCCATGTGCTCGGCGGCCGGCCGCCCCCTCGCCGCCTCCTGCACGTAATCCAAACCCGCGAGTGGGAGAAATGGACGGGACCCTAGAGAGGAACATAGGCGAAAACAACCGGGGGAGGGGGGGAGGGGGGGACGCGAATTCCGGGCACGGCTGAGGTCAGTTAGGGTTGGGAAAGTCTGAGATGCAGACGCTGTTCATTCGTTTCCCGTGGAAGTCTGCCGGACTGAAGACCGTGAAGCGAGAACGGCCGTGGCTGGCCCCAGTGCGGTGGTTGGAAAGGACAAACCAAAGAGGATTTTCCTGGGTCGGCCTTGAAAGAGAATTCAGGAAGATCTCTCCCACAGTGACGACTCTTCTCCCTCCCCCCGACAAGTCGTCGGTCGCAAGCACGTATTTCTCGTGCATTAAAATTCACCATAAGTACCTCAGATATCTTCTCTGTATCCCAGAGAAAAAGAGAGTAGAGATAGAGAGAAAGAGAGAGAGAGAGAGAGAGAGGGAGGGAGAGAGAGAGGCTCTGTCGAATAGAGAAATGCACGAGTCTAATCCTCCTTGACACCCCAAGACTCTCGAGTAACTTTCAGATAATGACCCGGGCTAAATCTTTTTATAGTTCCCACTCTGGTCAGCGGGGAACCATTGTCTCCCTTGGAGGCGCGCGTGGAGGTTTCGGTGACGCGGCGCCGACGAGTCCGCAACGTGCCGATGACTCGGCCTGACGGTGGCAGCACACCGCGCCACGCCGGCGCCACGGCATCCTCCTCCTCGAATCGAATAACGGCCGTGCCGGCGGCACGGCACTGTCCTCGACGGTTACCTGCGAACCAGAGAGCGGGTCTGCGGCGGCAGCTGGCTTAGCCGGAGAGAAGCCGGATGCGTTGGATTCGCCGTGGCAACGTGCCGCAGGCAGCGGATCGGCGTCGTACGGTAGAAGGAAGCCGCGCGTTACCGAGGCGGCATCGCCTCCGTCGTAAGGGTCTTTTCTTCTTTCACAGCCCCTCGCCGGCGATTCACCGCTGCCTCGCCGGCGGGGACACCGGGTCGTGGCAATTTTATGCCGTGGGGACTGGAGACACCGGTTTGGTTCGGAGGAGAAGCGCTCGTGACCGGCTGATCACGTGACTCCATCCACCGTCAGCGCTGAGTGGATCCAATTTTGGGGGTGGGGCCCGCCTTTGAATGGTTTATCGCTTGACATTAAAAGTATTATGGCGTCGGCACACGTACCTTCAGGAGTGCCCCTGTCGTTCGCCACGTCATCTGGGCCCGTGGGCCCCGCAGAATCGGACGACGATTTCCGGATACCATGACGGCGCTCTCTCCCTCTCGACGCAAATCTTTGACCCAGATTCTTCACGAACGAATCCAGGCACGGCCACCTGTCCCGGAGAAGGGAACCCGTCTGGGTCTTCCGGGCTCGACCGGCTCCGTCAGGTCTCTCTCTCTCTCTCTATCTATCTATCGATCTATCTCTCTCTCTCTCTGCCTATCTATCTCTCTCACTATCTCTCTCTTTCCCTCTCTCTCTCTATCTATCTATCGTTCTATCTCTCTCTCTCTCTGCCTATCTATCTCTCTCACTATCTCTCTCTTTCCCTCTCTCTCTCTCTCTCTATCTATCTTTATATCTCTCTCTCTCTCTCTATCTATCTCTCTCTGTCGCGTGGTCACGCCGTCAGAACGGCCACGAGCAATGAATACACTTGCCCTCCCCAGCAAGGCGATCCTCGTCTTCGACTCGGCATCGCGATGTACGAGAATCATAAAAAATGGGTGTGCGTACTCGACGTATTATTCACATCATTCCGTCGCGCGAGATATCTCTCTCACTGGGAGAACGGGGACAGTTGACTGCAATCAGGATGACGACAACCCAAGCGCAGGATGCCGTCACGTGACGCCTTTGACGATAATTTATTGCGCGAGAGATGGATTGCGGCGCGTCATTTTGACCTCAGATCATCCCGCTACTAGTTTTCCCCGCTTAGTTTGACGTCGGGCGGCGATTTGGGTTCATCTCGCAACCTCTAAAAATCGGCCCTTTATGTGCTAACTAAGCTCGTCGGATGTTCTTCTCGTGAGCGTATGCGGGTTGCATGATCTATCCAGACAGAGAAATCCTCGCACGCCTGCCACTTGAGAACCCAAGTGGACGTAAATTCGCCTTCTTTTTTTTTACCATGTTTGCATTTATCGTGTGAATAACCCGATTTTAAAAAAATACTAATATTGGAATTTATTATAATGCGCATGATTTATATAAGTCGAGCGCGAGTAGATTAAAGTTGGAAGATAGCAAAAGATTTTATGTCATATTTTTTAAGAACCGGAGTCGAATAATTTGTTTCCCACGAAGTGTTTGGAAGCCAGAGTAGAAAAATGTGCCAGCATGAGGGAGCCCATCCTCGTCGGCGCCAACGAGGCGGTGAAGCCGGGCGTGGCACGTGCGGGGTGGAGTTTATAGCATGCGTGTGATAAAACCGTCGTCCTTATAGATTTCAAGATCCGACCTTTCTCCCGAGCCGCGACCTACAGTGGAGAGAGAACGATAGGGGGAGAGGGGATTGGGGAGGGGTTAGGCTATAAAACCCCTCGTTCCGCCGCTCTTTTTCCCCGCTCCCAATCCCACGAGTGCCCTCCCGCTCCTCCCTCCCTTCCTCTCTGAGGTCGATAGTTCGGCCGAATAGCGGAGAAGGCACAGAGAGAGGGGGAGAGGCATCGGCGGCAACTGCGTCCTGAGCCTGTACCTCCCTGGTCGGGGACTTCGCTCGGTGGGTTTAACTTCTCTCTTCGCAGCGGTGGTGCCGCCGCTGCGGCGGCGCTTGTCGAGGGGCACGCTGGTCTGATGCTTGTTTTTTGCGGTGGCTTGTTCAGGGCGGGGTGAGCGTGTCTTGGGAAGATGAAGTACATCCTGGTTACGGGGGGGGTGGTGAGCGGTCTGGGCAAAGGGGTGACTGCGAGCAGCATAGGCGTCCTCCTCAAGGCATGCGGCCTTCGTGTTACTTCCATCAAGATTGGTCAGCGATTCCTTTCACTCCTTTACCTCCCCCGTCCACGTATCCGTGGATCTCTGTTGCTGGCTCTTCTCGCTCCTTTCCTTTGTTCGTCCTTCTTTGTTCGTGGAAGCTTTTCTTACTCCTTGGGTAGCTTTTTTTCCCCTTAGGATCAAGAAGGGTTTCCCTCGGGGTAAACTTCTATGCATGCCTGTCAACCCATTGCACGCAACGATCTCCTGGGACCGACGCGGCAGCCCTCCTCTATTTTTGTCTTCTCGTCGTCGCCCGCCCTTCTTTACGTCCTCTTCCTTTTGGTCTTGTTTTACATTTGCTTCGGATTTTTTCTTCGTGGGTTTAAGGTGCTTTTGCGTGTCTAAAGTTTATTCTCGTTTCTTATTGCGAGACGGGATATGTACGACCATGTTCTCTCTCGCTTTTATTATAGGTGTTCCGTTCCTTTCTTGCCAATTGTTTTTCCTCTGGGATCATCACGGCCAACGGGTCATCCTTCTACCCAGGTCTTCTGCGTTTCGTGGGAAGGATTTTATTATTCATTCGTTTGCGGAAGTCTGCGGTTCCTTGACTGACCATCGTTTTATTTAATTCGTACGTTATTTGTATTATATTTTTTCTCATTCGCGACTGGGGTTTGCTGTTTTTTGGTCCGTCATGTGAAAGGTCACTGGCTATCTAGGAAAATCTCTGTTCATCATCGCTTCATATATGTCCATGTTCTTTCATATTAAAGCCCGGGTTTTCTTCTCTGGGAAGCGTCTCTTTCCACGAAAACACGAACGCTGTCTCGATGTTCGAGGGTTGAGAGGTTGCCAAGAAGGCGCGTATCGTCCCCGTTTTGGGGATCGATGTTCGACAAAGTATCGATCTTTGTGCCGCTGAGCTCACTTTTAGCGACGCAGAGAATGAGTGTTTGTGTTGTTTACCCATCTTATTTCAGCATGGGTTCCTTTCGATGTTTGAAGTACATGTTATCTCCCGGAACGGGGGGAATATCCTTCTCCCACCGTTTAACATTCTGGTTATATCTCCTCGAGGGGCAGGAATGGCAGGGGCAAAAGCTCTTCCTGTTTCAGAGACGAGCTTTATGTTGACTCTTAGTAGCTCCAGTATATCGTTTTTATTTCAAGGTTCTAACTCCAATAATCTGACGTCATGAAATTCTCCTTCCCATACTGTACATCTGGAGATATCGTGATTAATTTCTGAAGGAGAAGTACGCTTATGATGTGCAACTTCTGTGCAGATCCATACCTGAACACTGATGCAGGAACCATGTCTCCTTTCGAACATGGGGAGGTTTTTGTGTTGGACGACGGTGGTGAGGTAGTTGGACCCTCGGATGCTTACTTAGTCTCAATACAGTTTGTGCTATTAATGCCCATCATTATTTTCCTCAGTCTTGCTAATAATGATTAGGATAGTGGCAGCTTTCTCTTTACCTGTGAGGCTGCTCCTTTGTTTTATTATATACATGGTAAGCAGTGATTTAGTTCGGTGTTTTATGATCTGTGTGCTCATGGGTTTTGGGTTTTTATCTTCTGGTCCTCTCAACTTTAGCTTCCCAGAGTGATCATTCTTCTCTAATTTAAAGTCAACTGTTGATCTTTCCAAAGTAGATGCTTTTAGCATGCTGACATATCAAATCATCGTGTAGATTTAATTTATTCTTTCTTTATGAAGGTGGACTTGGATCTTGGAAACTACGAGAGGTTCCTTGATATTAAGTTAACTCGTGATAACAATATCACCACTGGAAAGATCTATCAGGTACATGTGATGCAATTTCGTGAGGAATATGTCGTGCAATAGTAATGCATCTTTTAATCTCTACGATCTGCCTTCTTCTGTGATTTTTCTCGCCACTTAGGCCATGCTCTAATCTTCCTCAACCTTGTTGCCTCTACAGTTTGTTATTGACAAGGAGAGGAGAGGAGATTATCTTGGAAAAACAGTTCAGGTTTGTCTCATGACGGAGATTGTCTTGGAAAAACAGTTCAGGTTTTCATACCTTGAAGCTGTCTCATTCATGGTGTTTCTCTCTACCCATCAGGTTGTTCCCCATATAACCGATGCCATTCAAGAGTGGATTGAGCGTGTAGCCATGATTCCCGTGGATGGGAAAGAAGGCCCTGCTGATGTCTGTGTGATAGAACTCGGTGGAACAATCGGTAACACCATCTCTCTCCCAGATGGTTTTATAACTTTGCCATCTCATCTGTATGGTCAACGTTTTCTATATAGCTTTAGAAAACCATGGATTTTCCGTGTCATACTAACAATGACGTTTTTGGCACAGGTGACATCGAATCGATGCCCTTTATTGAAGCTTTGGGCCAGTTTTCATATCGCGTAGGTAAATATTATCGGCAAAGCCATCTGTGAGAGCTGGGGAGACTAAAGATCATTCTTTCTTTCCCTTTATGGCGGTCTCTTCTGTCTGATTCTTAGGTCCTGGGAACTTCTGCTTGGTCCATGTCAGTCTCGTTCCAGTCTTGAACGTGGTCGGTGAGCAGGTAGGCAGTGATGATTGTGCAGACTGCATATTTTTGGAAATAGGAAAGCAGGGGTCACAGCCTCTTGGTTTTGACCGGCTTTTATCTCACTTGCAGAAAACTAAGCCCACTCAGCATAGTGTTCGGGGGCTCAGAGGACTGGGATTGACGCCAAACATATTGGCTTGCCGCAGTGCCAAGGTGTCTCCTTGACCTTTTTCTGTTTGACATGTTTTGGCATTGCACTAGCTGGCCCCCACTGACTTTCTGTGAAACTGTGGATAGGCTCTGGACGACAATGTGAAAGGAAAGCTGTCACAATTTTGCCATGTTCCGGTACCCAAAGATCTGAATACCCACTGATATTTTCTTGCTCGTTCTCTTGTTTGTGGTGTTATCAATCTAAGTGGAGTTGACTTCCTTTTCACTCGCAGGTATCGAATATTGTTACACTCTATGATGTCTCTAACATTTGGCACATACCATTACTGCTAAAGGTATGATTGAGTCCTCAAAAGGGACATTTTCTTATGACCAGGCTGTGGAAATGCTAAATGCGCCAGTTTAGAAATTGTCATAGATTCATATCTCATTCGATCCATAAATGGTTTTTTTTTTCTTCCTATTTGTAGGATCAAAAGGCTCATGAGGCGATCCTGAAAGAGCTTGACCTTCTGGGGTTAGTGTCATTGGGCCCGTACCCGTTTATGTATCTTTTCATTTTTTTTCAATCTTTGATGAAGTTCATCAAGCTTCCGCCTTTTCCACTCCTTGTCAATCCCACTTTGCTGGCACACCAAGGTGGATACTACCTGAATTCACCTTGCAGAACAGAAACATTTAGAAATAAACCTCTTGTTTGGTAGCATATATTGACCGGATCCGGTCATATAAAAATTTATGGCACACGTCTTTCTTGCAGGGTTGCACGGAAGCCTGCGTTGCAGGAATGGATGTCTAGAGCTGAAATTTGCGACAACTTACACGAAACTGTGAGCCTCTAAGTGATCCGGTTGCCACATATGTCTTTTTTCTAGCCTTGTCTTATGACTGACTATTTCTAGCCTCAGCTGACGGTGATAGTATTGCAATTTTCAGGTCAGAATTGCCATGGTTGGAAAGTATACTGGCCTTTCGGATTCCTATCTTTCTGTGCTGAAGGTGGACGATTCTCTTCTATTGTTGGCAAGAATTATCTTTACGCTGTTCAATATGATGCACTAGTATTATTTGGAAGGGCACGATGAAGAACGATCCACTTTTATGATCTCTCAATAATTCATCGAGTCTATAAGGAAAATTGAAAACTCATGGGCTTCGACGAATTTTCTTCATCTTCTGTAGTTTGTGTTGGAGATAGAGGACAAATCTTCATGGGCTTATGAAGGGCTGGTTTCTTTGTTCCCCCAATCGCAAACCAGCAGATGCTATAAATAGTAACATATGGCGCATTCTGGGGCACAAAATTTGTCACGTGTTTATGAAACAAAGATGGTGAACATTCTCGTTTCTCGCATTGCTTATGTACTAGTTACATCTCTTTCCTTCAGGCCTTGCTGCATGCTTCTGTGGCTTGCCGTCGTAAGCTCATTGTGGACTGGGTTCCTGCCTCTGATCTCGAAGATGCCACAGCCAAAGAGGTCCAGACCATCACTGTTCATCTGATTCTTCCCGCCTTTGCTTCACACACAGAAATACTGAGGTTACTCGCGCATTTTCTATTTGCAGTCGCCAAGTGCGTACGAGTCCGCATGGAGTTTGCTCAAGGTAAGATCATTCCTCCATATGATGATGAGCAGTTACCCCTTTTGCATCTCTTCTGAACAGTTATCCTGCTCAGGGTGCAGATGGTGTTCTGGTGCCCGGGGGATTTGGGGACCGAGGCGTACAAGGGAAAATATTGGCGGCCAGATACGCACGAGAAAACAATGTCCCATATCTGGGTATTTGCCTAGGCATGCAGATTGCCGTCGTCGAGTACGCACGGTCTGTTCTTAAGCTGCAAGATGCTAACAGCACTGAATTTGATCCGGACACTGCGAATCCCTGCGTTGTCTTCATGCCGGAGGTATTCCGAGTTCTTCTGGGTTTCTTTCTTTTTCTTTCCGATGCATTTGATTCCCAAGATCCAATCTTTACGCTCGGAATATCCAGGGTTCTAAAACTCACATGGGGGGCACCATGCGGCTTGGCTCTAGACGGACGTTTTTCCAGGACATCAACTGCAAGTCCGCCAAACTGTGAGGACATCAAGCCCTCTTTCCCAATGCTAATTATACTTCATTTCGTCTGATGCTCCTCTCACAAGCTGGGCTTCTGCACTCGTCCTTTTTCTGATTGGATACTCAATTCGTAATCTTTATATTCCTTTTAGGTATGGGAATGTTAGATACGTTGATGAGCGTCATCGGCATAGATACGAGGTAGGGCGCCTTCCGACCAACCCATGCTTTGTTCTATAATCTATTGGGGATCTAATTTTTCGCTCGTCGTTCATCTTCTTCCCCGTTCCTTTAGGTCAACCCAGAGATGGTCCTGGAGCTAGAAGCTGCCGGTCTGCAGTTCGTGGGCAGAGATGAAACAGGTCAACGGATGGAGGCAAGTCTTTCTACAGAAGTTTTTGGGGTCCTATTGTTCTCGTTCCGACCCCATTTCTTGATCTCGTTCTTGGGCCCTTCTCTTGCAGGTCCTTGAGCTGCCGACCCATCCTTACTTCGTCGGCGTTCAGTTTCATCCGGAATTCAAGTCTTGGCCCGGGAAGCCATCGGCACTCTTCCTAGGTACATTGGGCTTCGCTAGGAATCACAGGGTGAAGCTGGGCTTCTTTAACGCCATTCATCTGCTTGACAGGGCTCATAGCGGCCTCCTGCGGCTATCTGGAAACCCTCCTCCAGAGCCCCTGCCTGGCCAACACGATGACGGCGAAGCACGCGGCCGGCAACGGCGCGGTGGCGAAGCTCTTCCAGAAGGGGAGCAAGGCGCCGCCGCCGAACGGGCTGATCAGCAACGGCGTCTACTCTAACGGGAATGGCGTGCATGTCTAGTTATGGTGTCGGAGAATGCCTCAACGTGTCAATTTTGGCAGCCTGGTTTTTTTATGGAGCTGAGTTCGAGGTTTTAGTGCGGGCGAGCTCGGTTTCAGTGTTTTCCCATGTCGTTGACTTCCATTGGCGTATCAAAGCTTCAGTGCGATGATAAAAGTCAATACACGGAGGGATATGTGAAACCGGGGGCGATGATATTAGTCAAGATGACGCCTTTGCTTGCCCGTAGTCGCTCGTCTGGTTGATGGGCTCGATAGTCCAGTTCCTGTAACTGGGGTCAACGGATTCCGACTTTGATATGTAGAGTACCTTGCTGTGGAAGTTGAATAGGGTTCTCCGGTGCCCAATGCTGACGTATGTTATCCCCGCGGCTTCAATATGCCGGTACAGGTGTGCCTGCAAATGCCAAGTCAACCGTCAGAGAGAGAGAGAGAGAGAGAGAGAGAGAGAGAGGCTTCCCTTACCTCGTTGGGTTCATCGAGGGCGCTTGTGGATTCGTCCAGCAGGATTAATCTTGGTCTTGAGAGCAGCAACCGAGCGAATGCAAGACGTTGCTGCTCGCCGAGTGAGAGGACGCAGGACCAATCGTATGTTGTATCCAGACCCTTGAAGCGAGAAACAATGTCGCCGAGGCGGACATCCTGCAGGACCCGGAGCAGATCATCGTCGGTGGGCCTCTTCAAATCGCCACTCGTATCCTGCAAGTTCTCCAGTTGCATCGAGGAAGGCAGAATATCTGCAGATTATGCAATAGAAAGATGTTAAAACTTCTGAGAATTTTCATTACTAGAAATCGGTACTTTTGGGTCAATAATGAAACGGAAAAATGCACAAAAAAGTTGGCAGATTCCTGACGTTCCCATCGGATTAATCCGATGGATGCATGAAAACCAATTCAAGAGAGGGATCGGCTCTGCGTCGATGCTGAAACTGTGCAGCAGGGTGCTGCAGGACACACGACACAGGGAGATCATCCGTACCTGAAGATGGAGTGCTCTGCAGAGTTGCAGGCGAGTCTTCGCTCCATGTTGGATAGAGCAGCTGCTCGCGCAACGTCCCTAAGACCATATATGGTCTTTGAGGGAGGAAGAACACACCCTCGGCTCTTTTGTACCTCAGGTTTTCAATTCTCTCGTTTTCTTCTGCTTCGTTTAGCAGCCCAGGGGGAGGAGTATCCGGGGAAACAGGCAACTGAGACTGCCCATTGTCTCTTGTGAAGAACGTGATGTTACCACTTCCGGAACGCCAGAGCCCGGCGAGAGCTCTTAACAATGAGGTTTTGCCACTGCCACTTGGACCCATCACCTGTTAAGATTAGAAAACTGTAATGCTAAGCTGATGATAGGAAAATCAAAGGGAATGCACAAACGCTAGCGACCCGGAAGATATTTACCAGTAGGTGATCTTTGTTGTTGATCTCCAGATTCAGGTTTGCAATGAGCGTCCGTCCTGTTCTTGGTGTTTGCAGCGTCATATTTTTTATTTCCAGCAACCTGTGACGCTCATCTAGCGGAATAGACCCATTTGATTGATCAAAAGAAGGATCTCCAATGTTTCTATTCAGAAAATCAATCTCCAGACTATTCTCAGGCTCCAGAAGATCTGAAGAATGAGTACCGTCCAGAAGATCATCAAATTCACCTGCATGGTCGGAGAAGAAATGTTGATATTCTGTCATATGATATTTTCGGGGAACACAGAAGTATGATTGCTTCAGATTACTGTATTTCGAAGAACTGGGCAACATAAACTGAAGTAAATGGAATTGATAGAAATATCCGTTAGACAATGGTCAATCGGGGATAGAAATTTGTCTCCAATGGAAAGGATCCACGTGGAAGAAATCAAATGCCATGCTATCATGTTTACCCATAACTTTTTACGTAAGCAATGTTTGAGGTCATCATTAATTTAAAACCTACAAAAACTCAGCCCCAGCCTAGTGCAAGATCATCCATTAGATCTAATGACGGATGACCTTGTGCTAGCCTCTGTATATTAAAGCCACATCATACTCTTTTTGAGACATAACACCTCGCAGAAACTAATAGCAAGCAACATGCAGTTTCTTAGTAGTGGCAGATACTTCTAGAACAACATGATAGCAGTAAAACTACAACCTCTGACCTCGCCATTTCACCTTTTTTTTAAAAAAAAATTATGACGTGCCTTGACTAAAGTTTTCATGAATCACAACTGTTCTATAGAAATTTCCTAAAATTGAAATGATAAAAAAATTATGAGATACCAAACAATTACAAAATTTCCATTAATATTTAAAACATAAGCTTGGACGTTGGTCACACAGAAGCAATTTATTTTTCACCTTGTCAAAATCTATTTCTTATTTACAATTGCAGTGGTTGATGAGAAGTAAAAATAGTGGCTAAGAATTTTCGTCAAATCAATGAAATAGAAAAATCAAGTTCTACGAGGCAAGTTCAAGCATGGACTACAAACCTAGTCGATCTATGACAGCTGAGAAGGCACTGATGGCCTGAAACTGATATACGATGAGGGAGAAATCAGTAAGAATATGGTTGAAAGCAGAAACAGACTGGTTGATTACTCCAAATTCTATTTTTCCCGAGAAATACATGGGAGCAACGACAGCAGCAGGAAGAATCTGAATCAGATACCGATAGCCACTTGTGAAGAAGTCCAGGTTTCGTGAAGAGATCAGTAGTTTCTGCAATGAAAAAAATAGAGGTCCCCAAAAATCAAAAAAGTTAGATGTAATTTACGCATAGTTTTTTCATGGGAATATTTTTCAAGAAAGAAAAAATCCAGAGCATAAGACCAAATTAGGGTGATGAACAACTGGGTTGATAGCTAGTCACCCAGTAAAACCATTCCATACCGTTATAAGAAATATTATTATCAAAACAATTGTAGCCTTATTTCTTAAATCTGAATTCAAAAATGAAGAATCCAGCATACGGTTATACATTCAGGTCAAATTTAGCCAAGGGTATTGTAGCATATACATTTGACTCTCAAGTCTTCATTAGCAAGACAGTGATTTATAACCTAAGAGACAACAAACATTAAGCATCCACCACAAACCGTTTTGCTGTGAGTTGAGAACCATGTACATAAAGAGAACTATTATGCCATGTTCCCATGGGGACATTCCAACGCTCTCTCACGTAAAGGCTGGCTATACACTAATTTCAATGGGAGTATTATCTTTCAAGGTGATCTCCAATTGATGACAGAGGACGTCAAACTGCAGAATCATGTCTTTTGTGCAAACAATAAGACGTACAATAAAGAATATTCAACATATTTCCATCGAATATCTAACTAAACTTGATTGAGGTAATTTCCAATTGATGAGTGAGGATACCAAACTAAATGTGACAACAGTAGTATCTCTAGATATCCACGTAAACAATTGTATATATTGCTCCTCCCATTAAAGCTGATTAGAATGCCTTTCGTAGTTGAAATTTTCACCGTCTGGACAAGTCCGGAAATAAAATATGATTTCTTTCTTTCTTTTTGTATGCCAATTAGAGAATACAAATTGCACAAAAAAAATCAGGGGAAGAAAAAATAGTGAGTACTACATACGCTTAGATTCTCGAAGGCCCTTGAAAAACGACGTAGCAGAAGTTGCATCTCATTTTCTTCACCAGCATAGAAGGCAATTGACTCAGCATTTTCCCTGATACGTACTAATCCATAACGAAAATCCGCTTCTTTCTTCTCTTGCATAAAATTAAGGTTGACTAGGTCCTATAAAAGAAACGTATCTTTGTTTAATTGAAGACAGAAAAGGACATAATTCAAAAAAACTCGTGTTAAGCAGGACATTTTTTTCTAGTAGCGGAAGAGGAATTACCTTCCCAAGGTACACGCTGATAGCTGTGCCTCCAATTGAATACACAAGAAGCACAATGAACAGAGGCGGATAAATGCCATACAGTATATTACTGAATGAAATCAGGTCTATGGCTGCGTTGAAGAAAGTCAAAGCAAATCCTAGGGCGGTTGAAGTGAAAGAACTAAGATCATCAACAATCCTCTGGTCTGGATTATCAATTATTGATTGTGACTGAATCTTGTAGAAAGTTTGATTCTTAAAATAGCGCCTCATATAGTAGCTAGTCATCCAAGATCTCCACCTCAAAGAAAGAGTATCTTTTGAATAGTCCCTCAAGACAAAGACCTAAAACAATCGCAAGTCAGGAAAAATTACAACATGAGCATAAACCATTATCACAACGGAAAGATGTTAAATAATGTGATCAATATGGATAATTTCATAGAGAGACCACCGTATATTGAACATGTAGACTTCTCAGAAACCTAAATCACACAACACTGTTATCACAGTGGAAAGATATTAAACTAATGTGATCAATCTGGATAATTTCATAGAGAAAGCGCCGTATATTGAATATGTAGACTGCTCAGAAACTTAAATCACATAACATTCTCCTAAATGGCAGCGATAGCAGCCTTAGAAATTTTAGTAACCAGACAGCATTACCAAATAAATTTAATGTCTGCGAAGGAAATTTCTTTAATAATTACCCGTGTAATGGTATGATATATATAAAAGATTAATCTCGAAACTGGCTTACTTCTTCACCACCGAGCAGTTTAATTACAGAGAATTCTAGGTTCAAGCCTTTGAGAAATGCAAATCGAATTCTAAAAGAGCATGGAGACCATTACGTGGAATCCTGTGAAAATGTTCTCCTTTGACTCTTATCAAGAAATCTACCACTGAATATATCATAATAACCTCATCAAGGAAGAAGATATGATCCCGGCAGTCATCTATTTTAGGAGGAAAAGACCTCCAGTGTAAATGGGGAGGGGCAAGGTTGTCATTTGAGGCACTTAAGTCATATATTAGAGTAGCCCGGGCCACAGGGGACACTTTTGGAGAGAGACTAAGGATAGTCACTGGGAAAGCTGGAGGCCTCTCGAAGGCCTCCTGGGCGACCTACGGTTCCTGTGGAACACTCTGGCTATCTTCCTTCTTGTTTGTTCTTTAATTCTCAGTCTAGGTCTTCTCTGATCTTCTCGCGGTTCTCTGTGGGGAGAGAAATTGTCGGAATATATTGAAATCGCATCATTGGCATTGGCAAGGTGTTCCAACCCTTGCCTATTTATTTCTTGTTAATGCCTACCCTATTTTTTCGTAAATATGAGTGGCAACGTCTTTTCACCATGGACAGTGACTGTGACACCCTGCTTTCTGATACAGGGCCAAACACGTGCAGAAAGATATTGCTTTGAGTTGATATCCTATTAAGATCCAATCAAATGTAGAAAGTACCAAGCAAAAGGCCGGATATCATCCCTTCAATGATACACAGAAAAAAAGAAAAAGGACAACATTGAGTTTTATCTGTTAAACTAGTGTTGTGTAACAAAGGGCACAGTAAGTTGTTTTATCTGTCTCTTAGCAAAACAACATCAGAGATGGTGAACAAAATCGTATAAAACCAATTTGATTGAACTTTCCTATCACACTGAAGGTCCATCAAACCACTGCGTTTAGATCCAACTTCATATTTCGGAAAACGTAAAACCTCGGACTAAAGCAGTTAACCACTTCAATTTTCAGCTGTCTAAAGCAATAAAACTTTTAATAGCTGACTAGGGAAAAGCATTAGAGATGCTAACGAAAAATATTTCTGATGTTTCAGAATTCAACATCCTATCACTCCAAGGTCAGAGCGGCTGAATTCCATATTCCTCCACGGAAAACATAAGTAGAGCGCTTGTTTCTGGATTTGGAAAGTAACACTTGGCGAATGTACACGGCATTACTCTGGTTAGAGTGTTAAAGGAACACTATTAGAGTTCATTATAACATCATTATTGATGAAATTAGCTAACTTGTTTATTCTTTTTTAAGTGTTACCAATAGTATCATAGGTCATAATGTTGTCTTCCATACGTGCATCTAGCAAATCCAGACAGACCATCCGTCGAGCAAAAACTCATCAACCAATTTTCCAACAAAAAAAGAGCAAAGATATGCTAAAATTGTTATATTTCGTAATTATTATGTAAGCGTAGCTCATTGTAGAGCTGAGTTAGCCTTTGCCATACAAATTGGAGTCGCACAATGTAACTGTATAGAAAAATATGTAGAACCTCAACCAATCGGCTCTATGTTAGTGAGAGAAATAACCTTCAATCATACAATAGCCAGGAAAGAATAATCTGGCCACAATATTTTAATCCGCAGAAAACATTTTGGGCATTCTAGCATAAACATGGAAATTTTCTAAAAACAAAAAGTTGCTGCGCCAAATATAAGCAAAGAAATCCAAGAAATAGAATGAATGGCTTGTAGAGTGATACCTAAAAGAATGCAGCAATATGCTCACCGGAATTCCACCAGCAAAAGCCCCAAGGTAATAGAGAAGCTGTTTCGTAAATTGTTCCTGGTCCTTGTCTTACCCAGACAAAAAAGAGAGAAATAAGAAAAATTATAAAACTGCATACAACATAATAAGTGATAGTATCAATTCAAATTGTCGCTTAGAAATAATTCAAATATTTGTAAGGAAAATTAAGATTAGTAATGATATCAAATAGCACAATTATAGTTTATGAAATACTTACTAGCAAGCGCATTATAGAAATCACGCCCAAGAAAGTTAAATCCAACACTGATTCCCGTAGTAGCTAAGGTGAGAGCAAAGACAGAGGCGAGTCTTAGTCTAGCTTGGGTTTTATCTTCTGATGACCAATATGGTGCAGCCACCTTCCAGAATCTCCTAAACAATGTTGGGATATCCGGATTTTCCCTAGCTTCATCCTGCATATGAAGCAAGGATAACAGAAAGCAGCAAAGTCAAATATGATAAATTGATCAAAGCAGCAAGACAAAGGCGACAGTACTTTTAGAGAAAAGAAAAACGAATAATTTGAGAATCTAACTTCATGAAAACAAGTTCTCAGAGAAAGGGAGAAAAAAATAACTTGATAAGAGGATGTTATGTACGAAAAGGGATCCAAGATAATTATTTTGTACTTGTGCATGGACAACTGTGTGGACTGCTGGTTTACCATATTGAGGTGGTTGTTGGAGAGGAAAATCAATATATTGCATATGTAGATTACCCTTTATACCAGGAAATTAATAGACACTATTTAATAGTAAGAAGGATAAAGAAGAAACCCATTGTAAATTCGAGAAATCTCCTTGATATGAAAATAAACCAGAACATTTGAGGATTAGAAGAGTAAGTCAATAAAAACTACAGTTCAAAATTTCAGTTTCACCTGCACTCTGATTCTTTGAAAATACTGTCAGTTATGGGGAACTGAAGATATGGTATTCACAATTTTGTTCAAGACGGCTTTAAACGCTTCCTCTTCTTCATTACGTGGTTGTTCTTTGCAAAAAATCGTAGGAGATTGCATTTTTGAAGGTTAGATTAGTGAACGGCGGTGACAGGACCAAGAAAAAACAGAGCACCTGATGGATTTGAAAGATTTTTAAATCACATTAGGGGAGATCGTAATGGTTTATTTTACTCTCGTATCTCCAACCCTACCAGATGATGTTTGATTACCATGTATCTTTGTGTCTACTATTTTTCCTTCAACTTTGATTTGCTGACAACCTGCCAAACATCAAATGAACAAAAAAAACTATAAAATTCACTTCATAATGTGTAGAAGTATTTTTTTAATGTTAAATAGCCCAGCATTTATAATGCAAAAGTGAATTTTGGGTATAAAGTGAGGCCATCGAATTGAAACTAATCAACAATTAGTGGACTAGGACCATACTCCAACTCACATGTTTACTTTTCCATTAACTGACACAGGACCATTGTAACACAGTCAAGCCAACGATATGGCTTTGTTTGCATGGACAACATAAATGGCATGCCTACAGCCCAAGAGTAACCATTGGCTGTTGTACTGTATTACAGCTGTCGAGCTATCTAACTCAACGCCAATTTGATATGGGTGGAGTCGCAAGTTCACTTTTTGTGCTGATTAGAAAAAAGTTATAAACTAGAAGCTAGCCCTACTCATTCTCAATTTCATTTCAACATAGATGTTAAGACTTTCCAGGTTTCCTTCAAACAAAACCACGCACACCATCCCCAGGTAGCAATAGGGGGGCAGCTCGCTGCTGGCCTAGCTTCCCTACTGTTCATCTTGCACCAGCCAGAACTACCCTTGACAGTAAACATACGATGCAATTTTTGGCCTCGACCAACAAAAAACGATGCTAGCTCTAGAACCGTTACATTCAAACAAGTTTCCACACGACCGTACCTTATCTTTCTCTTCTCCAGGAATCTGGGGATATTCGGGAGCGACCGAAGCTCTGGACCTAGGGAAAGCAGAATTCCTCTTCCGACGGCGCATCGAGAGGTGGCACGGGACGCAGCACGAGCGGAGAGGAGAACGAAACAGACGGCAACGGGAGAACGAAGGCGGTCGAGATTGGGGAGGAATCGTAACGGGGGAGGGACTGCAATAGTGAGATACGAGGGCGTGGAGAGATGGAATAGAAGGAGACATCTCGATCTGGCTCTGTCCTTCCTCTTCCCCTCAGCATGTGCTCGGCATGGACGAACTGCGAGAGCCACGTACCACTCCAGAGCTTGTAGCACCCAGTGTGAATTGACCAGAAATTTCAGGAATCCTATCTATCCCCTACGTGGCAGCCGGAGAAGGACTTTGGCCGATATGCACGCGGGTACGGATTCGGTACCGATAGGACCAGCTAAGATCCGAGTTTTAACGTTTTCTGTTAGGCATAACAGAACCCGCTGGGAAGTGGACTAGGACGACCGTTTTCTCTCCGTCGGACGAAGCACGTGGCGGCGCATGATCGCCGTCCGTCTGTTTTCTCGTGAAAAGCCGGGTGGTTGTTGTGACTGTGGGTTTACTGTACCCTTCGTCCTCTGCACAGCCGCGAGAGACTGCGCCCTAGGGTTTCCTCTGGGGAAGCCGCTGCCATGGCGAAGCAGTTCTACGGCTACGGCTCTAGCTACGGGGGGCCGGGGCTCTCTTCCGCCTATGCTTCTCGCGCGGGGGGCGGCGAGCAGTACCTCGCCGACGCGTCTCTCGTCGGTTCTTCGAGGTACCTCGGTTCTGATCATCTTTCAATGGTGGAATCAGCACAATATGCCGTCGCGGAGAGGAGTCCGTCGCCGTACGTTAGCCAGAGTGAGAGTCTGAACTACTCCGCTAGCCAAGTTGCTGGAGCCGAGGGCTACTCGTCGGGCAAATATTCCGGAGGAATCGGGGGGGGCTCTATGCCGTCATTGTACTCGCAGTTCGGGGTTATGGATTCTTCTCTACTGCCCGGAATGAAGCGTCCTTCTGAAGGTTAGCGGTTCTATTCTTCCTCTCATCTTTTGCAATGACTGGTGTTCAGCTTGGTTCGGTTGCCTTACTAGCTTTCCCCCCGTTAGCTCCATCTTCTCTCTTCTTGTCACCGACAATTTCAATAAAATTTATTTCCCGAAGGAGTTTCCCTTTTTGTCGAGAAAATTTCAAGAAAATTTATTTCCCGACAAGTATGTTCTTCTAGATCCTTTAATGCAAAAAATTTTGTTTTAGATGAAGTCACCAGAGGGAGAGCAGAATACAAGATGTATTGGAAGGCATGTGGCATTTGTTCCTTGGATAAGAACCATCCAATACGTTGGATGTTCGTAAACGCAAGTTAACGGGGACTATTAAACATTTTCATGCAACTCCAAAGGTTTACATTAGTCTGCATGAATTATTTTCATTATCATAATCTTAGAGAAAGTAGAAGGGAAGGTGATGTGAGGCCCGGTATTTTTAGTCTTTTTGGTTCTGAAGGGTTAGCATATTGGAGTTTTTATGGGTATCACATAATGTATACCTAAGAGAAGCAACTATGATCTCGTTGGAGCGGACGGATTTAATCCTTTATGAAGTAAAAGAGACTTGATTAGGATCTCCAGGAGTCCCCTGAATCGCCTGGATTCAGGTTTTTGTGTTTTCTTGAAGAACCGCACTCTTCAATAATCCAGCTTCCTGACCAAATTCACTGTTAATAAGTAATGGAGGACAACCTCAGGCCTTTTCTGATGTTAGGTGGTGCCTAAACCTATGACATATGGTACCTCTAAGACTTTCATATGTAAATAAACAATAATGATTCGTATAAAAGATTTACGTGTATCAATATACAAAATTCTCGTCAAACAGTTGATCATAGTGGAGGAGGATTGCATTAAAAACTCTCAAATTTTGCATGAACCGATGAACATTTTTAAAAAAATCGTCAGATTGAGGTTAAAATTCTTAATTAATGAATCGGGGGGCCTTAATTGGATGAAAAACTCTCCTATCAATATGTGTGTGTGAGGCTCTCTCTCTCTCTCTCTTCTTCTCGCTCTCTCAGTGGTTTCAATAGTTCACGTGATGCACTAGTAATTACTTCTACCTTGGCATTCTGGCTTAGTTCGGATTGGCTCTCTGAATTACCAATTTCTCAAAAATATAAGTGCTGACTTTCAGTCAGTTGTGATGTTCACGATGTGTAGAATGGACCTTGTCTGTTTGTATTTTACAATGTATTGTGAACTACACACAGACCTACAGCTTGCACTAACTTTGTGCATACCGCCCTCTGTACAAGTGCTCGTGATATCTACATTTCTGCCTTGTGTTTTATTTTTCAATCCCTCTTGTGATTGTGATTATCTTATTAAAATGAATAATACAATATGTGTGCCTATGCTAGCTTCATTCTTATGATATTTTTGCGTTATCTATATATAGCTCTGTTCCATCAGACTCTCATGGGAAATCATAACAGTATTGGGCAAAACGAAGCTTTATTTTCTACAAATCCTTTGCTTAAGCGCCCTAGATTCGAAATTGGAAGTCATCTGCCTATTTATCCTCAGCGACCAGGAGAGAAGGATTGTGCCCACTATATGTTGACGAGAACGTGTAAGTTTGGAGATAACTGCAAGTTTGATCATCCACTTTGGGTTCCGGAGGGTGGAATCCCAGACTGGAAAGAGGTGAACATCTATGATTATGTTTATAGTAAATGGGTAGCATTATCAGTTTATTATGATATCTACATATTTTGTGGACCATTCGTTCTTTATTTTTAGTACTATTAATGACATTATTTATTTTATATGGGCAGCTTAGGTTTTTTGGGTTTCTTATTGGAATGTTCTATGTTATTGATGAAAGTATATCTTGTGAATGGTTTTCCGCTGCAAGGATATATTGATATATCGTTCTCCTGCTTGTGGACAGATGTGAATTTGCTTCTTTCATGTGAATCTGTCTATTCAGCTCTAACTACAGTATTTATGTTAAGTTATTTAACAACTCTATTTGACATTTCATCTATCTACCCGCTGACAGTACATAGTAATTCTAAGGGCATCTCTGTTTTAATTTTTTTGGGTGCATCGTGTCATGGATGGAATTCAATGATACCAGCTTCGCTTGTTTGTGACATCTAAAATTCCTCAATTCCGTAAGGAAATACTCAAAACACCCTTACGTAATTCCCTTAATTTTTAGAGAAAGCATACTCGCTACAAGAAAATGCCCATTCATGTTGTCTTCTATTGGATCAGTTTCCTCTCTATCTTCATGTTACAGTTTAGCCTATTTGAGGTAAGCAGTTGACTTTAACAAAGCCTTGAGAATTCAAATTACTTTGGAGAAGCCTGCCTCAATCAGCTTGAGTTGGCAATGCCCGCCATTTGGGAAGGTTTTAGATCAGATTAATTTGATTTGTTGACATCCACACACCAGAAGTTATCTGAACCCAGTGTATCAGCTTAGGATTTTGCAGGTCCAGGCCCAGATACATTTTCTGATAGTTGGGTCTATCCTACTGGTAGGTTCGGGAAGTTGCCGATTTGGAAGCGCTCAAAGGAGGCATTGAAACTATCATGGTCGCAGATCATTTGTAGAGCTAGAGAGCAACCTTTTCGTTGGTGATCATTGTGTAATTAAAGTCCCGCTTAATGCACTTCAATGGATACTTGTTGGATCTTCGGTGAACCCAAGAAGATAACGTCACTAACATTGCGCTGCTTCCTTTGTCGATTGTAGGGCAGGTCGATTGCTTGGGATCCAAGGGAGAATGGAGATGATGAGGAGCAGTCTGCTGTGGGGTTGGCAGGGAGGAAGAATGGTGGAAATGAGGAGGAGGAGGAGGAGGAGGAGGGGTCTATTCTGCTGTGGGGTTGCAAGGAGGAAGAAAGGTAAATGGATTACAAGATTTTGTCTGTTTCCTGGACGACGCGGTAGCTGGAAGCCTCATTGACCTGTGTGAAAGGAAGGATTTCTGAGGTCATGGAACGCAATGGGTTCTCTGCAGGGTGTTGATGATAGCTGCAAATGATGAGGTGGATCAGGGAAGGAATAAGATGAGCATGGCATAACCGGTCAGGGGGCTGGAGGCATTTAGTCATGTTGAAGGGTTAGGTTTTGAGAATCTACAGAGATGTAAACTGTGTGATTTTTCGGGTGATAGTCATTTATGTGGAGGAAGTTATCTTGGGTGGGAATTTGTGAGGGGGATGGGGTGTTTCAACTTGTCAGGGAGGAGAATAAGTTACTTTTCTTTGCTTTTCTGAAAAATTCCCGGGATCAGAGTAGATCTTTTGTGTTTCTCCTTCTTGTGAGGACTGCGGATAGGAAATTGGGCTTCTTTATTTTTATAGGAACTTTAGCCTAATCAAAATTTAGTGGTATTGAATATCCCCTTTTTTCGTGAAAGTTTTAAATTTTCTTAGGTATATATATACATATGCCACTTGGCAGAAGTGACATCTATGAGACAGGCCATCATTTTTTTATTGAATTTATCAATCTTTTCTTTCATATGAAAGTTTATATGGTGTATAATTAGAAATTTCTCATTAAGGATGGCCATCAGCCACCCGTTTTTTTTTTCTCTTTCTTTCTCTCAACTTCGCACCCGTCACAGACGCTCACACCTTAAGTAAATAGAATGTGAGGGATGACCATTGCTAAGTTCAGTTGAATAGGTACGAACTTGTTTTGAACATCAGATTATATATAAAATTGTATTATATATGTTTCTGTTACTTCTTGGTGGCCCTGGATGGAAAGTTTATGATGCCTGAATCAAACTGTTTCAATACTGGAGCATCTGATCATCCAATTCTAAGTATGATTGGCAGTATGTTGTCTTAGACATGATTTTTTTGGTGTTTGCATTTGTTTCTCTGAGACTCTATTTATGCTGTTTTGGCGCCAGGTTCATTATTGTCTTTTCTTCTAGTTCAATCCAAGAAGTGGCCTTTAAATCGCCAGCATCACTTCTCTTTTGAATTTTTTCATGGATTTCTCTGGCTTTATTCCTATGGCCGAAGTGTATGATTTGGGCCCCATTCGCGTGATCAGAAGGTGAATTATTTGTTAAATCATGTTGGTTTTCTTCATAAAGATGAAGTGTTCAACGAGTGTACAAGGTTTCATTGTGTCATGCTTAAGGGATTAAGGGGGCCAAAAATCGATATTAAATATGTGTTATTTCCACAGCCGAGAAATGTGTGACCGTGCAGTTGTAGTAAACTTGACCATCTACGTAAATGATAAACTACTTGCAGAGATTATTCAATGTAGCAGGTTAGGACTAATCAATTTAACGTAATTTTTTTGGTGAATTATTCAATGTAGACTATCCTCTGCCCCGTCTTATTTTTTCCCCAGTGCTGCACGGTTTGTAATGGCCTCTGATTTAGGGATGTGTATGTGGTGAATGGTCGATCATTATGGACCATTGACTTCTCTAATTGACCATAGCCTTTTAAGAATTGAATTGATTCAATATATATCTCACTCCCTTGAATCATGTGTCTGCTGCCTACCACCATTACTATCCTGGGCTGGTTTGAACGCATAGCCTTGGGGGCATTGTGGTGATTATTGTTGCCAGCAGACGCACGTGATAGATTATGCAGATAAAATTTGTGTGGGGAAAACAGCTGGAGATCCCTTAAGATACTTCGCTACTTCAGATTCCTTCTGCTATGCTGATTTTATTTTTCCCTCATTACTTGTTTTAACCATGTGAATAATATGGAAACTGACCTGCAAATTTTTGGAGTAATATGCTTTATTTGATTTCCCCAAACAATTCAGTCTACTGATTTCGGAAAGTTTGCAAGTATATTCCTATCAGTGTACATTTGTAAATATTGTGTTGGCCCTTGTCCAGACCTCCATTATACTAGTTTCTTGTGAGTTAATTCTTTTTATTGGCAGGTTCCGGTCGTTAATGCTCCTGAATCTCTTCCTGAGCGGCCAGGTGAACCAGATTGTCCGGTATGTAAAACTCCTCGTTAATATTTTGGTTTAGTCTTGTCAACTTTTAGTATACGTTTATTAAACATGAAATTTTTATTTTATGATAAAATTGATCACAGAAGCGCAAAACGTTCATATATAAGGCTTATAAGTTTATATATTCATGTAGGATGTGGGTTTTCCTTTTTTTCCTTTTTCCTCTCTTCTCCATGTCTAGCACAGAAAACTGTTGGATATGGATTGTCTTTCGCATCCTACTGTCTGCCTTAAGCCAATTTGCCATCATTTGATTGTTGCTCGAAATAGTTCCGAGGACAATCCGTTTCTCCCTTGTGATAACTATCTTTTGTCGTGATTCAGTACTTCATGAAAACTCAGAGATGCAAGTTCGGTCCCCGGTGCAAGTTCAACCACCCCAAAGATAAGGTAGTGCAGCAATGTCATATCTTATTGATATTTCTGTCTCTTTTTTATTGCTCTTACTTTTTTCATACATAGCAGCAGGTTTCTGAAATGGCTGATGTTTCCGTGTTGCCTGAAAGACCATCTGAGCCGATATGTTCGGTTAGACATCTTCTCATGTATTTTCATTAGATTCATATTTTCCATTCCTTTAACTTCTCATTATTCCCATGGCGTTTTATTTCACAGTATTACGCTAAAACTGGAAAATGCAAGTTTGGTGCGAACTGTATTTTCAATCATCCAAAGGATCTTCAATTACCATCAAGTGGACAGGATCCTGTAAGTGGGGAACAGGCAGAAACTACGGTCAATGATGGAGAAGCGAGTGGTGAATTCAATGCTGAGAATCCACTTTCTTTTACACCAGCATTATTGCACAATTCTAAGGGACTACCTGTGCGACCGGTACTCACCTAAGCCATTAGATTTAATAATCCTTGTCGTTTTATGCAGAACAATAGAATAGTTGTTGATGATCAAGTGTTGCCCCACGCTGAAAATTACACATTCCTTGCAAATATAACCAAAGATCTCATGCACCTATTTGTTACTTGATTATTCTGCAGGGTGAACAGGATTGTCCTTTCTATCTCAAGACTGGAAGGTGAGACTTTGTTATCCTTCTCATTAGGTGCTTGATAGTTTACCAGCATGGAATTTCTATTGTGCGCAAGTTTTTGAACTATCCACGTTCTCTAATGCTTCTTTTCATTTTTGTGGATCTAACAGCTGCAAGTATGGAGCGACATGCCGATACAATCATCCAGACAGAAATGGTATGTTTTTATGGATGTCATTTTTATCATGTCGTTTACAGTGGCTTATAAGGTAAAAGTGATATATATATATACATATATGTTTATTTTTTATGTTGGTTATATGATGCAGCGTTCAATCCGATTGCTGCTTCTGCCTTTCTTCATTCTCCATCTGCTAATCTGTCTATCGGAGTCATAAATCCTGCTGTTTCACTTCTGTCAAACATTGATACCCGTTTTTCCCAAACTAGTGTAAGTATGTAGATATGATGCATCTTTTTTTACCATTTTTTCATTATTCTTACCATACTTATCGGACTGTTGGAAGATTTAACTTTTACCCCTCCCCCCTTTGGCAACGCAGCTAGGCGTGGGCCCAATTCTCTATCCACAGCGACCTGGACAAACGGAGTGTGATGTATGTATCTTTTATTGCATCACTTCTCAGTTTTCTTCTTGCGTGGTCTGAATTAATCAAATATTGAATGAGAGACAAAATTAACCAGTTTCCTATAGTCAAACTGGTCCACTAGGCTCTATGTCAACCTGCATATCTCTCACTTGTTCATTAGCCAGTTGAACGGTAATATACATCTGTCTATTTAAAGTTGCATATCTGTCAACTTCTTACTGTCCAGTCTGTCTCAAGAGGGGAAAAACTTTGATGGAAATCAAACGGACTGGCTTTTCTATGTCTGTTAGCATATGTAGTTCTGTTGCAGTTACTATTTGAGCTTAATATAGACGACACTAATTAGTTGACAAACAACGTCCACCCCTCCACGGGAAAAGAGAAATATAGAGAATAGAGTGTGAAAATTGTCAGTTGGTTCATCTCAAAAAGAAAAAACGAGCCCTCACCATTACAAGAGCTTACGATAAACATATTAGGAAAATGCCTTAAAATCGAAAAGTAACAAAAACGGAATATTGCTATATTATGTAATATTCCGATTATCTTAGAGTACGAACATTCTCTAGGAGTTTAACCATTTTGCAACAGCAATTTCCAAAGTTTAGACTCTCTAAAAACATTCTGCCAGTTCTTTTTGAGCTTTGGTAATTTCATGTGTTCCTTAGTTGTCTGGGAGCTGTCAAATGGTATTCTGCTCACATAAAATTCAGGTGCTTCGTTTGGTTATTTTTCCTTATACGGGAGCTATGCCCAGACTGGGTTATAACGTGAATTCTAGTTACTTAGCTCTGGCACTAGTTGACTTCCTGGATTATGCTAGTTTTGACTCCTATTAGTGATCTAAAGACATCCTATGTTTAATGTCGCTCAAATTTATCATTTCAGTCAACTTGTCTAATTTTTTCTTACAGTTTATATCTTTGTTATGTTCCAATTTGGGATGCAATGAATCATGTTCCTCAGCATGTAGACATCCCCTCACATGGGGTGTATGACGCATCAGAAGTTGGGGAAAATTGTAAATCGCACCTTAAATCCACGGGAAAATAGTTGAATCCGCAAGGATTGAAAAATAAATGCTCCCTCGCATCCTCAGGGGGCCGGTCCAATCGACAAGCAGGTAGAAGAGGAAAATACTTATTCTGTGTTGAGAAGAAAAACAACCTGGTCTATAGTGCGCCTCTTAAAAGGCCAAAAGTAACCGTAAATCCTGGAAACAATAGGACCAGAGATAACTATTGAGTTCTTAGAAGAAAGAAAACAGGTAAAACCCTAGATAATTCTTAGAAGAAAACGCGTTTCGATGTTTATGGGTCACCTAACAACACTTGTAGACACTTCCTCGTTCTACCCGTTCGGACCTTCTGAGCTGTGCTTTTTTAGGCGCTTCCACTTCCTATCAATTCGTTCTACATCAGCGTAGTCACCACGAGTTGATCCTTTTCTCATCTTCTTGTTTGCAGTTCTATATAAAGACTGGCCAGTGCAAGTTTGGAGAGAGGTGCAAGTTTCACCACCCTATTGATCGATCTGCACTGGCATCTTCAGTGTTAAAACAGTCTGCTGATCAGAGTATTAAGCTTACCCCTGCAGGGCTGCCAAGAAGAGAGGTACGCAATGATCTCTCTCTCTCTCTCTCTCTCTCTCTCTCTAGAAATAGGTTAGCAGAAATATGAAAGAACGGTACCTTGTCATTCTCTTTTGTAATTCCGCATTTTTAGGTCTGGATTTTCAAGTGCCACTAAACAGGGATTCCTACGCTCTTCGATCTTTGGCTGACATTTCTTAGAACCCAATAGTGAATAACTTATGAGAAGAGGATATAATATACGCAAAATACTGGTGCCGTTCGGTTTAGAAGATGATTCATTCAATGCTGTAAGTCATCCCATAAATATGCTACCTTGTTTCAAAATGGTCTGTTCAACCTCTTCCCCATTGCAATTTAGAAACACAATTTTCTTCAGGCATCGGATGACAGTCAGCAGTGCCGCAGGAAGAGGTATCAGAGAGTAGATCACGTGAAGTTCATGATCTCTCATCTTTTCTGGGGCTGCCCTAATTATCGTTTTCCCCGGATCGAGCTCCGGATGGTTTCTTCTTTCTTAGATCTTCATCATCATGAATCTTCGTCACGAAAAAATGGGATATTATTGTTATATCATAATTTATATTTTCTGTCTGCGGTTATCATAGCCATATACTGATAAATCTGGGTGCCGACTTTCAGGGAGCAATCATCTGCCCTTACTACATGAAAACGGGCACCTGCAAGTTTGGTGCTTCCTGCAAGTTCGACCACCCAACCCCAGCGGAAGCCATAGCCATGGCTGCCGCCAAGGACGCCTCCGCCTCTGATGCTACAGCGCAGGGGGAGGAAGTGGAAGACCCCGTACAGGAGCAGGCGCAGCTGGAATAAGGCTCCTATTCCACCGCTCAAAGAAGGTACTCCACAGTCTCCAATACTTTCTTAGAGAAAAGCGCTGCCAGTTAATGATCTGTATGATGACAACCACAGTCTCCGTCTCTGTCACATATTAACTACCGAAAGGGTGGGAGCTTTAATCTTGGAGGTTCCCAGCTGACGACGATCGCGCGCAGTTGAATGACCTGGTTGTTTTTTTGCTTCTAGCCCCTGCCCAAGTGTTTGATCCTCTGCTCCATCACACCCCACTGAACTGTGTAATTGGGAATGCTGGCGCAGATGTTGGAGCGAGAATTTTTATGAAGAAAGTGATGGTAAATCTCTCAACAATTTGCGCATATCAGCTGCCCGCTCCTTTTAGTGATCTCTCATGCATCGTGGTGCCTTGTGTTTCTAATGGAAAGGGCTTCGGGTTCGGCAGAAACCCTAACTGGAAGTGCCCACTGCCTTGTCGTCTGCTGCAACCAGGAGACCAGTCACCAAGGAATGGATGAACTGAGCGTGGTAGACTCCAAGGGGAGGAGGGAGAAAGTAGAGGTTTTTAAGGAGACCCGGAAGCAGGGATTAATGTTGGCCGCATTTGACCGGAAAAAAAAACGCCATTTCTGGTCGTCGAGTTCGGAAATTCTGGGCGATCGAGATGAACGTCGGAAGAAATCGTTGAAGATCGGGGATGAAAGGAATTCGTTGAAGAAAGACCCAATTCAAGCTTCATCCGCAGAGATTTCAGACGTAGAGATCCGAGTCGGCAACTGAAACCCTAACCCCGTTGTCCGCCGAGAATCGCAAACCCGGCAGGAGATCGCGAAGCAGAGACTCGAGCGACGACGACGGCGACGAGGCCTCGCCAGCTCCGGGCCACGCCACACATAGCGTCCCCTTCAGCTTCCTCATCTGGCACTCCGCCAGCAGTGCGGCGCCCACGCCCTCCGCCACGCTCCCCGTCGTGTAATACGCCACGCGGCGCAGCGCGGGGAAGGAGCCGGCCGCCCTCTTCGCCGCTGTCTCCAGCTTGAACTCCATGGAATCGTCGGTCGACAGCCGCCCCCTGAAGCTCCCGCTGCGGACGGAGTCCAGGACCAGTACCTCCTGGGGAGAGATGTCCCTCATCAGCGCCTTCGCCACCGAGCGCGCCCTCTCCGCCGCCGCCGCCGGATACTGGAAGGAGACCAGGAGAATGCCCTCGCCGGCGGCGTAGATGTTGCAGCCGCTATCGCGCGGAGACGGCACGATGTGGTTGCCGGCGAGCGGGAGCTCCGGGAGGAAGAGAGCCCCGAACAGAGACTTGGGGGAGAGGCGGTGGACTAGCAGGCGGGAGGCCGGGGAGATGGCGACCACCATGAGGGACGGGCGAGGTCTAGGGTTTCTGTCGGAGAGGAGTACGAAAGGCGAAGGGAGTGCCGGTGATGGGGAGGCGAAGTTGTCGAGGTCCTCCGGGAAGAACCGCGACGGCGGAGGGATGTCTGTGACCACGTCTTCCATCGTTCTTCTTCTTCCTCCTTCCGATGCTCCAACTCTTTGGATTCCTCCCCAAGGAAACGTTTGCACGGTGGTGCACTAGGAGGATCGCCACTGTAAACTAAGCTCGAAAACCACCTCCAATGTGTCCAAAATGCCCCCGTAAGTAATAACAGAGTGCCCGAAATACCCCTCCCTATATGCCCGTAATACCCCCTATATATGGTTAAGTGCCGGTTATAAAGCCCTAATTATAAACTGCCCTTAATACCCTCATGGATCTATGCCAATCACTCAACCAACTGAAGTAATCTCTCTCTCTCTCTCTCCTCCCTCTTACTTCCGATGTGCCCATAATAACTCCCCAGTGCCCATAATACCCCTGTATGCGCGTGAAAAAAAAATCTGCGACTGATTCGGCGCTGTCAGTCTTCCCAATCAAATTATTCTACTGCTTCTCTGAACCGAAAAAATCAAAGAAAAAAGACTCCTTTTCCTCCACCATTTCTTAATAGGGAAAAAAAAAAGATGGGCACTGTTTGGCAGACACAGAGATCAACCAAAAATGAACGATGAGGAGTTAAATTATCGCTTCGACGGCTAAACTCACAAGAAAACCCAGCAGAGCGCCCGCTATGACCTGCACCTCCGTGTGGCCCACGGACTCCTCCAAGGGGCTGTAATAAATCTCCGTGTTTTCTGATGAGCCGTCCCCGACGATCACTCCTGGGGGTGGGTTTGAAGATTTTCCCCGCCCACTCCTGGGGAGCGCCTCTTGCTCGAGTTCGTAACCATCTGCTTGCTCAGGCGAAGAGAGAGAGCCAAGGCTTCTGGTACTTAGTGAGACTGAAGGACGGCAATCGATTGGGCTCTGTTTCTCCTGGAGTAGGATAGATCTCTCCCGATTATGCTTCGTTATCTTGTTGAGATTCTTCGCATGCTTGCCCACTTCCCGTCTCACGCCCTACGAATTCGCAGCCAGAGTGGGTCAGTAGATCGACGTAAGTTCTCCATGGGTATTCTGAAGAAAACATCAGAACTGTGCGGTGAGAGGGAGAGAGAAAACAAATGGTAGCATAAAATCAGAGCCTGCTCATACGGAAAGGCAGAGGAGTTTCGTTTTGGAGATTACGAAGCCACTGAAGACACATATATGCACGACCAAAATTAATGAGTAGATGAACAAAGGTTGACTTGATAGTCAAAGTGGCCAGCTTCTGAGGTAAAAAGCGGTCTCTTATTGTCCTCAAAGATGGCCGATTCTCATCCAAATTGAGATCAGAGGGGGAGGGGTAGTGGAGGAACTCCAGGACCAACAAGAAAACGCCACGTATTCTCACATCAATGGTTGACTCTGGTCAATACAGACAGCAACCTTGGATGAGTTCAAACCTGATTCAGTATTTCTCCACAGTAAATTCGTCATCTTGATTTCCGGCATTGACTTCTCGAGATGGTTGTCAATGTCATAGCATTTTAACACTGTTCCATTTGCCTCTCTCAAATCTCGCCAAATTTATGAGTTAAATTTTCTCCAGTTCCGTGGTTTATTCCTTGGGGCTTATTGGTTCATGGGATTGGAGCTGTCCAGCCTGTCTGACCATGAGCTTGTGACTGCTTAGAAATACTAAATATGTCGAGTGGAGATGTTTTCCTCATGCATTAATTCAAGACCACAAATGGATTAGTAACTTGAGAACGAGCCTGAAGTCTGAGACAAACAAAACAGTAGTTTATGGAGATTATCTTTCGTTTTCTAGGATCATTTTACGGGAAGTAGTCAGCATCTTGGTGAGAACTTGAATTTCTGTTGAAGAGACTTCAAGTGGAATAAACCTTCAAATTCCTGATTATCATTAGTAATGGAATATGGTACAAACCACTTTCTCATACGTGAAACTCGAATTGAAGCATAATGCAAAGTTCAGATCATCAGCAAGACGACTTCAGAACAAAAATCTCACAGAAATCATCAAATTCATCTGATACGCTAAAATCTAGAAAAAAGAAATCATTAATAATCACCACAACCGAAAGCAAACCAACTTTGCTTGAGATGTCAAGTTCTCAGGCCAAGTCAGATCATGCAAAAGAAGAGATATTGCCAGTGGGAAAAATGAAAAGCCGCATTTGTTTTCGATATGGGTTTTTTCTTCAACAGCTTATGAGTAAAATATTCTGCATTCCTGACGCTGTAAGTTCTTGTGAAATCTGATGGCTGTAGGTTTTTCTGGGGCCGCCATTCCATGATTGACCGAGTTCTCAGAGAGCGAGAGACAAAACGAGCATTAAATGAAACTTATACTATGAACTACTGGCTATTTTTTCATTAATCTAATGACATAAACCCATATTGGACGCATACAACCAAAAACAAAATCTAACAAATCGCAGGTTTAGAAATATTAAATATATTAGAAAAGGTACCTGGGCATCATACATGACAAATGTAGCAAAAACGGCAGACATACCAAATATTGGATCGGAAAATCCCCTGCGATAAGAAAGTACAATTATCAATAAGTCAGTAATTACACTCGTAAAACAATCCAAATTTCAGAGATATTGTTGGTGAACAGGGAAGATTAATTCCAAATCAATTTACTAAGTTTGATATAATTTTATGTAATGAACTTATCTTCCTAACTTGCTCCAACCAATTTTTAACCACTATTTTGACGTTTTTTCACATGCTTGGAGACCTTAGACTTTTTCAAAAGTATCAAAATGATCAGATGAGTAACACAAGACTTTGGCACCGGATTCTTGTACATCAAACAGGAACTTCATTCAACTCATAAAACAGTTAGATAACGTGCATTTTTAATTTTAACTTATCCCTCGGAAATGTGAGACTATTAGACACTATACCTCCTCGGGCCAACTTCAACTTTACACGAAAAAAGAAACATTGCAATGCATGCGCCTGAGACAGAATCGTATTTTCTTGAATGATTGGGCCAGGGCAATCCCACTTTTTCGATACACTTACACAAGTCGATTAACGTGTCATTTACAACATTAAAATGCATTAACTAATGATATTACTTCAACTGTGATTAGATACTAATATATGGTTTAACTTATAATGAAAAAAAAATACACAAGTACATTAAAACTAATGCCTTTTCCTACCTTTCCAGACCAAGACAAGTCGTGGCAGCCATAACACCCTGCAGGGCGAGTATGCAAAAAGAATCAGAGATTTTTATAGCTCTGTAGGATGAGATTTGACGGTCTAACGTTAATAAGTAGAAAATTCTATAAACATGAATTGAGGGGTTAGCTGTAGAGATTTTTATAGCACTGTAGGATTTTTATAACACTATGTGAAGCAAATCGATCAAACTAGCGTGAAGAGCCTATTTCTTCGAACAGATGAGAAAACGCACTCACGGCTGAATGTGAGGAGGGCATTCCTCCGGACCGAATTGCTGCCCCGAAATCAATGCCATTTCCACTCAATGCCGATGTGAAAGGCTTGGATAGCTGGCCAATTGTGCAGGCAAGAGTGGCCGATATCAAGACCTACAAATGCACGCGAGCAATTTAAATAACCGTGATCCCCACCTCTCGTAGTTAGAGCGGCAGGTCACACCCACCTTGTTCTGCACGAGATCAGCTATCTCCTCCACACCAATCTTCACAGAAGCCACCGGGGCGGAACGGCGTCCGGAGTGAATCCGGTGGAAGAAACGGTCACGAAGCCTCAGAGACTTCCGCACGGAGAAATCGAATGAGTGAGGGACCGAGTAGGCGGCGGAGAGAGATGGGGAAGCACAGTATAACATGTTCTTCCCGTCTTCCCTCTCCCCGCTCTCTATCGACCACCGGCCAACAGATTCCGGCGAGTTCCCGGAGATGACGAGCTGCCCAGTTGATCTGTCGACCGCTCAAATCATCCGATTTCCCCAAGTTATCGTGCCGTTGGGTCCATCCCCCCCTTCTCGTCCTCTGCTTCCTCAACTGTCCCCATCGGCAGCTGATAGACCAGTCCCTTTTCTAAAATAATATAACAATAAAGTTCTAGGAAATTTATAAATCCCTAACCTTGCTCTCTATATATATATATATATAGTATTAATGTTTAAAACAACCTTATTGTGACACATAATTACGCTCTCGGAAACTACTTTCGAACAATTTTAAATATCCCAATTAAAATATTTCCTAGTTCGACATTTCACGTCGAGTATCTTGAAAAGGCCTGTTCGACATTTTTTTAATTCATTTTTATTATAGCAAGTTGTGTGATTTCTTCAGGATTTAATTAGCTTATTTTCTGCTAATAAATAAATATGTATATAGAGAGAGAAAAAAAATTCATGCAGTTTAATTATTATTATTATTATTTTATATCCCTATTTATATAAAAGGATCAAATTTGTACGTGGGAACTATTTTCTCTCGGAGAATGTTGAATCAGGCGCTCACGTGATAGATCACGTGATCTGAGATTCTCGTCACCCAGTGATGACATCGCCGCCACCCTCGTCGGAGTGGCGGAGCTTGTAGCCACCAGCGGCGGCGATCGTGAGACGCTGGCTGGGCGGAGATGGCGCTCGCAGCAGCGGCTCCCCCGTTGGACCAGTTCGTGGTGGCGGAGAGGGACGAGGGCGTCACTATGCCGTTGCCGTTTGACTCCCCTTCGGCAGGGCCCTCTACCGACCCCAAATGATTCTCCAACACAGTATGAAGAATCATTTGGGGTTTTCCTTCTTCTGGCTGGCCAATCTATCGCCTCAACGTTGTGGAAGAATCTCCAAACTGCGGTGTGTTGTGCGACCTTCTGTTCTGGCGTTCGATCTTTGGCGAGCTTTCCGCATCTGTGCTTTGTGCGGTTGAGTTAGCCTGGGACTCGTGACGAAGCGCTCGGGGACGTTGCTCGCTTCTTTTCCTTCTGAGCCGGAATCTGGGATTAGTGCTCGGAGTGGTAGCATGCCACGGAGCTCTAGCTCCATGTCGTCGCACAATCTGCACAAGTACAGTTCCAAGTATGCGAGGGAGTGGTCCGGTTCCTAGGAGGAGGAAACCTCGAGGGAGGAATCGGCGGCTGCATCTCCGGTCGGTCGGGCTGCTAGGGCTACAGAGAAGGAGAAGCAGGAGAGTTTGTCTTCGTCGCAGCCTCCCCGTGAGAAAGATGCTCCTGGACCTGGTAATCATGATTGCTTCGATGAGCAATGTAGGTCACTGACAGATTGGCCGGCAGACGTAGCAGCAGCAGCAGCCGCTGCTGCTGAGAGGTGGGACGGAGGGAAAGGGCAGGAAATACGGATTCTGAAAGAGTTCCAAAACCGAAGGCCTTGCCCGTTGATTCGAAGGGCAGGTCTAAAAGAAGGCGCCGCACATCCAGTCAAACTGGGGAATGCATTATTTGGGAGGATTATTCTGCGAAGCGGAGGTCAGAGGGCACTGCTCATCGTAAGGAAGAGAAAGATAGGGGGAGGGAATCCTGGTCAGAGGTGGACAGTTAGCAGGAGTGTGCCATGACCTGCGAGTTTGGACCAGACAGAAACAAAGAAAGAGTCCCCGACAAGGACAGGAACTTCTCGTCAGAGAAAGACGGGAAGCGTCGATCAGAGAGAGAGAGAGAAGAAAATTCGGGACTCCAATCGAGAGAACTCCGGTAGCAAAGAAGGTGTTCTAGCGACCAGAATCGATGAAGAATATGTGGGAAATACCGGCAAGGTAACCTATCTCTTGAGGATTTTTTGTTCCTGGATTTCCATTAGGCAGCACTGATAGAGATACATTGGCATGGTTGAAATGGTGTTCTAATAAAATCGAAAGAAAAAAAAAGATGCAATTATTAGTATTATGGTTGTGGAATCGTGTTTCAAATAACAAACATACTCTTTATGCTTCCAGATTCTCAGCATAGCCTTGTGACGGTCTCTGCTGCTCAGAATTTTCTTCAGCTACTTCCAAAACTGCTTACTGGCTACATTTCCATCCCCCTCCCCAGCCACTTAGGGCCACCTTTGTCCATTGTGGCTGTTCTTGTCCAAGAGCTGTCCTTTGTGATGCTTCACTATTACCAACTTCATCATCACCTTCCGCTTTCATTGTCTTGGCCTACCTCCTGCAAATGTCGTCAACCTTGCATTATCTTTTTAGGATTGTTCTCATAGTTCTCATAGTCTTTAACGACCGTATATTTTGACGTTTGAGCATATGCTTGCCAAAACTTAGTTGAAATAAAATATTTTTTTCTTAGTTATCAATTGTTTTCTAGATGGTGAACTTGAAGAAAGCATTTATATAAGCAACCTGAAGGCTTTCTAGTTCATAGGAAAGAGAACTATGTCTATTTGATCAAGAAGTCTTCATATGGCTTGAAACAATCTCTCATGTATTAGTACAAGAAAATTGATGTATTTATGATTCAGCATCAATTTTCTATGATGAAAAAAATCAAATCATTCTTTGATATTTTTGGTGTTCTATGTTAATGAACAAAAGAAATGTATAAACTCAATAAATTTGAAGTATTATTGAATAATGAGTTTGGCATGAAACATATGAGAGAAACTAAGAAGGTTCTCAAAATGAAGATAAGAAGAAATAAGGTTGCAAGCAGATTATAATTCGACTTGAACTAAGTATATTGAAAAGATACAAAATGTTTTGACATGTCAAAGCCTATTTTTGTATTCTAGCTGATAATTTTATGCTTTTCATTTCATTTTTACTACAATCTATGATGAAAATATATCTAATATATTTTATACCACAATAAGTGTCATAATTTGTGTCATAGTTTGCACTCATCTTGATATTTCACAAACCACCAATGGTTTTAGCTAGTATATACCTAACCTTGGTAAGGTGCACTAGCATTTTATAAAGTAAATTTTTAGATATTTTCATGAGATCATGATAAAAGTATTATAGGTAAGACTTCACTTAGATTAAGAAGTGTGGTCAATAACCAATGAAGATCGTTATTCATTAGAAGAGGTTTGGGAGGCTTTATTTCATGGGTCTACTTCAATTGTAAAACATGGACACATGGTATATGCTTAAGGTGGTTGAGAGATCCAAGGAGCAAGCCACCAGCTCAATATATTGCACAACTATAAATAGTAACAAAGAGTAAACTTCTTGTATAGCCTCAAAGCAAGAGACTTCAGCTTATATAATTGAAGTTGAATGTAGACGAAATTACTTATGGTGAACTCTAACTCTTAGTATTTTCAGTCCACAATAGTCTTCATCAAAGCTTGGGTTCATGTCAAATGATTTTTTAATTTGTCGAGAATATTGATCTTGTAGTTATTTCTCGACCTCATCATACTTCACAAATTGTGATCCATATCTGTAGAGGATCATCATGTCTCTCTTGTACATGATTTTGAAGGACATCGTATTTGTTGAAGAATAAAAATTTGTGTTGTACTAAACTTTCACCCACACAATCCATTTGCTTTATTATTAGAGGTGGTCTCTTGTAAAGTAGTGAATATATGTTTCAAGGCCACAATTGACCACCTTGATTTAGGCATTAGTTTATGAAAGATATGAGTTTGTTCATCAATGTTATTCCTTATATTTTGAATAATTATCTTCATAAGTTACTTATAAATATTTAATCTAAGTTGGTAAGAATTGACCTTTGAATTTATGCAATTACATAATGTTGCAAATAAATATACCAATAATTTTTGATGTTGTAAATGAGTGTTTTAAAGGAGTTAAGTGCATGTACTCACTTACTATCGCTAATATTGTATTAAATATCTCATATTTAAATAATCATTTGATAAATTCATCACAATAAAATCCTATATTCATAAAGGTTGTAGTAACTTGGTTAGAGTGAGAGACTAGAGTTTTGTGGTTGACAATTGGGGTACCTTTTAACATATCTTTTGATAATATCTTTTATTTTAACTTAGTAAATATTTTGCTTGATTTTCTTATAGGTTCATTGAAATTTAAGTGTATTCTAATTGCAGAGTTATGAAATTCTTCAAAAAAAATTCGGATTAAAGAGGAGCTCCATGATATTGCAAATCATTTCCTATAGTGAAGTAAAAATCTTTGATGGAGAGAGTAATTGGCCCATTATTCATAGCATTATGAAAGCTCTTCAATAGTCTATTTGAGGTGAGGATTGCTATGTAATTCCTATATGATTATAGATATGTTGATTAATTATGGACATAATGACAACATAACTTGAATCATGAGTCAATCAGGTTTTCTTAATAGTATATCAACATCTTTATTTTCAACCCTTAATTTGTAATGAATTTACAGCCCAAATTTGATTATCTTTTATAATCATTTCTATTAATATGAGAATTTTTTTGTTGGTTTAAAATGAACTTAAGGGTTTGCTAGTCTATAAAAACAATAAGCTTTCCCCTAAGTAGATATTGCTTTCATTTGAGCGTGGTGAGTATGATGCCAATTAATTTATTCTCATTAATTATCTTCTACTTACCAACTAATGATAAGACTCGACAGAAAAATACAATTGGTCATCATTGTTGCATAAAGACATTCCTAACTCTACAATTTGAGGCATCAACCTTTAATTAAAATTATTAGGATAATTTTAAAAAGTCTGAGATGCACATTAAGGTGAGGGATTCCTTTAGCTATTAGAAGGTTGTCTCACCCTTTGATCCTTAGTTGAACATATATTTCTTCAATTATTGAGTTAATGGTTATGCTAAAGATCTATAGCCTGTTATAAAGTGATTGTAATAGTTCATGAAACCCAAGAATTTCTTGAGCTCGCAAAAGTTGGTTGAAGATGGCCATAGCCTCATAGTCTCTACTT